TAAATTTGAAGTCTTTAAAATGTTTTTAATAACTTATTCCAAGCAATTTAAATCAGTTCGATTGTTGCCTCCGGTAATTTAGATCTTCAATAACTGTCAAAAGGAATGATAATGAAGACAGAAATCTTAAGATTAAAATGTAAATTCATTGATAAATCCATTTTGTGTCAGTAATTCTTACTCCTCACGATTAATAAAGGATGTTATCAATCAAAAAGTATGCTTTTTATTAATGTGATATATTATCAATGATAAATTAATATAACAATTATATACACCCATTTGATTAAGTAGGGGTGGGTAGGGTGTTGGGCATATGGTTTGTGAATGTAATAAGTCGGGCAGTGGAGGAGGTGGAACCTGCACTTAATGCTTAAAGGGGGGGTGGGGTGGGAGATCAACCACATTTACAAATGCGATACCACTATCGTGCAAGCATGTGCTAAACACCGACCAATCAAATTAATCCCAGTACCATTGTAATTGTGATAAGGACAAAAAACAAGACAACTGGGTTCATTGGCACTTTTATCATAGTCATGCAGGACGGAGGGGCTGACAAGGAAAGCTGTCTAGTCGTTCGGATGTGTACACATTGGCATGCACGTAAAAGATCCCTTGGCAGTTGGAATTCGATATAGGAGTAGGCCTTAGTGCCGCTGTCCGGGCAAAATTCCCCTCATAGCACACTGTATGGCGTATGCCCGTCTTCATTAGCCCAGTTCGGAGCAAAACAGTAGGGCGTTAAACCGCATTTCATTTTTATCATAGTCAAAATCCATGAAACATATGATTTATTGCAAACTTTATTTTGGTAAGAAGTTTGAACTACACCAGTGATCAAGCATAGTTGATTCTACCCAGTAACAAATTTTGCACAGGAGATAGTGATAGCAGGTTTTCTAGGAGTAGTAAGCATGCTCTGCCTCATGTATGATATACACCAATACTATGAGACCCATACCCTTTCAGTAGATTAACTGGATCTGAGAAGTACAAAAGAACTAAGACAATTGCTATATTGGCGCTATCGAGCAGCTTTTAACTGGATTTTGGGCACCTGATAAATGAATGAAATAATAAATAATATTAATTATTAATAACAAGTAATTTAAGGTATATTATTATCATATTGTAAGAAAAATAACAATAATGTTTATCATTATCACATTGTAAGAAAATATAACAACACAGCAATATACATACACAAAAAATACTATACTACTGGGAATGTAACAATAAATGTTATCATATGGTTTTGGTTTTACGACATCTTGAAATATACCAGTTACTACTGTTGATGAGTGTAAAAACAAACTTATGTAATACGATAGCTGTGAGAGTTTCTGCTATCACCTTTACATCAAATAACACATTACCTCATGTATATACCTACCAATAATATATAAATAACTCTACCTTTTACCTACATGTAGATTTATACAATATATAATGAAAAATAAAATGATGGTTTTGAAATATACATTGATAGGTAAACATATTGCACAAGAAAGGCTTATTTTTGGGTACAGTGAAAGGAAAACTTTATAGTTACCTATTCTTTCACCAGTTGTGGCTAGCGGTACAGATCGATTTAAGTGTATCAGTAGGAATACATGGATATTTAAGCCATTCAGATGCTTAAAGGTGCATTATTTAAGATTTAGTTAAACTGCTGGTTGTGTATGCTATATTAGTTCAAAAAAAGATAATGAAAAGTGTATACATGAAAATTCCAGTCAAATTACTTTTTTCTGAGCAAAGTTATGAGTGTTTAAGTTTTCACAATATAAACAAAGTCTTGATTATCAATTTTTAGATAAATTATTAAATGTGATTGTGTTTTAATTGATGTTCTAGAGAGTCAATTATGGGCTTTTCATGTGAATAAATGTCTAATTAAAGCGGCATTGGGTAAGGTTACATAAAGAGCTGACAGTTCTTGCTATAATAGTTAAAAAACAGATAATGAAAAGAGAATATGATGAAAATTTCAGTCAAATTACTTCACTCTGAGCCTAGATAGCGATACAATTATAGGCTAGCCTCAATTGTCATTACTACGGTTTTTACAATAATTAACAAAGTTTCGATTATCCATTTTTATGGTAACTGCATCCAACACAAAACGTATTTAAATCTACTAAATATTGCAGGCATCCGATTGCATTGAGAGTTTATTATGGTCTTGGTAAGTCAATTAATGTCTCAATAATAATTTATATAACATTTCAGGCCTAAAGAAAGACCTGCAATAGGTAGAGTTAGCTCTTGCCTAATGTATGTTTAATGATTTATATAACATTTGAATCCAAATCAAAGACTGACAATAGGCACATTTAGCTCTTGTATAATGCTTCTTTAAAGGAGCTAAATCGCTAAAATTTTGGACCCAGAAATTGACACAAATGGGTCGTAACGCATATGATAATGTAATAGGAATATATATATAAACTGATTTACATTCAATCGTTTCCATTTTTACTCCAATATCAAATCAGTTACGTTCGGCGAAATATGTCAGAAGTCTCAATCGAATGAAAATCTCTAGCGTGTGGTTATTCTAGTCTACATAGTATTTATTGGGCATACTCTCACGATATGAATATGCCGTCACCGTTTGACATGACTTGTTGAATGTCTAGCCTCATTCTTCGAGTCCCTTGTTAGAATAACGCATTATGGTACACGATTCGTATACCAACGGTAAAATGTTTATTTTGTCTTAAATATTGGATATCAGAAGCCCATATTTTCCCGGTACGATCACAACATCAATGTTGATTTAAATTGACAAATAATTTGTGTTTTCAATGTCGAAGATTTTGGATGATATTGAGTTAGAGACTTAAATTAGCTACTTTAAGTTGAGCTGGTTTACAAACCCAGGAAATTGTTGAGCTACATTAACTTTGTCGAATTTGTTGTCTGAATAAAGGTGGGGCAACTAAATTTGTCGGATTTGTTGTGTGAATTAAGGTGGGGCAACTAAACCAGTTTAATCACACCTGTTTCCAAGCTGACTTACCTTGAACTTCTAAATAGTCCCAAGCTGACTTATCTTGACCTTCTGAATGAGTTATAATTACTAGCTTCAGCTATATCTTCGAGCATGTCCATTTGATCACCTTTTGAGGAAATTGTTGGTTTCAGGTAGGAAATATGAGTGTCAGTGGTGCATCTATAACATCAAACAATCACTGTCAAAACAGTTAATTTCATTTCCATCTCTTATATCTGACCTGTTCTTTGCACTTCTAAATGCATACTCCTCGCAGTGTTTCGTTTGATTAGAGCTAATCCCACTACTTACTGCTGTAAAGAAAGCAAATTCTTGTTCTAAATTATGACTGGTCAATAGTCCGATTAACAACCAATAGGTAACTGCGTAACAATACCAAACAGAGCACCAAAATGGACCAAATATGTTTACATAACGTTACGTCATGACTCACGATTTTATTATGCTCATTTAACCAGTGCATAGCAGAATATTGCAGAAAAACTAATTGTGTGACAAACGAGGCTATCAACACGGATATAATGTAAACAATACTGTTTTGAGACGAAAAACACTTTCACCAATTTTAATACCTTAAATCACTGTCCAAAGTTTTAGGGAAGGCTCCTGATTAAAAGAAGGGCTATCATGTTGCTGTGCTTGGGGATAGATTTGATTGAACAGGAAGAATAGACACACTCCCTCAAAAGCACAAGTATCAGAAGCTAATCAAGCAATGGCCAGAGAGGGATTTCTCAGGCCATTACTTCAGGAATATGTTCTAAATGGGAACCTGAAATTTATAAAGTTCCATACTGTGAATCAATATTAGAGATGATTTATTCTGGAAATCTGATGAGAAGAAGGATCGTAGCAAACCAGTGCTAGTGGCCAGAAATACTTCTTTTGGCTTGTCAAGATTTATTACATGTTTTTAAGAAATATATTTTTATGATATTGATCGATCATAAAGAACGTAAAATAACAACCTTTGTTCACTTTATTGCATATAAAGATTGATAATAGTTATTAGTTTCTCATAAAAACTATTTTTTTATAAAAAAAAGTTTTATTGTCTATTGTTATAATTTAAAATGCTTTAAGAATAAACAATGAGAAAAATTAAAAGTACAGTTATCTTTATCCACTTTGGAAACACCATTATTACAACATTATTAACTAATATAACAACTAAAATATGGTAGCTGGAATATTAAAAGATAATAGATTTTCCATAGAACGAACACTCCTAGTTTGTTATAATATCTCTGTATAAGTTCATCAAGTACAATGTCATATAGGTGCATACTTAAAAAAAACAGTGTAAACAATATTTCCCATACCTGCCATTATCTTTTTTTTTTTTAAAAAAAAAGAGACATTAAATTGAGTACCAGTAGACTAAATTAAAAGCTATCAAAAGATTTATCAAACCATTAACCCATATTATAAGACAAAACCTTAGTGAAATTATTAATAGTTCGTTTATTTTTGTTTCGTTTATCATGCTGCTGTAAAGGATTGTACCTTTTGCATAGTGATGGGATTTACTGTTCAGTTCTGGTCAAAATTATGCCGAAATTGACTTTGTATAGTCGACAGAAGGCAAGTCTGTGTTACAGACTTGAATTAGCAGATCACTTCAATAAGTGACGTAATTGAGATGTCAATCGACATCATTATGGATAATTCTGGCAACGATATGATTAATACATGTACTCTCTGATCATTCAAAGAAACAAAACTGCCAAAAGAGCCGGTCAAATTAGTTCTGTATCATGAGATAACTATTATTTCCATAGATTTGAAGCCTGTCTACTTTATTATTTACGAAGCTGTAATAGTAGTTACCAGTGTGCAGTCCTTTTCCTTAATTAGCTCTTAGCCTGTAACTTATTGGTAGCATGAAATAATTTTAAATAGGAAAAAAAGGGAGAGTCTCAGGTATATAAATAATTCTTAAAAGGTTTTAAACATTATCTTATTTGTATATTTTCAGAGGTCGTATACACTGATGGTGGAGGCATGGGATGAAGATGGAGGAAGGGGTAAGACCATTTTTTTGAAGTTGGAATGTAGTCCTACAAACTTATATAGGGGTTTTGATCTGGGATTATGTATCTGCAAGGGGCAAAACACAAGAATCTAAGACAAGTGCAGCTTCCAAATAAAACATAATAATTTGAAAAATACCTAATAATTTGGAAAATACCTAATAATTTGGAAAATACCTAATTGGGAAAATTTGAAAAATACATAATAACAATAATGTTGTTCATATCACTCATATGGAATGACACAATAAGGGGAGTTTCTCCATTATGCTTCCTGAAGAAGTTCCTAATGGTGAGTTCAAGGGTTGGGGGAGAGGATTTCGCTTTTGCCGGAGTCGTATAGAGATGTATGCAGGGGTAGAACAGAGTTACAATATTGTAAATTACCCTAGCTTTTGGTAGTGCATCTTCAAATTAAAAAAAAACTGTATGTGTTATGTAGTCAATGTGTGTGGTGGATAGGGTCTGGTATCTGGCCTCAAAAGCTATATAATATATGTTGATTTGTATGAAGTGTCCTGAAAATTATATTAAGTGTGAAATTTATGAGTGACTAGGGTTGATAAGAGGATGACCTGGGTGAGTAAACTGTGGAAGTTAAAGAAGAGATTTAATTGATTTGTAACTGATCATCACCATAACACTCATCACATCATTTAACACTTCACTTAACAAATGGTCAGTCTATCTTAATTGTCTTTTGATTGGAATTTATCAGGGTTTTTTCTGAGATTTAATTGACTAGCAGCTCATTAGTTGTATTCCTCACCTTGACAATCGTGAGGTCAACTTACACTTTATTAAACCAGTGAGGGTCTAAACACTTCTCTCTCTATTAACATCTGGTCACTGGGTGAGCATTGATTGATGTTTCTCATAATCCGTTGTACATGGAGTTAGGCCCTAAACCATTCCATACTTGAGTTGTATTTCCTTTAGGTGTAGGATCCAGAGGCCCAACCCTGCTTAGACTCGATTTACGGGGTCTGGTTGGAAATGGCATCTACAGCGTTTCATTTTTCCAAATTTTCTGGGGGAGTCCACCCAGACACCCTGTCATAGATTTTGCGTCTTTGGCTCTAGAAAATTTTTACACCACCACCACCACAATATGGAGATTTGAAATTTCTGTGACCTCCCTGCTTAAAATCCTTGAATCTAAGTTGAAATGTACAGAGAATTAGATATAAGGGCTGTCATCTGTTATTCTATTCTTTGATTGTATTATTAACACGAAGCCATTTTTTCGACTATAACATTGAAGTTCTGTCTTGGCCCCCCAACTGCCTTGTGTATCCATGTCATAAGACAACCTTGTTCGGTCAGTCCTGACGTTTAACGTCCACTTCTACCAAGGGTGATATTGAGACAAGACAGCCCTGATGGTATTTATATTTAAATATTAATCCATTCACATTGAGAGAGATGTAGATTTGATAAAGATATCACCTTTCAATTAAATCAAACTATCAACAGGTCTGTTAACAATTAGCCACCTATTGTAGTAATAATGAGTGGTCAGTGTTAATTAATGTCCATCTGTTGCTTGAGACTTAATATTACTGTCTAACTGAGCTAGAAGTGAGTTACATTAACTGATTAATGTTTCTGCCCTACAGTACTGAAAGGTTGCTTTAACCAGAAGGAACGACTGCCCATATGCTGCCCAATTTAGGATTCTGCAGTGGTCCCCATCCACTTGTAATTAATAAAATTTACAATAAAATAACTTGTAACTAAAAAAATTAGTGTTTAAAAGTCAATACAAAAAAGAGTAAAACAGTGATGTACTCAAGATTTGTGTGGAGGGAACAAGATCTCGAAAGTGGTTTCATGTTACTCAAACTGTTAGGGCATTGTCACTGGACTCTCGGCTAGAATGTCCCAGGGTTGAATCCCAGTATGAGCAATAAAGAAGTCAGCATTCAGTCTGGTGTTAGTGTATATTAAAAAGAAAAGTTTTGTCTTGTCTTATTGTTTTTATCTGAACTGTTTTACTAGTGATGGGATAAGATTAAATGTTTTATTTTGAAAGATTAAGCTGAAGTCTGTTTACTAATTTTAGTTTCATTTTGGAGTTATTGTATCTATAAGTGGAGTTTGAAAATGAATTGGTGGAAATGTCGCTGTCCCCGCAGAATTCTTCTCCTAGCATTGCACACACAAGCATAGAAATGAAAACTATTTTATCATACTTTGGTCTCGGAATGACCAAAGTATTTTGTTGACAAAACTTTAATCCATATTCCATTCCATTCTACCTCGTGGGTTTTCTCTGGGTGCTCTGGTTTGCTCCCACTGCTAAAATACCCCTATGCACAAGCAAATATTGAAATAAAATTTAACCATATGTTAGTACCAAAATGACCTAGTTTGTGTCTGTCAAGTGGACTTAAACCCCATATCTCTCTCTCTCTCTCTCTCTCTCTCTCTCTCCAATCTAATCTCTAATATTTTATCAATTTACTAACCAAAGCAGATTATATTTCCCAGACTGTTTTGATATTTCTGGCATAGAAAAAAATGAAGAGACTAATACCACAGCACTACCTTGACCATAACTTGATATCATGACTTTATCAGAAAACATGAAAATCATTAAAACACATAATTATATTGAATGTCTAGAACTTGTAAGAGTCGTAAAAAATATATGATCCGTTTTACAATGTGTGATGCTACCATATGCTTGTAACACATTTATAACAAAACGGTTTGCCATAAATTTTATAGTGTAGCTTCAGTAGCTCTATGTAGTGGTTAAATCTTTGTAACAGGTTTCTCTGTGGAACTGAAGAATTCAATCAAGGTGTTCAGTACATTACATTTCTAAAAAGATCTATCTAAATCTGATTTTGAATATTTGATTCATCCAAAAGTATAGAATTAGATTAAAACATCCGCTGAGAAATTTTAATAGTAAAACGACTTTATTCTGTTGTAATTATACTTGAAATTAAAGATGCATTATGTAAGATTTAGTTAAAGAACTGGCCATTCTTGCTATAATAGTTCAAAAAAAGATAATGGAAAATGAGTATATTGAAAATTTCATTCAAATTACTATATGCTAAAGTTTTGACAAGAAATAGCCTGATGATTGCTGATTGCCAAATCATATTTCAGATTGTCAATTACTTATACTAACGCCACGATAATAAACTGCCATACTATCGTTTTAAGGTAGATATGGTGGACATTGTCTAATCCACTCAATATCTAAGCCAATTAATGGTATAAATCGTTGATTATGGGCTTTTCATGTGAATAAATGCATAAATAATAATTTATGTAACATTTGAAGCCAGGAAAAAAAGATATGCAATAGATAGTTTTAGATCTTGTAGAATGCCTCTTCAAGGACGAAATAAAACCAGGATTGAATTTCAAGTACAGTTTATATCCCTTTATAGAGCACAATCTGAAATTCCAAGTGTGCTGCAAGAGGAAGCAAAAATTTTATAAGTGTTCCCAAAATACAAAATTTCAAATTGATGTGGGATACATTACAAAATAATGTTCCGTAGATCACAGTACCATATGCTATAAGAAACGATGAAGCAATATTTTTGTTAAACTAATGTCAATATTATTAAATATATCTGTGTGCTATGGTAAACAAGTTTTGAATTTTTATTTTAAGCTTTGAGAAATTTGTTGTCTGTTTTTATCATTGACCCTAACTCATATGTTTACTTAGAAATATCTACTTGTTGTACATATTTATTAGAAATATCTACTTGCTGTACAGATTTATAAGAAATATCTACTTGTTGTACAGATTTATTAGAAATATCTACTTGTTGTACAGATTTATAAGAAATATCTACTTGTTGTACAGATTTATTAGAAATATCTACTTGCTGTTTATTGTACCGGTACACATTTATTACAAATAGAATTCAATATAAATTTAATGGACTAGAGAAGTTGAATTATCTCATTGTAGATATTAAAATATTGTTATAGTCTGTTCATGCAGATGCCTATATTTAAGCTAGTTTAAAATAGCTGGTGTTTTAAGCCAGTGGAGTGTAGCATTCACATCTACTATGAGCCAAACCAGGTTAACGTTTTTGTCCCCCGCCTTTCGAAGAAAGCAGGGGACTATTAAAATGGGTTCGTCCGTCTGTCTGTCTGTCCGTCTGTCTGTCCGTCACACTTTTTGGGACACAATAACTCTCTTCCTAATTGAGCTAGAATGTTCAAACTTGGTGTATGTGTTTATTAGGTCAATGCCTTGATGGAGTTCGAAGATGAGCATTTTCCGCTTAGGGTAAGCAGAGATAAGCAATTTGATTGGTTGATGCTTTGGGACACGATAACTCTCTTCCTAATTGGGATAGAATGTTCAAACTTGGTGTATGTGTTGATTAGGTCAATGCCTTGATGGAGTTCGAAGATGAGCATTTTCCGCTTACAAATTGAAAAAGAAACTATTATAAATTAATTAAATATGTAGTATGCAATAATGAATTGACATTTAATGACAGAAAGAAAACAGTGAACTTTGCACAACTTGCAGCAAGATGGAAAATAGACCCGTTGATACAACCAAACTCTAGATCTGTAGGCATAGAGCATGTTTTCCCCTTAATATGCTATAATTATTCCATCAAAAACATTGTATGCTTAGACTATAAGTAAAGATATACTGTTTGATTGTTCAATACTTTGTAAAAGATAATTTGTGATAAATTTATATGTGTCCTCTAATTATTTTCCTATTTCGGCGGGGGACATCAGCCTCACTGTTGGCTTGTTTATCTTGTCTGTAAACGGTTAAAGCATTGGTTATTAACTGGGGGTACAAGATATAGTATCAAATTTAATATTGTATAGATTAGTAATATATATATATGTCTGATTGTTGGTGTACTGTGTAAGTACAGTTGTACTTGAAAGACTGTTTATGTATTCAGTATATTTGTATTCAACGCATATAACTAAACTTAAAACTTATCCATTATTATATTTCATTTATTTCCGTAAGTCATTTTAGACAAGGGGTATGGGGAGATATTATGAAAACTCAAGAGGTACGAGCACATAATAAGGTAAAGAACCACTGGGTTAGTGTAAATTACATGTACATGGGGCCAAGATAAGCCAGCCTTTTAATAAAAACCTTTTCAAAGACCGGTAAGGAGTTGGAGTGTTTAAACTGGTTTATTTCGCCCACCATTACTTTTGGATGGCAAAGTTAAGCTAGCTTAAAGATAGCCTCTGCGTTTAAACCAGTTTAACTTAAGCATCTGAATTGCAGTATATACTAACCTCGTAATTGTTTGTGATGCACACAAATATCTAGATGTTTTAAACATTCAGATTGTTTGATTTTACCATCATAGAAATGTGCCATCATAGAAATGAAATTAATTTGTGTTACTCTCAGAATGAGGTTAAGTTTTTAAGATTTATTGCATTCATAATAATTAATTTCTTAGAATTTAGAGAAAAAAAGTTTGATAAATATAAAAAAATTGAAATAAAATACCCCTCATATATTTGGAGAGTTTTATTTTTATCTTGTGATAAAAGTAATGAAATTATAAGAAGAATGAATTGAGTAATATAGGATAATGCTGGTAATCTGTTTATCTTGTGCATACTGTGAGTTTCATTCAACAAGTTTTGGAACAGAATCAGGTAGTTTCACGCTAAACTGCTTAAATGCACTCTGTTGAAATCATCTCACAATTAAAGGGACGTTGCACTTCATGGATGAAATTTGATGCTGTAATTTTCTTTTTTTTTGTCGCATATACATATGCTGTCTAAAGCATCACACCACTATCATATATTTGTCACCTATGCAAGATGAGTATTTTATCTGATTCCCTCCCTCTGTGGACATTGTGAATTAATAAAGTGGAAATTAGTTATAAAAAGAATTGATTCCACTGAGTAGAAGTTAAGCATAAGTTTTCTATTTCATTAAGTAGGCCTATTTAGAATTCATAATTCAGAAACAGACTTAAAATTTTTGTAATGATTGTGATGAAGGCAGTCCAACTATGATACTGGTGCCATTATTGGGCAGATTCTAAAAATATGCTCCTCTCCTTGCAATACAATAGTCTTAGAAAGAATTATGCAAGTAAACTAACGATTTCTTGGTAGTTTCTATGACGTCAACTGTACCTTGGGTACTGTGGTGTAGTGAGAGGGTGACAGAGCACTTGGACGCAAAAAGCTACTCACTGTTTACCCAGGATACTACTCCACTGTAGATATATAATTATATGGAATGTGAAGATCCCACATACCGCAAAATGTATAGACTTGTACTTCCTCCGTTTTAGTAAAAACAAATGAAACATTTAAGGAGGGGTTCCCATATTATTTTTAAGGATGGAAATTAAAAATTTCACTACACTAGAGAATTGTAAATTTGGTGGATTTACTTGCATTGGTGAGAGATTACACGCCCCCATCTCCCCAAAAAATAATTAAAAAATAGGGAATGCAGACAAATTAATGTAATCATAATGCGATATTCTTTAAAAAAATATCTTGATAATCTGAGGTAAATAAATGTTAAAAATTGACCAACTGGCAAGATTATAAAAGAAAGCCTTTTAAGAGGGATATATTGGACTCAGATTTCCATTAATTGGACAAATAATTACTTCATCAACTAAAAGGAATGGTGAGATTGTAGTTTGAGGGGCCCATCCTCAGGACATAGATGTGATATAAGATCAAGGCTACTGCATGTTTCTTTATCAAGGTGTAGATCTATCTTTAACACATTTCTGGTTCCACGCCAACAGTTGGCCAGGTTTCAAAATATGGAAAAAAAATCATGGTTTAAAAATAAAACTACGAACATAACAATGAACTAGTTTAGAATTTATACACGATAGTGAAATTATGACGAAAATAGGATAAAAACACAAATTGTAAAATAAACTTAAGTACATTGAAAAGATTTTTTAACATGATGACGTTATAACTGTATTTCTTCTCTCAGTTATAACAGTATATATAGTTTTTATGACTTCTTTGATGTTAAGTAGATATTTTTATGAAAAAACTTGGTACTCTCCTAAAATAAACTTGTATTTTGTTTTAGTTAAAATGTTTATAATTGATAGAGCATAAGTTTTACATTTTGGTAAATTGTTGCATGGTTTTAAGAAGTGGAGGCCTTCAGTAAAGAAATGTGCTACATCAGATTTCTATTATTAACATTTTACATAATCGTGTAGGTATGCTTAAATTGTAATTCCTTTAAAATATGTTTCTCATGCAAAGATTTAATTTTTTCGAAAATTTATCATGGAGAATCTTGTGCATGAATGTTGTAGCCATTTGCAATCATAAAGGCATCTGTATTTGATTTCCATGTGATTTATGGTGAATGTTTAAAATATTGCGATTGGATATAAATTTCTAATATAAACCACTGTTTCTCCTATGAGTAAAATGGGATGCTTGTTATCTGATGTTTGAAGCACATAGGCTACCCTACTCTCTAACGACCTCATTAAATGTTCTGGACACCACCCCCACCACCTAAAACGAAAAAAAAAACCCATCACCAAATAACTATTTTCAGCCGAACTCTCCTGATTTTTATTATTCAGCCAGATTTGTTACAAATGAAATTATGAATTTAGGACTAAAATTGGCCTTTCTCTAGTTTACACAAAGTTATTGGAGTCCTATTTGAAATGACTTTTGTTGTGAGAGTCCACTGTTTTACTTGATAGTGAATATTCTATTAATCATTTGTATGTAATTAACAAGGACATAATAACAACCTGCTTTAATAGAATTAATTGTTTATTAATCTTCAGATTGAATTTCAACTCCATGATGTAATCTTCATATTACACTTTTCCTCTGTTTTGCCTGACATCATCTCCCTTGAGTATTTTATAATAGAAAATTAGTTCTCATTTCAATTAGAAGTTGTGCCTGGAGTTAAATATTTGATTGAGATTTAATCAGGGATGTAATATCATTTTTTGTTGAATTCTAGATTTTTAATGTGAGTAATTGAGATGATAATGTAAAAAGCCGTTGATTATATTCAAGGGAATCAGAGCTTTGAATGTCTAAAGCTCAGATAAAACACGCTGGATTCTGATGTTCTTTAAAATGTTATTTGTACATGTACATGTAGCTTTTGAAATGCAGGGCCGCATCGGGTCCTCTGTTTATCCCCACTGCAAAAAACCCCTATGCCCAACTAAACAATGTGCCATATTACAGTACTTCCAATATTACCTAGTTTGTGTTGAGTGGAAGTTAAACCTTATTTCTATCTTGCAATTTAAAACAGGAAAATCACAAGATTATAGGCTTATGGTTTCAAATTCCACTAATTTAAAGAACAAAGCAATTGCAAAAGGTGATAAAGTACAGTGATCACCTTTTGAATTGTGAGACAGTGACATCGCAAACATGTTAACGTAGGGTTTGGGAGCAGTGATGAGCGAATCAGACTAATAAAAAAATAATAAAACTATTGTTTTAATTTCAGAGGGAAATGCGTTGATTGAGAGAGCAGCTCATTCTGGGATGATTCTGCCAGGTCAAGATTGGCATACGATAACACATACAGGACCAACAGCTAATTTAGTTTATAAAATACGAGTAGTTTGTGACGAACATTATTATAACACCACCTGTACCAAGTTTTGTCGTCCACGCAACGATCGATTCGGACATTATACATGTGATTCTAATGGTGACAAAGTGTGTTTACATGGGTGGATGGGACAAGAGTGTGAAACAGGTATGTTAATTGTATGAAATGTTTGGTTCTGGTACTGAGCTGAGTGATATTGTTGGTGACACAAGCAAATATGTCAGTGGGATTCTGATGCTGAACCATATGGCACTCCTTTTTCAAAAATATATTGTAATTTTATAAACAATGCCAGTATGTCAAATTCCAGACAATCTGGAATTTTAGCAAAACAGTGAACTGCACATCAGAAACATTGGATTAAATTTATAGATGCTGATGAATAGAATGAGTAATCTCTAAATTTTGCTAAATTTCCAATACTGGTATCAAAACAAAGGGAATCTAGTGACATGAAGAAACCAAAAGACACACGAAAAAGTCATCTATAAACTTTCAAGCTTGTAAAATTAAAATATATCAGCTTGTCATGACTAGGATTAAAAAATGGTTTCCACTGTATTTGGTATGTGTTGATGTATAGATCATGATATGATATGATATCATCAGGGTTGACTGAATGGTCTAGACTCCAGACAATAACATAATAAATATATTATTATTAATACTCAATTTACATATCTAACTATATAAATATAGATTGGCTACAACAGGTGTGTTATATTAACCTTTTGGGACTCACTTATACTTACTTACTTATACATAATAAACTAGCACTACACTGATTTCAAAGCCATTATTTAAAACATCTGGGATCTAAATTAATTGATTTTTGATGTACTGTAATATGACATGAAAATAAATCATCAATTTTACACCTTCAGAGCAAGAAATACTGATATTGCTTTAAAATGGTACCAGGCAAAGTTTCTGTTAATCTCTCTTATCTATTATTAATTGTGGCCAAGTGGGTAGGGCGCTGACTCACTAACCAGGAGGTCCTGGGTTTGATCCCCGATTTGACCGAGAAATTTCATCAGAATTTCCCATCCTGGTATCCCCCAGACAGTGGTGCAGGACGGTCCTGGAAATATACATATTTAAAAAAAAAACCCACAATTTATATAGAAAAGTGCTTGAAAACAATAAGAGAATACTTGTCGAAACGTCGTGCTATGTGATTGTTTTCCATATAAATTGTGTTGTGTTTTTAAATGTGCTCAATGCCACTCAAGCATTATATATATATTTCATTGGCAGCACATTTAAAATACCCTGACAGTAGCTACTTTGACGTCAAAATTTCTTAGCACAATGCATGACATATACTTATTTTTATTAGCTTAGTTGGTGTAGAAAAGTAAAGTTATTTATTATTGATATATGTACTTGATGCTATTCTTTATGTCAAGTCGTCTTCATTAGTGCAGTCGGAGCAGAACAGTAGGACATTAAACCCCCATGTCATTTCATTTGATTTTCTTTATGTAAAAGTATTTTTGATCATGTGTTTTCAGCAATATGTCGAACAGGTTGTCATGCTGTCCATGGTTCATGTGAGCGACCAGGTGATTGTAGGTACGTATATATATTATTAACCAATCATTGTTGATGTTAAATATTTTGGTGTAATTGTGGGTTAGATGACCTGTGTAATCATTTACAGAAAAAACTCTTGGGATAATCCAAGTTCTAAGTTGAGGAACAGAATTACAATTAAGGTACCCAGGGTGGCAGTAAATAAACTATATTGGTATTAATACCGTCACACAGAGATCCAGATATTGTTTTATGTTTGAAGGAGGGGGATTACAATAGCCAAGGAGCACAGAATGAGTGTCACTTCATATACTCAAAGAAACATTTTTCAGGACTTTATCGCTACTGTCTTTAAAAATTTGATAGAAGAGGAACACTTGATTTACATCATTGGCAGAAATTTGTTAAATATTTAGACTTTTTAAAAAGTAGTATTTTTAAAAAATGAGCAAACAAGTTGCTAAATCCCGACAGAGGCTGTGAAACATTTTGAAAGGATTGACAAGTATAACCTTTGAGTCTTTTGTTTTGAGTTGTAACATTTAGGTGTCATCAATGTAGTGTGGACATAATAGTCAGGCAACTTTTGTTGGAGTTTGTCCCTCTCAACAATTAATCTATACTAATATTTGTGACCGACATTTGTCTGTCTGCCTGTCTGTCCAGGGTTGGTGGCTACAGTAAGGCTGTCCCAAGGCTGAAATTTGGTGTATAGGGGTAGTTCGGACCAGGGAGTAATGTGGGCCAGGTGGTGTTGGACTACCGCTTTTGGTTTCCGAGTTATAGTAATTTTAACCTGTGCAGCGTCAGGTCATTCGTTAGCAACTCATAACATTAAGACCATCTTTAGACGATATTTTTTAAATAATAAGCTTTTTAAGAAACCCAATTACTATAGCATCATTTGTCAGGCTAAACCAATTTAATTTTTGCTATTTATATTTTGCTTCTAATTTCTAAAGTCTTAACTAAAAAATTTCTTCTCCACACTCTGGTGCCTATCAAGACCCTAAAGAACTCATCATTCATTTGGCCTCAACATCAGGTTGAATTTGTTATAAAATGAAATACCAGTAGACTTCTGCTGGGTCACATTGATCTGTAAACATAAAATTATTGTTATTCAGTCTAAAAAAGATAAATAAAAAAATCAAAACATTTACAATTATTGAATCAACATGTAAATGATCAATAAATACTGGTAAGATTAATCTATATTGTGATGATAAATAAGATAAGATCGATGTTGTTTGGTTAATAATCTTATACCAGTCAATAACCTGTAGTACTGTACATGTTGTATATTTGTCGTTAAAAGTTTGCCCGAAGAAACCTAGAATATTGATATTAAACTTGAGATAATTATCACCGAGATATCAATAACTTTATTTAACAAGTTCACCTCGTTATCATATTTTTCTCAATCAATGGGTACGACACTTTAAAGTCTCAGATGTACATTTTTCTGACAATATCGTAAGTTTTTGTGGCCTAATCCATGCATAGATATATTCAAATTGATTAATTAACCTTTAGTTTAGAAAATAGAATTGAAATATCAAAGGTAGATAACTTCCTGTCTTGAATTCAGTCAGGCTCATCAAAAGACTTTATCCAATTGTAACAGGTGGCCCTGGCTTGTTTAGCAAAGAATACCAAATGTTGTTATATTTTCAGTTCATTATATCTTTGTAAATACTACCTGGAATTGAACCATTTATGAATTGATATTATTCTATTTAGAGATTAATCAACTTTCAAGATATTGTAGTTTTCAGGGGATTTAAAATCGATCAAATGACAATCAGCAGCTTTTAAGAAAACTTATTTGAATTTAAAGGATGGTTGTCAATCCATTTATCTACCAATATAGTGTGGTTGTATATTGTTGTCACCATAACTATATCAGCTTTTATTTTTTATTGCCTGACAATTATTTTATAGTATTTTTTTGAGTACCCGGTAACAACCAATTCAATATTATATCATAGACAGTTCATTTGTTTTGCTGTCTCTTACAAAACTTAAAATAGTGAAAAAAAGTGGGGTGGTTGTAGTAAAAACTATTTTTGTTTTCATCAAATTATATTTTTTAATTTTGGATTATGGAAGAATAAAGCTAAATTATAGTCTACTGACTGTTTAACCCACAGACTTATTTTCTAGAAAGTATGTTTTAGTTTGAAAAATAGATCCCACAAATAATTTCCCGTGAGAAAGTATTGAGGATGATAGTATTTAGTAGGGAGCATCCTTTATATGGATTCAGCACCTTGAAATATTATTACCCAAGAAGATTAAAAATCATATAAAAGTAGATACACTTGAAATCCCCTTTTTTGTTGTTGGTTATTGAAGTGATCAGTTGTATTTGTTGCTCATTAAGCTCTCTATTGTGTTATATTTTTAGGAATTGCGCTTTTTTTTATAACTGTAAAATAGATTTACATAAAAAGATAAACGAAAAGATAAATGAGTTCAAGGTCATTTTGACAATAACATGTTAACCATTTTCACGAATTTGAACATTGCAATTAGATTGAATTTTTACATATTTTGTTTTTGCTTTACATTAGAATGGTGTAGATCTTATTTTTGTCAGACTGTATTATTCTATAAGAATAATGTAAGTGCCAGTTTGGAAATTATAAAAATAGCTAATTTCTGATACAGTAGGGTGGTTTGGATGCCAAGAGAGTTTCCCAGCCATTCCCTTTTGATATCTTGAGCTAATTAAGAGCTGGTAAAAAAAATTGTTACATCTTAATCCTTTAGTCTTTTGTTGTATCTATTGAAAGTATTATGTTGATTTATTTTATTTTATGGATATTGATCAATTAGAATTTCTATTTTTTCAGGTGTGCGTTTGGTTGGAAAGGGTTGCTATGTGATGAATGTATTCCTTATCCAGGGTGTAGTCATGGGTCCTGTAATGGGTCACCATGGCAATGTGTATGTGATCTAAACTGGGGAGAAATTCTTTGTGATAAAGGTAAAGTCTTAGTTACATATAGTCAATATTATAGATATTAATCTGGCAAAGAACTGTGACTAGTCATTTGGAAGGGATAAAAAAATGAGGTCCTGTTTTTGCACATTGGCCGGCACATAAAAACCCCACTGACACCTGAAATTCGAAATAAGAGTAGGCTGTAGTGCCACTGTATGGCGTATTAGCCCAGTTGGTATAAAAACCAAGATGTTAAACCTTACTTCATTTCTGTATGTACCATAAATCACAGGTTTTCAGATCAACTCCTGAAAAAACAAACATATTTTGAAAGTCTGTTCTGTTTATTATTACATACTGGTACAAGAAAAATCTCTTAATGATATAATGTACCATAGTTCCTGTGTATAGAATGCATGGGTATAAAACACAGGGTAAGATCTAGGAAAAAATGAAGTTCTCTTGTTTAAGATTGCTTATATAAGTATTGTCTCATATTTGTCAGTTTTCAAAATGATATATGTCCAAAATAGAGAATTATTGGAGGTGATAGAATTTTATGTAATTAAAAAGATCAGATATTATAAAATAACATCCAAGACAAATGTCAAACTTTTAATTTGACTTGTAAAAAAACAGTTTACTGTGATCATGTCTTCACTAAATGAACTGGTAAAAAATAAACTCTGTTCATTTATAGTCTATATGTAGTTTTGTTATGTTATAAAAGAAAAAATCCTAGTTTTCAACCCTTTATAAGCAAAATTCTATAGAAGAAAAGAATTGCTATTCAATGGTTTTTGTTACGTTTGTTTATTTTTAAAATCACTCAAGCAAGACAAGCTATTTTTCCCACGCTTATGTTGTATATCATACTAAAAATTCATTTCAATAATAAATTTCTTATGTCATGTATTTTTATTATAGAATTATTTCTTTTGTTACCTACAACTTAGTAAATTCTTTTTATCCTTTTTGTCAATGCATGCCTGATTTGTTATTTCCGTTTTTCACATTCCATTGTAATATCATGCCATAATATATATTTAAATATTGCCTGAAAAGATTTTCGTTCGTAATAACTAATATATATCTTATCTATGTATTTAAAATGTTGTTAATATTTACTTGGTAAAAACAGGTAAACCACAAACAAGTTCAAATTTGGTTTTATTCTTTGTATTGTATATATGTATGTGTTGTTTAGGTTTAAATGTTTCTGTGGTGAAATAATGATAATCTGACCGGTAAACCATATATTACATTCAGTTTGGTTTCTCCTGGTCAGTGTTATAGGACTGAGGACATGGCAAGGAATAGTATCTAGTCATTCGGGCAGGACAAAAAATCAAGGTCGCATGTATATATTGGCATGTGCGTATGCCCATCATTATTAGTCTGTTTGGTGCAGAAAAGTAGGACGTTAAACCCCTTTCATCTGATTTCAATATGGTATATATAATTATTGAAGTTTTTTTCTCTCTATAAAACACATTTAATATTCATATATATTTACTTACAGATTTGAATTTTTGTGGCAGACATCATCCATGTAAAAATGGAGGAATCTGTCGGAACACAAATCCGAATGAATTCCAGTGTTCATGTCCGGAAGGATTCTCTGGTAAAAGCTGTGAAATAGGTAATGTTTTATTGATTGATGTTTTATAATACAATATGTTATTTTATGATGAAAAACATTTAGTTTAATAAGTGATTTATAGATATACCATTTAGAGACACAAAACAGGTCAAAATACCCTTCAAAGGAGATTTAAATAGAAGGATTACAAAGGGGATTCAACTAATTCTTCCTTCCTTGTAACAGTCGTTTGCCTTCTAGATGAGTTTGAGTACCAACATGGGACAATAAGAACTTTGGAATTGATCAAGGGTAGAGACTGTGGGGCTAACAAGATAAGTGTTGCCTAGTAGTTTGAATAGGTCAAAAAACGGGGATTCAATGATGCATACACACTGGAGTGCACATATATGACCATAGAATAAAACAACCATATGTTAGTCGCAAAATGACCAATGTGTTGACTAGACGTTAGACTCCATTCCTATACAACACTTCTAGGTGTTACAATTATGAAATTTTGTCTTATAATGAATAATTGTCAATCTATTTTCTTCAGCGGAACGAGCCTGTTCATCTAATCCATGTCAACATGATGGTATGTGTGTTGATCTTGTCAGTGGATTCGCTTGTAATTGTCAACCTGGATGGACTGGAAGAGCATGTCATCTAAGTAAGACCTTAAGATATATATTTTTGGACGAGTGTAGTGCATTTGGCAGAATGGTTTACCTTTTTCTTGAACCACTTCACATTCATTGCTAGTGCTCATGGATAAGAGTTACAATTTGTATTCATAAATAAAGATTTTCTGCTTATTGACTTATGACTAAACTTTGGGTAAAAAATATATGTGTTGGTTATATTAAATTTAATGTATTTATTTGCTTTGTGAAGTGGGTTCTTGTCTGTTTATAAACTTTAGGTACTAAGAGAGAGCGAATGTTGAGGTATAACTGATTTGTAGTTAAACTGTTTAAGCCAAATTGGGGGTCACGGTGGCTAAGTGGGTAAGGCTCTGGCTCGCTAGCCTGGAGGTCGGGTGTTCGATCCCGGCATTGGCCGAGAAAGTTCATCCAGATTTACCGGCGTGGTTCCCCCCCCCCCCTTGTCAGTGATGCAGGACAGAGGTCCTGACAAGGACAGCTGTCTAGTCGTTCGGATTGTACAAAAAACAAAGGTCCCATGTACACATTGGCATGCACGTAAAAGAGCTCTTGACAGTTGGAATTTGATCTAAGATGTGGCTGTCTGGGAAAAATTTCCCTCATAGCACACTGTATGGCATATGCCCTTCTTCATTAACCCAGTTCGGAGCAGAACAGTAGGACGCCGGAACCTGGGTACCAGGGTAAACAAATGGTACCCTGCCCTTTTCTGGGGTATACATGTATACCCATGCCCTAATGATGAAAGTTTTCAACCTTTTCACTAGTCTATTCACTAGTCTATTGTGAATAATCAGGCTTTTGTCTCTTTCATTATCATGTATTTTAAAGGGTTTTATGTTGGAATTTAGAATGCTAGAGGCGCTCTAAACAGCGTTCTCGGAATTGACAAATTTCATAATTTTAAAGAGGTTTAACTTCTTTATGTCTGTACTTTCAACCAGAAATCCACCCAATGTTCACATTTTATCAATTAAAATATTTAAACTTTCAGATGTAAATGAATGTGCTTCTAGTCCATGTCTTCACAATGGAACGTGCCTGGATAAAGAAAATCGTTATATTTGTCTGTGTCCATCTGGTTGGCAGGGTCCACATTGTCAACTTGATGCTAACGAATGTAGTGGAAGTCCTTGTGTTAATGCCTACGCTTGTCAGGATTTACGTGGAGATTATCACTGTGATTGTCAACCAGGCTGGACTGGTAAAAAATGTGATATCAGTAAGTACAATGATAAAATAAAATTTGTTTGAAACCCGTTTTATCCTTGTCACAGTTGTAGTTGTTAAATATTTTTAAATGAATATATAAAAGCTACCACTGAATTGATATTGATCATTCAACTCAGGGGAACTTGAAGAATTGAGGGGTCTGTGCATGAATTCTAGGGAGTCTGCTGGGGAAAGGGGGTTGGTGAAAATAGATAAAATTGGTGATATATTTGGGTAATGATTTTCAATAGCTGGTATCAGAGTCTAAATAATAGGATTGATGGTCATTTTTATTAGAATGGACCATGTTAGGGTTTGTTCAAAGTCGTGCCATTTGTCATAAATCATGTCCCAAATATGGTAAATCTGATTTGAAATAGTAAATACAGATCTTGTGGGGAGGAGAAGAGGGTGGGAGCTGCAAGGGGTTTTGTAAGGTGTCACAAGGAGTGAAAAAGTGTTTGAGATCCACTGAGGTACACTGTTGAAAGATTGCAGTGAATTATGGCTGTAGGTATGGATTCGATGTGCAAGGATATTAGTTCATAGTTTCGGGGAATTTTCTCACATGTCCTTTCCATTCTCTATTGCTATCACTTGTTGAATTCGGTATTGAACTTAGTATTTTGAAAACTTGCTTGACTTTTATTTACCAGGTAGTTTACAAATTTCTTATAAAAAATGCACAAAAAAGGTCCCCTGGTAGTTGGAATTTGATATATGAGTAGGCCGTAGCGCCACTGTCGGGGCAAAATTTCTCCCATACCACAAAGTAGGACAACAAACCCAATTTCATTTCATTTATATTAAATATTTCAGATATAGATGATTGTCAAGATGTAAAGTGTAAACATGGAGCTTCTTGTGTTGTAAGTAATTATATATACAGATAAATACTCTCAGGGTTTCATCCTAGCTAGGTGGAATATAGACCGATGATACTTTTGTTTTGTTGTCTTAATTAAATATCAACTAATCAGTTTGGAAAGCTGTGAAAATTTAGATATTGTTAATAAAAATGATGTCCAAACTAATGTTCTTAATACAAGATAAATTGAAAGTAACTTGTGCTACAAGTTATGTTTTAATATTGACTTTAAAGTACATGTGATTGTATATATTATAGGATTTAGTGAGTGGGTATTATTGTTCCTGTCTTCCTGGTTATACAGGTTCACTTTGTGACATTGAAATAGACGAATGTTCCAGTAACCCATGTGAACATGGTGCCACATGTCACAATCAGTTAGCATCTTACCAGTGTGAGTGTAGACCAGGTTATACAGGTTACAACTGTCAGGTAATTTACAAATAATTCATTAGTGTCGATGCAAATATCAATTCTTTGATTTTATGGAAAGGCTATTTACAGTTTTGTATGTATATACATATATTTACTTACATGATATTTAATGTGATATATTTGCTATAGTATGTTTACTATTGCTTATTTACTGTGGTTTATTTTCTTTGATATATATACTATTATAGGCTTACATATTTACTGTAATGATATATCTAGTAGTAGTACCATTGCTATGGTACTATAGTATATTTACTACTATGGTATATTTACTAGAATACCATTACTACTATGGTATATTTACTATTATGGTATATTTACTAGGATACCAATACTACTAATGTATATTTACTACTATAGTATATTTACTAGGATTCCATTACTACTAGGGTATTTTACTTATATGGTACATTTACTATTATGGTATTTATATTTACTACTATGATATTTTTACCGATACTATTATGGTATGTATATTTACTACTATGGTACATTTACTATTATGGTATGTATATTTACTACTATGGTATATTTACTATTATGGTATGTATATTTACTACTGTGGTATATTTACTATTATGGTATGTATATTTACTATGTGATATAATTGTTTTGTTATATGACAGGTTGACGTAGATCCATGCCATCCAAATCCGTGTCAACATGGATCAAGCTGTTTTAATATACAAGGTGATTTCTATTGTCATTGCCAACATGGTTACGAGGGTAAAGACTGTTCTAGACTCAGGGCCAGGTGTCAATCAGAATCTTGTCAAGGTACAAATAGATTTATCTTATGTTTTCATTTGAATTTAAAATCTCAAAAATCTTTAACCATACATAGTGTGCACCTTTTTTGACAATCCCATTGATGTGATTGTTATTGTGATTGTAATTTTAGTAAGTGGCTGGGTTTCCAAGAAGGAAAGGGTAATCTGGTGATCTGCCCCTATTTTAGAAAGGGTGGTAACATACTTTCATTGCTCAGCCATCCCTATTGAAAGTGATTTGGGACCATTTTGGATTTCTGTCTGGTGATCTTGTACAATTTATTTGTTTCAGTAATTGATAGTTGCACCATTTCCATTCCGTCTAATTTCTCTAATGGAGGATCGAGATTGATATCATCCAACGTATGTGGTAAACATGGTCTATGTATCAGTGAACCTAGTCAAGGTTTCTCCTGTGCCTGTGAATCTGGTTATACTGGAACCTATTGTCACGAGAGTAAGTTGTATTAGGTTTATAGAAGGGGGTGGGTGGGTGTCAGTCAAATGATTTAATGAACAGTTGATCACAAGTGTTTTTCTTATTCAAGAAATTTAAACTGAATATTTGAATACAGTAATTTAGCCTTTTCATTGGCTAAGGGCAAAAATTTAAGCTATGATTTTAGTGCTCCGCTAATAAACTGTCAGTATTCTTAAAATATTTTAGTTTAAGTTTGATGAATAGCGACCCAGGACTGTTATCTGTAAAAACCTTATCTTAATTCTAGGGATATCTGGTGTCCTGCAGTGCTTAAGAGCCTTTTGTATTTGTATGATACACGTTTTCCTTGGCTTTTGCATAAAAATTACTTTGGCCATTTTGTTGCTTTATATAAATTGCTTTAATGGTAAAGGTGATTATTTTTATATTTTTAGATATAGATGATTGTTTAAGTGAACCGTGTCAGAATGGTGGTACATGTATTGATGGTGTAAATTATTATCAATGTTTATGTAGAGAAGGATGGGAGGGTGCTCTATGTAATATCAGTAAGTACAAGATACACCTATAAGTAAAGAGAAAAAATACACCTATAATAATGATCAGCGACTGTAAAGTTAGAGAGGGGGGGGGGGTGACCGAATGGGTTAACATGTCCGTGCTAGATCATAAGATCTGTTATTGAGTCAAGTGTTGTGGTTTTATATCCCCGCTTGTACATGACAAGGGGGTAGAGTCTCATAGGCTTTTTTCAGGTCATCCGGTTTCCTCCCACAGCTAAGGACCACTACGCTCAAGTGAATTATTGAAAGGACATAGAACAATATGATAATCCTGAAATGCCCTAGTGAAACCTCATTTCTATCTCTCTGAAGAACATGGAATTATCTATTAACTTTTCAAGTGCCATTCTGAGTAGTTTTGTTTCTATTTTGCAGATAAAGATGACTGTTTTCCGAATCCATGTCGTAATGGGGGAGAATGTAGTGATTTAACTGCTCAGTTTCTCTGTCAATGTATAAATGGTTGGAAGGGGAAGACTTGTACTCTCCGTAAGTTTCCTCAAAGATAACCATCAATTTATTAAACACTATACTAAATTTTATTGAGCTGGATATTTATGACGATAGAGAAAGGACTAGAAATCTCAGGTTCAAATACCATCATGGGTCAAGAACAAACTTCCCACTAGTCATAGGTATCAGGTGCAGGGCTGATGCAGAATTTAGCTGGGATGAATTCGGGCACAGTGATAATGAATGACAGAACTTACATGTCAGTCATTTTCATAGAATTTAACATTAAAACACAATAATTTTATAGTTTTTATATGTAAAAACACTTCAAAATATATACTGATAAAGCATGGAATAATGGTAAGAAATAGTCAAGTTATTCGGTAAAAATATCTTGTTAATCCGAAGTAAACAAAATACATGAAAAATTGACCAGCTAACAAAATTTTGAAGTGAATACAGCACATTGTGGTCGGCCATGTGAAGAATAGTTGATAGTTGGATTTTGAAATTAATTGATATTAATATTTATATTAAACCCTGAAAAAAATTTTCTTGTTCATTTAATTTTACTCTGATAAGTAAGTAAAAAATGAAAGACTGGACACTACGTACAGTATTGAACTTATAGCTTCAAACTAACCCAAACAAATGTAACCATAACAAAAGAAACCATATGATAGTCTCATAATGATTTTATTTGATGACAGGTAACAGTAATTGTGAAGAAACAACATGTGCTAATGGAGGTACCTGTGTAGATCTAGGTGATACCTTCACCTGTAGATGTTTAAGTGGTTGGGAAGGTAACATGTGTCAATTAGGTAAGAGTAATCATTATTACCAAAACTACTTCATCAATACAACATAGGAGATAAAAAATGTAAAAAAATTTGAATAAATGATGAACTTCTAGAAAATCTTTTTGAATACCTGATGAATTTCTAGAAAATTCTTTTTAATAAATAAAGAAATTTTTAAATAAAGTACTTTTTAAGAAAAGAAACGAAGAACTTTTTGAGAAAAGAAATGAAGAACTTTTTGAGAAAAGAAATGAAGAACTTTTTAAAAAAGAAATGAAGAATTTCTAGACTTTTTGTTGTTGAAGAATTCTTGTAAAATAGTTTTGAATAAATAAGAAACTTCTATTAAAAATTATGGAGTTCTAGAAGAAATTTTACGAGAAGCTGTTGAGCATGTTAAACTATATTCTCTGTGAGAATCTTTGTATTAAAACAAGATGTCTCTTGCTGTTTGCCAAGAATTGAATAATTTTTTAAAACCGTGAAAAATAAATTGTTAGAAAAAAAAGATTAGAGAAGAGTTAAGATAGAAAGCTCGAATTCAGATATAAATTTTTTTTTTGATATTCTAATTTCATTCCCAGGTGTGTATGTTTTACGGTATATGTTTTATGTTATAGCTTCAATACATAGTTGTGATTCGTCACCATGTGAGAATTCTGGTACATGTGTCAATAGTGGTGATAGTTATACATGTATGTGTCAGGAAGGATTCGAAGGTTCAAACTGTCAAATAAATATCAACGACTGTAATCCTTTTCCTTGGTAAATATTATATATTCTTTTTCACTGCCATCTTCTTACACTTAAAATATTTGTAAATTCAAAAAGATTATGGTAAACTTCCAACAAAGCATTTTCAGTGACAGCTGTTTCCACCAGACTTCATTTGGTGTATTAGACTTGTTGTCTGTCATGCCTTTTCCTTGTCAATGGTGCAGAACAGAGGGCTTGGCAAGGAACGGTACCTAGTTATTTGTATGGGACAAAAAAAAACAAAGTCCTATGTCCACATTGGTGTGCACGTAAAAGAACTCTTGACAGTTGAGATTCGAAAAAAAAAAAGAGTATAAGGCTTGATGCCATTGTCTGTGTAAAATTTCCCTCATAGCACACTGTATGTTGTATCAGAAAAGTAGGACGTTAAACCCCATTTCACTTCATTTCATTTTTGTGTGGTTCAGTTGATGTAAGTGCATGTAAGACATTCCCACAGACTTATTCAGGAGAGTTTTATAAAGTAAACTAACCCATTTATATATTCCCAATCTTATGTGTATCTCTTGGATTATGGATGACCCTTGCAACTTCAGGTAAAGCTAGAGTACCAACAATTATCTAAAGTAGGTTGAATGTATATATTATATATTATAGTTATAATGGAGGAAGGTGTATAGATGGTATTAACTGGTATATATGTGATTGTGCTACAGGTTTCTCAGGACCAGATTGTCGTGTCAGTAAGTACCTACTACCTACCACTATTTTCTGTAGATTTTTACTTTCATATATCAAATCTAATTAAGGTGACCAGATTGTATTGAATAGACAGTAAACCCAAATTTATTTTCTCTACCATTCTTTAATTGTTTTTATTTTATAGTTATCAATGAGTGTGTTTTTATTTTATAGTTATCAATGTGTGTGTTTTTATTTTAAAGATATATTATCAATGAGTGTGTTTTGTTTTTGTAGATATCAATGAGTGTTTTATTTTATAGATATCAAGGAGTGTCATTTTATTTGTAGATATCAATGAGTGTGCCAGTAGTCCATGTACATATGGTTCAACATGTTTAGATGGTATAGGTGATTATACTTGTATCTGTCCTCCAGGTAGAACAGGCAAAAAATGTCAAACAGGTGAGAAGCAATAATTTATTGACAATCAAAATTTCAGTTTTGTTTCATCGATTGGTAAATTGTTTTAGATGATTATGAGATTTTTTAATGTGATTGTCATGAATTGTCATGAATTTGATTAATTTTAGCTATTGGTCAGCTTCCTGCACCAAAATCGTGCCTTCACAACAGAAGAATATTTGAAGATAGTACTAGCTGGCAATATGAATGTAATGCTTGCGTCTGTAAAAATGGCAAAGTTTCCTGCTCAAAGGTAACTATATGGATAGAATTAGATCATCATCAAACTGTTATTCTCTCATCTACATTATGGCTGGGGGCGGGGAGGTAGTTATATTGGGGGAGGTCATAGCCCAATATAAGGATATCTGCAGATCTCAGACTGTTAATTCAATCATGGTTGTGACACCGGTTGCTGGTTGTTTAATAAGTCTTACATTTATTTCATTGATCCACAACATTGCTCATAAGTAGCATAGCCAAAAGGCAGCCGGGCACAAAGGTGCTCGGGCAACTTATTATTTCTACCAATTTATAAATCTTCTATCATTTAAGCTTACGTGTGTTGATATTATTTTAATTTAGTTATGGTGTGGTCCAAGGAATTGTTTACCTCACCCTAATAACAGTGAACCTGTTATTCCGTGTGAACCAGATCAGACGTGTGTTCTACTAACAGATGAAACATGCTTCACACCGCCATGTATACCGTATGGACAGTGTAAAAGACTGGAGAATATAAAAGACCCAACACCTCATGGTGTTACAACTAAATGCATTCCAAATGCTGAATATCTCAGTAATAATTGTGCTAAAATCACGCTTGTGTTTGACAAGTCCAAAATGCCAGCAGTAAGTAGAAATTTGTTCTGTTGAGTTTGTACAAAAAAATGCCAGGATTTTTCCATAGGATCAGTAATTCTTTTTCATATGTCAACATTTCATTGGGGACTGGTATTATTCTGGAGTAATACTAGGTACCTAAATCAAGTGGATCCTATCGATATATTGCGATATATCATTGCTGTGGATTTAATCTTACCAATATTATTGTCAATTGGATCCCAAGATTGGGTTGCTTCTCTAACCTTGTTACTTTCTTCTGGTTCTTAATTTTCCTTCAATTTGGCATAATGATATATATATATATATATATATATATATATATATATATATATATATATATATATATATATATATATATATATATATATATATATACCATGTGTTAGACCTATATTTGTTCATTTGTCATTTAAACCCTATGCGCCAAGAAGAACCTCACAGACTTTTCAAGACCATCCTTCACTGGGCCTGACTGACGCCTCTGACAAGGAAAGTGTGCCTAGTTGTTTGGAAAAACAAACTTTGACATTTGGAAATCAACATAAGTCGTGTTTACACTTGGCTGCAATAAGCGTTCCGTTCTTGAAACCATTCCAGGCCACGATAAATTTTAAGAAAATGACCTGTTTACATTTCTCTACAATAACCGCTCTCGGAACCATTCTAAGTACACTATAAAGTTCCACAGAATAGTTAATTTCAGTCCCTATGCAAATAACCCAGATGAAAACATTTATGGCGGGTGATTTAATTACGTTTGACACTTTCTTTATTTTATTTTTGTTATTGAGAGTACGAAAGAAATCTAGAAGGAATGGTTATTTTTAAAGCGATTTGATTTCCATTTTAAATGAGTTAGCAGTCTCTTCGGTCGCCCATACAGTTCCTTAAGCAGCCATTTTGACAGAACTATCAAAGCTCTCAGGGAAAAAGGTCAAGGTTCATTTGAGGCATGCGCAATAATTCTACTGAGAACCATTCCGAGAATCTGAGACCACCTCACTTCAGTGGCCCAAATTGGAACGGTTCTTAGTATGGAATGCTAATGTTTGACCCGTTTACACTACAAAAAAAATTACCGTTCCATTCTCGGAACTGCTTCTGGTACGCTTAAATTTGTAATGTAAACAGGGCTATTGAGTGGGCTGAAATGCTGCTGTATGGTCAAAATTCTCCTACTTTGAATAGTACATGTAACCATAGAAATAAAAATTACCATTAAACATTCTAATATGATTGATGTTCTTTAACTATTGTATTTGCAGGGTGTATCTATTGAGAATATTTGTAGAACAATTCGTGATCTATCCATTCTACGTCACATTGCTCGATACAATGAAGTCTATATTCTTTGTGGTATTAAAAAAGATCATATCAACACAGTGGAGGTGACACTGGTAAGATATTTTGTCTACTTGTAGATATCAGGGCTTTCGCATTAAACTTTTTGCCAGTCAGTCAGTTTTTGACGTATTTAGTTTAACTCGGATAATTTTTGTTCTGCCTGGTGGGGGCGGGGGCGATGCTCTTCGAACAAAACCTAAGTCTCCGCAAATTCAAGTACTATGTAGATGAAACTTGGCGTGCTTGTTCCTTGGACATTTATGCATCAATCGACTTTAGTTCTTGAGATGACAGCAATGACATTGTGCTCTTTTCCTGGCCCGCTACGCTCATACCATCCTCGGTTACCCAGTGTACTCATTCCGTTCTACTCCACTATACTCTGGGTTAATCCATTGGGTTTCCATGATTTCAAATTATCTGCCCTGGCCTAGAATGTAGCTATAGTCTACGAACCAATCAGAAAACAGTTTACAAACCAATCGTTTCGCCTTCGTTTTTAATAAGGGTAGATAACCATATTTATGTCCATTTACTGAATGATTAATGTAAATATTGTATATATTTATAATTTATTTATATTTAAGTTGTATTATCAAAATCTGTAGTATGTGTTGTTGATTTCAAATATGTATAACATCTATAAGTTTGACTTTTGTTATTATTATTACTATTCGTTCTTTGTCAGAAATATGTCATTCTGTGATGTTTATTATTATTGAAATTATACTTGGCAATTTGATTCACAATAACTTGACTACGATATCACGTGGACATAAAATTCCGGGAACGAACGAACGAACGAACGATTCTAAATAAAACTAATGACCCTACATTATTATATGAACGTCTGGTCTTCGTTAACATAATATATACTTGGTTGTTAATAAATACGCATTTAGAATAGGCCAACTCCTAACATTGTCCGATGAGAGTTACTTACCTTTGCCAACTTCCTTTTCAAATAGCAATTTATGGGATTGGTCGGTAAAAATAGCACAATCATCAAGGGCGGATAACTTGAAAACGTGTCTCCCCCCATAGATTAACCCAGGGTATAGTGGAGTAGCACGGAATGAGTACACTGGGTTACCAAGGATGCGCTCATACTTGTTTCAAAGAATATGACAATTTTTAGCATTATCCAAATATATTTTAAAGTGTTTTTACACATATATAGGTTAAGAAATAAAAATTATTAGTCCACAATGGACATCCTGCAATAATTGTATTTAAATATTTTTGTTACAATATTGTTCCATTTTTGTATTTATGTTACAATGTATATTCTAGTCAACAGATGATGTTGAACCTAACAGTCCAACCAGACCATCTCTTAAATCAACAATAGATAAAGTAGCCGATATTATTAGTCATAAACAGAGTAACAGTAGCGCCCTTGCAGCCGTTACAGAAATACGTGTAGAAACAACTATAGTCAATAAAGCTTCTGCAGGTAACAAAATTATATTATAAGCAGACAAGTAAAATGATGTATGAGTGATGACAGAGAGAAATGGGTTTAAAGTCCACTTGACACAAACCAAAAAATATTTTAATGGTGTATTTTTTAGTTCTCAGCAGAATTATTTTAAAAAATTGCTAATTGTGGCAGATAAAAAACACTATCAGATAGCAAAATTTTTGGATCATAAATTTAGAACTCTTTTTGTTCAGTTGTTAATAGGAGGAGGCAAATTGAAATTTCAAAATAATTTGAATAATTTGATAGTATATTTCTAAGTTATTCCCGAATTACTTTCAAATATATGAAGTCTTCATGAGATTTTCATTGTAGAATCATAAGAAAGATATTTATTTCTCACTTGTTTTGTGGAGTTATTTTTTCATTTAATTTTTATTTTTAAATCTTTAAAAATTTGCTCTTGAGAATTGTTGGAAAGATTTAGATCAGATGACTTTGCTGCCAGTGGGTGTTTTGGGGGATCTGATAAAACTTGTCTAATTTTGGTAATATGATGAACCTGTGGTTATTTTGAATATAGCTTGCATGAGTTACTTTAAAGTTAAGTTCTTTGTGATTTATAACGACTCTTTCACTTTATTACATTGTCTGTGTGCTTTGTTTCAGCATCTGGATATCTTATTCCATTAATTTGTTCCATCATGATCCTGTTGGGTATAGTCAGCATAATATTACTCGTCTTGTGGCATTACAGACGCAAAAACAAGCGCAAAAGACGAGAAAGTTATCTCAGTGAAAACAAAACAAACAATGAAACAGAGGAGAATATCCGACGTTATCGTAATCCGTTGTTTGGAACGGATAAAGGTGGGGGAACATCTTCCAAGAAAGTTCAAGATACAGAACTTAGAGATATAGACATTGAAAAATATGAGAAGAGTCCACGCAGAACGGTATCGTTAGGCGAGTCTTCAACAGATTTTAATGACTTTCGGGAAAATACCCCGCCACCAAAAACTGCCCACAAAAAGGACATCAATATACAGCTTTCACGAACTCTTCAGTCAGAACGAGAAGTCATTGTGTAGTTCAGGACATTTAGTCTTTTTAATTATTGGTGCATATTTTATTCAATTTCATTGCATAGTCTTGTCGTTATTCATCTCATTTTCATTTTATTCAATAAAAGAACAATTGTGGATCTTCATAGTCGTGGGCAAACAGCTGTGCTAAACAGAAATGTGTTGTGTACAAGACATTGTGTTAAACTAAAGATTTGTTGAAGTCATGTTCATCGGAGACAATTGTGCTAAAATTTGTGTTAAGTCATTTTCAAACAATTTGTGTTGTAGTCAAATACGGTTGTGCTAAATATAAATTATGCTAATAAAACATAAATTCATTTTCAGTGCTATTCATACAATCATGCAAAACAAAAGTTGTGCTAAACCTGAAAGTTGTGCTAAACCTAAAAGCTTGTGCTAAAAGTTCAAGTTGTGCTAAATATTTTGTGCTTGAAGTTTACCTTGGATACGTTCTATGTAAAGGTTTTACATTAAAGTTGACATATCATTTGGAGTCTTCATGAGTGCATATCTTGTGCTTTTAGTTTGGTATGCTAAAAGTTTAGTGTTAGAAAGAAGTGCTTCTTTGTGTATCTATTTGTTATGTTCAGCTGTGGATCTTCTACTCAATATACCAGTGATTTAAACTGAACACTAAAAACAATAATATTAATTGTTTATAGTGGAACAGAACAATATACAATACAAACATGACTGTGTTCAAAGCAGATTAAATTTGAAACAAGTGGAGTAAATACATGGCGCTATTATAAACAATGTAGTCCAAAAATTATGCTGAAAACAAATCTATAGGGCAACCCCTAACACAAAATGAATGTCGACCATCATTGAACATATAAACTCTCTTAATAGAGTAAAAAGTTTGTACTTATATTAAACAGTATTTTATGTGTTCCTTATATGAATTTGTAAAGTTACAGTTATGTGAATGTATGTATATATGCTATACTTTTTAAAGTTTCACTCCAAAATTTGCAATTGTGAGTCATTTCTTGGTGCTTTTTACTTTGTATAATTACAGCTTGACGTGTTTGGGTAGACTCAATCAACTGACTACACCAATGTTTTCTAGATACCTATTCTAGTGTGTATTTTACACACGTGGGCTTCACTATAACGCTCATGTTGGGGACCATTAATTTCACCCAACCTTTATATTATAATATAATACAAAGGAAGACTTCATTGTAGCGTTGACGTTTGGGGTCCACTGTCCATAACCATACTTTTCAAAATTCTGGTCATATATTTAATAGTAGTAGGTGGTAAATAAGTTATTGTCTCCTTTTAACATGTTTCAGGATTTTCAGATAAACAGCCCGGATAAGTTTATTTAATATCAATGGCGTAATATGTGAATACAGGTGCTGCTGATAATTTTGTACTCAAAATAAGGGAACAAATCATGATTTGAATGAATATAATAAAAATAAAAAGCGTCGAGCAGCCTTAAGAGAAGATAACTCTACTTGATTCATAATTTACAATGATGAAATGGATGACAAAGCCTAGCTTTGTGTTTATTTCACAATTAACTGTCTATAAACTAGAAGTGATAGAACAGAAGTATTGTTTGGAAAAATGTCTGAGTGTATACAAAAATGTTCATTCAATAATTTGCCATTTGAACTTTGTAATATAAAGAAAAGTCATGATGTCGTAAATGTTTTGTTATCGTGTCTGATGTAAATATGTAAATTATCTTGACTCATTTTAAACTATTTATTTATTGATTTAAGATGTGATGTGTTAAATAATTAATAATAATTTATGAAATCAAATAATTTATTATACGTCTCCTTATTCCTTTTCATCCTTATTACGGCAAAAAACCTATGAAATGTGTAACAGTCAAATGATCAATTTATTTATTTAGTTGGAGGATGATTTCAAGCTCTTTTCTAAAATGTGATGAACCCTCCTTTATCATGTTTTGGAAAACCACTTTTCATATATTTCTTCACATTTTTATGTTCAATGATTTAGCCATGGATAGCGTATAGGCAACGAATAATCCAGAATGAAACAAAAACTAGCAAACAAAGACACTTATAACTTTGCCCCACTTTAAATTTAATTGCAACTGAACTTATAAGTAAAGATACATTATTGAAGATTTGATAAAGAGCTGGCGGTTCTCACTAGAGTAGTTAAAAAGTAGATGATGTAATTAAAATATGCTGAAAATTTCAGTCAAATTGCTTCACTCTTAGCCGAGACATTTTTTGCATTTAATTACCAACAAACGTTGAACAGCAGAATGGATTCAAATCCAATGAAAATCGAACACATAAAATGGCATTGAGAGTTGATTATGGTCTTTTCATGTTAATAATTGTCTAATTAATAGTTTATATAACATTTCAGGCCTACTGAAAGACCTGCAATTGGCAGATTTACCTCTTGCTTATTGTATTTTAAGGAACAAATAAAACATTTGTTCAACATGAAATAAGTTCTCCACTGCTCAAGGTTTGTAATGGAAATTCTTTAGTCAGATTGAATATTTGATCAGAGATTTTGATAAATAAACAAAGAATTAATAAATTTGGTAATATGATCATTTTTGTTTTTGTCAAAAAAAAACCCAAAAAAAAACTGAATTAAAATAGAAAGAAACAATTATTTGGAGATTAATGTTTTGATCAAAGTAAAAATGCTTGATTTGTTAATTAAAGACCTTCAATTTTTGTTATCATTAATAACATCTTATAGTGGTGTAGTAATGTATGTTTGTATGTATTGTATGTATGTTTCCATAAGCTTGTGTCTATTCACTTAACTAAAAGACTTTCCTATTTCTCCCTAAATTAATTTCGGGAGGAGAAGGAAATTTTCTTTTGTATTTAAATCTAAGCATTAACCTTGTTTGATTCTTTAAGTAGAACACTACTAAATATGCTTCACAAATTTTTAAAATTTCCATAAAGAAGATGTATTTTTGCTCTGCATTTTGATTGTGCATGTATACATGTATTTTTTTCATCCATATTTAAATTGTCTTGTCCTTTCTTAATACATGATGGTAGCTTCAAAAATATATTTACAAATTTCCATGCCTTTTAAATGAATGGTGGTCCAGTAATTATTTTATAGACTATTTCTTTCTATGTTGGCCTTATTTTATTTTTGAATTACTGGAAGGCAGTTTATTTGTATCACATAGTTTCACAGAGACAAAACGATGCAAATCAATTTATTTATCAAACAATAGGCAGCAAAGTTATAATAATTGATATATTTATGCACCGGTATATTTGAAATATTGACTTTGATTTTAGAAATATAAGTGTAGCACATTTAATAAATTTCACCAATCTAACTAAAATGGATATTTTTTGTTACTTTTACACTAAATTGTAGAAATAAAACCAAACAAATTGACATCTGATTTAAATCATCAATAAAAATCCTTAAACAGAAAATAATAAATTTATAAATATACATCAGTGACTATATAAAGTTCTAGATTATTTGAAAAGTGACCATCTTTCCAAATAGGCATAAGGGAGATAACATGGATAATATGTCTCGCCCATTGAATTGATAATCTTAATATTTAATATACTTTTTCATTTACTGAAATAGATCAAAAATACATTTCTGTTCAGTTATTGAAAAATTTTGAAATGGTAATTCAATGCTAATATTTTTAATAAGTTTCTTATTTTTAGTTTGAAATAGTGTGTCAAGGGAGATAATTTGTGTTGCTTTACTTCCTCCACACCCCCCCCCCCAAAAAAAAGAAACAATAATTTCTTATTTTTTGAAATAGTGTGTTTAAGGAGATAACTGATGCAAATTGTGTTGCTTAACTTACCCCCACCACCCCAGAAAAAAGAATAAATGATATTATCAACCTCGTTTAGTTTGAATTAAATTCATAAGACATTAATCTCTAGTTTTACATTACATGTATTGCTGTGCACAGATTAGAAGAGAAAACCATTCTTTTTCAGTTTAATACAAAAGCATTAAAACTATTTTGTTGTATCAAACTGATTTTAATTACTTTTAAAAAATTGAAATAGGGTAAAAATTTATTTCATTATAATTGAAAAAATTGGGTAAATTTAAGACAATCATACTGTCTTATTTTCATGTAGTTATTGTTTCTTTTTTATTATAGCTTATCACTGCCAACAGTGCTCAGGTTTTTTTTTTGTCCACATTTAAATCATTTTATTTATCATCTTTATGTGTATTAGACCAATTTAATTAGTAGGCTACAGTAATAATCATCTTTTCATCCAGTTATGTGTCATATTTATTTTATTTTGGAAAAATGTGAAAAACATCCTAAAATTAAGGTATCATGAGATGGAACCACTGAAACGTTATTAAGTTAACTGGTAATCCGAACAAGAAAACTTAATGTACATGTAATGTACTACCAGGTACTTTGAATAGAGACTGCAATTTTTTCTGAACAGAATATTTTAGTTAAAATTTTATGTAATAACAATTACTAACCCACCCAATATATCAGTTACAGCCGTCCTTGATAATCAAGACATTAGATTTATTGTCCAGTCAATTAAAATGCTTTGGTTACAAATGATCTATAATACCAAACTTTCAGAAATGTTTGTTTTAAATACTGAAAAAGGGAAGAGACAGGATAAACAGTATTAATCTATTCATTGACAGTTCTCAAAACTTGCTCTTAAATGAATTTGTTATTTTTGCTTTAAACCATTTAATAAATTTGAAAGTCAGATGAAAAAAAGAACTAAAAAAGAAACAAAATTATAGAAAATATTTTATGCTTTGTAAGAAATAGGGGTTTGATAATGAAAGGAATTATAAATTGCCAGTAAGTGTAAGATCCTATATAAAGGCAGCGATATTTAACCTTTATTATTATAGAAATATTAAGATACAGAAGATCTTATTAAATTATAAAATAATACGGCAGCAATCATTATTATTACTACTTTATAGATATTTTCAATGTGTCATTATTTAGAGTTTCGAAGTATGCATCATTTACTATTATTCATACTGCTGTGTTGTATTTCAATGCATCATGATGTACTTCAAATTCAATGTATCATGATTTACTATAAATTCATTGTATCATCACAAGTAATGCTGGTATATATAAGGTATTATATCATACAATTCAATGTATTAATACACATATGCATCATTAACTGTATGGTTTATTAAATCATCACTATTATATTCAACATGCGCAAAGTTAACTTTTCAATGTATTGTTCTGTCAATGCGTCATTGTTTAATATATTCAATGCGTCATCAGCTATTTTCATTTTATCATCAACAATAATTCAAAGCATCATTTCACATCATAGATACATTAATTGCTTTCATGCATTATTTCTAATTCACAGTGTATCATTTTGTTTAATTTAATGCATATAACAATGCTGATGTATCATTCGCTGTAAGTAATTCTGATAATATATGTATAATTTGGTGTGTCAGTTTTGAATTTAATAGCTATTAAATTTTAAGCATGTTGACAGAACTTCATGGGGTAGATACATTACTACACTTTTAATGTTTCATTTCTTTTATTGAACATATTTAGAGTATTTAATGCATTATTGGTGCTTTTTTTCCTGATATTCAATAAGTATCATTACTATGTTATACATCATTACATACAATTTGAGATGCTTAATTATTTAATTGAAGATGTTTTATGTAACATTTGTCAGATTTATCATGCATGTATCATCTTAATGACACATAGATATGTTCATTCTTATTATAAATGATACATCCATGTTGATTTGTCACATAATATGTAGTGCTAAATATTTAATGCTTCGTGAAGGTATTTCATTGTTTGTATTGAACAATTTGTAATTCAGTTACATGTATATCTATTTCGGTAATTTGATAAATCTTTATGCTGCTGTACTTGATATTAAACATATCATAGATATTCATATACTTTTCTCTCGATATTGGATATTGAATAATCATCTCACAATATTAAACACATCAATGTTGTAATTTGTAAGATAGGAAATGCATCCTGTTGACCATGAAGATCTTGTTAATGCCTTTATTGACACACACCTAATTTAAATAGGTCATGACATAAGGTGACACAATAATTAGAATTCCATGGTTTGCAGTAACTAGGCATTTTTAGGCCAACTTCAAGTTTGCTGATTACTTAAGCCAACTTAAAGTAGGATTTGTGTTAGGTTTATCATATAAATTAATGAAATGTCTCATAAAAATCAATCATGTCAGTTTTTATCATAAATGTTAAATCGTGTGTGTGAGTGTTTGTAATATTGTAGAACAAATTTCAATGTTTGGTCAAATTTTGAAATAAATCTTAAAAGCATTTTTCTTGTGTTTTCTTTATGTCAATAACTGAGAAACTTAACTGGATTAAAATGTAAATCCAATTTGTTTTTCCTTTTTATACGCCCACATTTTCATGTGGACGTATATTGCTGTCGCCCCTGTCCGTCCGTCCACAATTTGTTTGTGGACTCTCTACAGGTCACAATTCTTGTCCGATTTTGACGAAACTTGAAATATAGGTTTATCCCCAAAAGATCTTGGCTGCTTTCGATATTGGCATGTATCAGATCGAAACTTCATGGATTATGGCCCCTGTTTGTACCAAAAATCACGTTTTTAGCTTGTGGACCCTATAGAGGTCACAATTTTTATCCGATTTTGTTGAAACTTGAAATATAAGTTTATAACCCAAAGATCTCAGTTCCTTTTGATATTCGTGCATATCGGACTGTAACTTCCTGAATTATGGCCCCTGAATGTACGGAAAATCGCGTTTTTAGCTTGTGGACCCTATAGAGGTCATAATTTTTATCCGATTTAAAAAACCGTATTATGATATCACCGTTACACCCTAAGGAAGGTTGAGTTCAAATTTCGTGAAAATCGGACCAAAATTGCCTGACAAAATGGCCGCCGTTTGTACGCGAATAGTGTAAAAATATGGTAAATATGCCCTACAGTGTGCTATGAGTGAAATTTTGACCAGTCAGTGGCACTACAATTCTACTGTTATTTCAAATTCCAACTGTCAAGGGTTTATTTGTAACTATTTTTTGTCCCATCCCAACGACTAGTCACTGTCCTTGCTAGGTCCTCCGTCCTGCACCCACTACCTTGGAAATTCCCTGGAAACTTTCTTGGCTAATACAGAGATCAAACTTAATGCCTTACTCACTGAGCCATCATGGCTCTCAAATTAGTAAAACGTAAATGGTCTTAATGACACTGCCCTGTAAATTTAAGAATCCTAACTATGGAAACCAATGACAGCTGAATATTGATTTTTAGTTTAAATTAATTGTAAGGGTTAAGGATTTCGTGAATAATAAAGATGTACTATTAAAATATAAACTTTATAAAACTATAAATTAAATATATACATGTATAAAACATATTAATTAATACTTTCAGGCAACACCAATAAAACCATATTATGACACAATGTCCCTAATCCAACAATGAATAACAGTTGAATTAATCCAAACTCTAGATTTGTTGCAACTGAAAAAAAATGAAAGTTTAAGTTTATTCTATTTATTATAAAGCACTGCAATAGATTCATTCAATGGTGCTAACAATTAATAAAATATCATTCACTACATGATAATTAATTAATTTGGAAGACAAGTTTTTAGTGATTTCTATAAACGATCTAGTGATTTAAAGATTTTTATCCTATTGAGTAATTCATTCAGTAATCTTGAACTGGCAGTGTTCAAATGTTGTATGTTTTGTAGATGGAACGAATCATGACTGGATGTTTGAAGATCATGTCAAATATCATTTAGGGTTAGGTTTAAGTAAATCGCAGGGGGCAGGGTTACAGTACATGTAGACTGGAAGCAGTAATTTGTATTCTCCACAAGAAATAAGGCCCCTGTCACAGTCAATGTCGGGCACATGGTAAGCTTTATGTAAGATCCATTTTTATGACTGCAATATTTGGTTGTTTTTTGTCAATGTATGCTTTGTAGTAACAACAATATAGCCATAAAGGTGACACAGCATTTTAAAGATTTGGATCACTTTTGAAACATTTCAAAAATCCCCAAACTTATCAAATGACCCATTTTTGGTTCCTTCCCATCCTGATGCTGGTCAACTTTTTCAGAAAATTTCAATTCTCTACCTCAAATACATTGTAGGAGTAAAGAAAATTTGTACCTACTTCTCCAACAATTCCAACTGTTAAGAGTACATCAATGAATGAAAATGAAATGAGATGAAATGACTTTTCTGCATTAACAAGGCTACAGAAGATGGGCATACACCATGCAGTGTGCTATAAAAGAAGGACATTTTGCCTGGACAGCAACATTTCCGGCTACTCTTCTTTCAATTCCAATTGTTAAAGGTTTTCTTAAGTGCATGCCAACATGGACACAGGAACTCTGTGTTTTGTCCCATCCAAACACCTAGACACTATTCTTTGCCCTACGTCCTACACCACTAACAATGGGAAACCACTCTGGAAAATTCTGATGAAATTTCTTGGGCCACTCCAGGATTGAACCCAGACCTCCTGGTTAATGAGTTGACACTTACTCACTGAGCCTCTGTGACTACTACAGGGGGAATGATTGAGTACCACAGCCCTCAGTTTTCTAATGTGCTATGCTAAAATAATTAAAGACCAGGATGTAATATGTAAAGCAACATACCTCTTAAAGCCTGTATATTTGATAGCAAAACAAAGAGTTGACTTAATCGTAGATAAATTATACCATATGTCTGTCCCCATAATATAGCTGGTATAACTAATATCTTCCCACAATTAGATATAATTATAGATCTTATTAACAATGTCTTTCTGAAATTAAAACAAGACTATGTCTTAAAGCCATTGATCATGATTTTCATTTTTCGGACAATATATAAAATATACTCAAATTAATTATTTAACTTTAAATTAAGAAACAATAACCAGCTTGAATTCAATCGGATTAAACAGACTATTAGAGGATGCCAAAATTTTCAATTCATCATATCTTTGTAAATACTAAATGAAACTGAACCATTTTTGGATTGACATTCCTTTTTTAGATTCAACTTTCACATAAGTGTTGTTTTCCAGTGATTAAAAATCTCTCATGTGATGATCGATAATTGTATGGAATTCATCCATGAATCAATGATGGAGTCAATATTGAATCAGGTCGAAAATATTCTTAAGCTCAATTTTAGAGACAAGGGTGGAGAGCTGCTGCCTTATTTGTCTTGGATCAAAATAAAGACATGATTATTTTACATGTTTGAAGATGCTCAGTCATCATTGTTTTCCTTTAAGTGACATAAACATAAATGATAATTTTTATTAACATGTTAGGTAGAAGATAGTATTATACCTGGAAGAATTGGATTCTTTCTTTCTCTCAGAAAATCTCATTAAAAATATTACAACACTTATATGAATAAACCATTCTGAAATAAAAAGAGATTATAAACTTAGTAGATTCAAGATTCAAGTGTTTTAAGAACTGACAATTAATGTGAACTTTCTGTTGTATTTTCTGATCATTATTTAAAGGAGCTAAATCGCTAACATTTGGGATCTAGAAATTGACACAAGTGGGTCGCAACTCATATAATACTGTAATGTGAATGTATATAAACTGATATACGTTCAATGGTTTCCGTTTTTACTCTAATTTCAAATCAGTTATGTTCCGCGAAATAAGCCAGCAGTCTCAATCGAATGCAAATTTCTAGCGCCTGGTTATTTCAGTCTACATACGCTGTTTGGTTTGGTGCAATATGTCTAGCCTCGTTCCTCGAGTCTCTTGCTAGAACTGGGGCTGAAACGCATTATGGTACACGATTCGTGTACCAATGGTAAAATGTTTATTTTGTCTTAAATATTGGATATCAGAAGCCCATCTTTTTTCCGGTAAGATCACAGCATCAATGTTGATTTAAATTGACAAATAATTTGTGTTTTCAATGTTGAAGATTTTGGATGATATTGAGTTCGAGACTTAGCTACTTTAAGCATACATGTACTGGTAAATAAAATACTGTTCTATGGAGAAATATACTGTAATAAAATCTTACGTATCATAGCTAAAAAATAATTCCAGTACAGGTTTAGTTCGAACGCTGCATAGAAGACACGATCTGGTTTTAATTTTTCATTAGAAAATTCTGATTCCTGTAGCATGAGCTTAGTAAAGGCATCACAAAAAAGAAGACCAATTGTTAGCTTTATTATACTCAATACCTAGAAAAAAATACAAAAATACAAAACTGCTAAATACTAGAATTTTAAAAATCAAATATGTTAGCTTACAGCAGAAGCCGGTTCTACTAGTGCTTTTTGACTAAATTGACTGAATTTAACTACCGTACTAATAAAATAACTGACCTAACAACTTGCATTGGATTTCAAGGCTTTTATATTGTTTGGTCATGATCATACATTTTTGATATGTATGATTTTTTGATATGCCATATTTCTTATGATAATTAAATCATACATCAAAATTTATTGGTTTTTCTTTAAAAAATTGTTCATTTTAAGCACAATTATTGCTTTTCGAGGAATCAACCAATCATATGTTGTTGATATTTGAAATTAAGAAGTTGACGGTGATATTGATTTTAAATGAAGGTATGATAATTCATGTTCAATCGTGATTTCCGATAGGGGTCGTGTTAATGAGTATAAATAAACCCAGCAAAGTTGAGAAAAATTCTCAAATGGATTCCAATGCGTTAGGTGGACATATAAAAATAATGTTGGTAGTTAGGCCTATTAAGCTTATTTATATAAACAGATATCAATACAAATTTTAAATTATAAATTTTTGAAACACTGTAACCCACTGGTTGTTTCTGATTGATGAGAATATGTCTGTAGGCTGGTATCTTTAGTAACATGGCATCTAAATATATAATAACTGGATCATATTCTATGTATTTATCTACAACTTCATCACATTCACTCTGAAAGAAATAAAAACAACTCATAAAATAGATGGATACAGAAATCATAATTTCTATGTAGGCCTACCAGTAGGCCTGCGTAAATTACTTTCAATCTTAGCGCTATTTAATTAACTAAATCTGACTCTGAGCAAATTCATCGTAGTTATGTTGCTGCCCTGGCAAATTTCGTACCAATGGCAATAGCCTAGGCCTATAGGCCTATCATATGCCATGTAATTTAAGCTATACCACCCGTACCAACTTACACAGTGTTCTATTTTTATGATTTTCTTGTTGTCAAACTCATGATATAGTTTTAGTGCAGGCTTCCCACACACTATACATCGAAATGGTATATTTTTTTTATCCGTCATTTTCTTAAATGACTCAATGTTCCATAAAAATTAATAAATAACACAACAAATCTGCATCCCAAGAAATGTAAATAAACGTTGGATAGATAACTCTGTTTTGACAGGATGTTATCTCCCTTGCTTTCAAAGACGCTGTTGTGAAATTATACAACGTGGGTAGCATTTCGTATTTCTTCGCGTTATTATCCTTTCTTATTATATAGGACCTTTTTGGACATAAACATGATCAGTGCACGAAATAAAAATTCGATGTTATATTTTCGACATTTTGTCTCAGTGTTTGTGTATCCTATCGGATGTAGGCCTAGACCCTAATTAATGCTGACCGGAATTTCAATCCACCGAAAAACGCCGATTGCCGAAAAGTCGGGGAAAACGTGATTAAGAAGATCAGGATTTTATTTATTTATTTAAAAAAGAAAGAAAATACAAAAATTAATAGAGGGCATGCATTAAAATATATCGGCTTGCTTGAATTTGTTATATTAGGGCCTACCAGTAGGTTGCATACAGGCCTACTTCATAACACAAGAAGTTCATAACTTGCTACTTCATACTTGGTTTAAGCCTTAAAATGTGATGATGGTTATTATTGTTTTGCACCCATCTCTTCTTACATTTGTCCATCTTCGATGATCAAAATTCAGTATTAATTATGATACAAATGAACCATGCATCGAATATCCAAATTCTGTGCAACTCATAAATTAATATTGTTCAGACCCATTTAAAAAATTATATGTAAAAATAGGTTAAGTAAAGTGGTAAAATGCAGTACTTATGTACTGTATACAGCATCTTATCGAGTGTGGAGTTATAGCCCAGTTATTTTTTTTTTTCGTAAAGTCTTCCCAATACAACTTTTTAGCTCTTGTTCTAGAACGTTTTGGCTATAATTCTATAAAATATCATTAATGTGTAAGTCTGTACAATATTCTATTATTTACAGTACATTTAATTATTATATTTTGCAGTACCCATACACTTCCTTAATGTAACACATATGTAGAATACACAAAATGTCAACAGGAGCAACAGCAGAATCGAAGACAAGCGGAAAGCGGAAATCACTTGATGAATTTAAAGATTTAATTGACAATGAAGAGTATATTTTACGTAAAAGATTACCTGCGCGATTACCAAAGCGGAATAGTGATGTGTATGTGAGTCGCAAGACTAATTTCAAAGCTCAGTTAGATAGATGCCAGAAAATTCTAGATGCAGAAAATGAAGTGTTTGTTCACGGACTTGGACATGCTGTGAATAGAGCTGTAAATTTAGCTCTTCAATTAAAAGAGAGTGGGTGTGGTAGCGTTGAGATATCAACACACACATCAACAGTGACATTAATTGATGATCTTGACCCAGAAAATGATGATTTAGAACCTGAAACTTCAATCAGATATAATTCCTCAGTTCATATTCGTGTTTACAGACTTGATCCTAGTCAGATAGATACATTACCAGTGGTATCAGGGTCTGCATGACATCAACATCATAATATTATACAATTAATGATGAGATTAATACTGTTATTTTGTACATAAATTTATAGAATTAAATAATGTAAAAATAATAATGCGATATTAATTTTTCTGCATATCCATGAGAATTTCTAACAATGGACTCTACGTAAAGCTAAGAACTCTTTCTAATTTTATTATTATCCTTAAAGTTGAACCATTGTCTTCAAAATCTCCTAAATTGACAGATTTTGTGACCTATTTCACTATTAATTCCCAGCTCTACAATGCCAATTATAAATAATATACAGGTATATATCCTTCAGCTGTAAAATTTCTTTTCAAAATATATCTTGTTCAAAATTATGCACTGGTAATCTTTGAAATAGACAATACCTTGATGATCAGGGTGATATTTCCTTAAACATTCCACACTAGAAAAAACTTGGGGGTAAGCAAAGTTATCTAAACATAAGTTAAGGAGCAGGTTCATTGCTGCCAATTTAGTCTTCAACAAGAAGAAGGATGAAAAATGATATACATGTATGCAGTTTTGATGTGGTGGTCCCCGCCCCCCTCCCTCTCTCTCTCTCCTTTACAAGAATTTTATCTTTGTGATCTTATTGAAAAATGTCTGATTTTGATAATGGCATTTTGACAGCTGCAAGGATCTTTTTGTAGCTTACAGATAAATGTTGTTGCCGAATTTGATGAAATGCAGATCAACCTTTTGAAACTGAAGTTTGATGTATATGATGTTCTAAAGTTACACTAATTTTACTGTGCTAGCTGGGGGTATTAAAATGTTAGATGCGAGAAACTCACCAATATTATGATTGTTCCTTATTTAAATGAAGTCGAGCATAGGCCCTGTTCATATTTTACTTACTCTGCAATTTCACAAGTCATGTGGTACATGTGTATTCTGCCTGTGATGGGGTCTTTAGGTACAATCTTATCTTAGAAGAACAATAGTAATGTTATATTTCACTGACTTGAGTGATTTATGTATTGGGCTGTTAAAATATCTGTTGTTGCATGGTTGTGAAAGTTCCCCCCAGAATTTCCAACATGGTTTCCACTTGTCAGACGGAGAGTCTGACAATGAGAGTGTCTAGTCAATCGGATGGGATAAAAAAAATCAAGGTCCCATCATGTTGGCATGTATACCTGTCTTCATTAGTCAGGTGCAGAAAAATAGGACGTTAAGCCTAGGTTTACCATACGTCCCAGTTTTACCGGGACTGTCCCGATGCCTCTCATGTGCCTAAATGTCCCGGTTTTTAAATCAGATGTTTTTCAATTGAAAATAATAACACAAAACACATAAACTAGTGATTAATATTAATGTATAAAACAGCGTTTGCTACAAACACTCTTACTTCAGCATGCCACTTCTGATCTAAATATAGTTCAGTGCATAATACATTCGGCAAACCTCGGCAGGCGCCGGTACCGTATATCAGGATTTGTAGAAAAACCGAGGTGTGCCTTTCCTATTTAGTGTTAATGGGTATTAAAATGAGTAAAAGCCAGCATTCTGCCCGATTCAGTAACGCCTTATGTAAACAATGCATGTGCCATTGAGCGTGATGTGACGTCACATGTTGAAGGCAGTCATCTTTTACAGAGATATTAGAAGACTTTTGTAATCCTCTGTGAAAAAGATTGGCTTAAAACTGGACGGCTTCCTACAAATATTACTAAAATGTGACAATCGAAATAATGCCTGTCAATGACCAATATATATTTTTATTGTAACTACCGTCACAAAATGGCTGAAAACGCATCTTCCGGCTTGTAGAAATGAAACAATTTCGGGGGGGGGGGGGCATGCCCCCAAACCCCCCTAGTAAGTTCGCGCCTCCGGTGCTCAATGTATCGCCCCCTTTGGCCACTTATTTTGTCGGGCCCGCTTTGGGCGCTCCGTGCTAAATTTAGCTTTAGCCTGCTCAGAATAATAAATATCCCGGTTTCTTCAATGATTAATCTGGTAACCCTGTTAAGCTCCCATTTCATTTCATTTTCCATTTGATAGCCTAAAGCAGAAACAATTGGGGGGCTAACTTTATATTTACACCCTACAATTTCAATGGTGAAATAATCAGTATAGTGCTAACTTCAGTTGTAACCTAGTCGCATCATTGTATAAAATAACAGCAGCAGACCAGACTGACATACAAGATCAGTTAATTTACAGAGAAAAACTTGGCTTTTATAAATTACGTGTCAAATGAAACAAATAAAGAAAAGTCAAAGGAATTTTTTGTCAAAAGTCGACCAAAGTTGGAGACGAAAAGGGGGGCAACTCTCATTTGGGTTGAAAATCTAGGTTAAGCGACACCCTACAATTTCAATGGTGAAATAATCAGTAGTGCTAGCTTCAGTTGTAACCTAGTCGCATCATTGTATAAAATAACAGCAGCAGACCAGACTGACATACAAGATCAGTTTATTTACAGAGAAAAACTTGGCTTTTATACATTACGTTTCAAATGAAACAAATAAAGAAAAGTCAAAGGAATTTTTTGTCAAAAGTCGACCAAAGTTGGAGACGAAAAGGGAGGCAACTCTCATTTGGGTTGAAAATCTAGGTTGAGCGACACGCCTCCCGAATAGATGTCAGGTAACGTGAAACATCAAAAGAATGTTGAATATCATCTGTTAAAATTGAATAACTAATTAAAATATTGTTGTAAACGAGTGAGATTAACCATTTTTTTTCATTTGGACAGGTAAACTATAATTTTTGCAGTCTTAGAACTGTTTTTTTTTCCAATTTGTATCACACATTGTATTGTATGTATAGCTAAGGTAAATAGCCCAAGGGAGGGTTTTTTTTTTTTTTTTTTTTTTTTTTTTAAAAAAATGGATTGGCCACGATTGGGCCAGTTGTTTATATAATTAGGCACATTCATTAATTATACCATTTATTTCAGATGCACCAACCTAATTACATTAATTAATCCCCAATTTCTGCACACATAATTTTTTAAGAAATGAAATACCATGATAGTGATTGCATTTTAAAGAATCAGCTGGAAAATCTCTTTTGTTTTGGTCGAATTAAAGTTTTGAATGGCTTCATCTGATATGTTTATTCAGGTGGTGATGAGACAATCTTATGTGAGTTGTGTGTGTGTGTGTGTGTGTGTGGGGGGGGGGGGGGTTATTGAAATGACTTTATCCGTCCACCTGTAGTTGTATCCTAATTGTTTTTCCTGAGCATATCTCCTAAACCATTCAAGATATTATGAAACTATAGCGTAGGCCTGTAGGCTACACAACAACCTACAACGATTTAAAATACAACGATTTAAAATATCTTTATGAAACTTTGTATACACATCAAACTGTTGTTATATCAATTTCACTTTTTAAAAATAGAAATGTTTGTTTTTCCCTGGAAACAGACAATATAATAATAATAGACAATAGAGGTGAGATGGTTATTGCATCAAAATATTCGGCATACTCAAACATAGATAAAATAGGAGATAAAACTGTTCAACTTTTTATAATTTAAAGATGCATTATTTAAGATTAAGATAAAGAGCTGGTTATTCTTGCTGTAATATAGTTTAAAATAGATAGTAACAAATGAATATATTTGAAAATTTAAGTCAAATTACTTTATTCTCATTGTTTGGAGTTTTATCAGACCTTTTATTGAGGAACATCCATTTTAACGTTAGTGACTATATAATAGCATTTATGGTCTAATCCATTCAATACCCCGACCATCCAACGATCTAGAGAGTTGATTATGGGCTTGTCATGTGAATAAATATCTAAAAATAATAATTTATATAACATATGAAGAAAAGATCTGAATGAAACATTATTCACCTTAGAATTTTATGGCACATTTTATATGCCCACATATATTATTGTGGTCATATATTGTCTTTATCCTTGTTCATACTTGGGGGGTTGGATGGCTGAATGGTTAGCGTGTGCGCGCTGTATCATACAATCTGTCATTGAGTCGACTGGCGTGGTTTCGAATCCCCGGTTGTACATGGCAAGGAGTAGGGTCGCCTGTCCAACCTCGTGGGTTTTCTCCGGGTCCTCCGGTTTCCTCCCACTGCTAAAGACCCCTACGCGCAAGCGAATTATGTAAATAAAATTAAACCATATGCTAGTTTGTGTCGGGTGGACGTTAAACCCCATTTCTCTCTCTCTCTCTCTCTTGTTCATACTTCCACACTAATAACTTACCCTACAGAGTTTACAACCTCGAGGGTTTCCTCCAGTTCCTCCAGAGTTTCCTCCCACTGCTAAAGACCCCTAAGCACAAGCAAATTATTGAAATGAAATGAAATGAAATGGAGTTTAACGTCCTACTGTTCTGCTCCTAACCTGGGCTAATGAAGACGGATATACGCCATACAGTGTGCTATGAGGGAAATTTTGCCCGGGCAGTGGCACTACTGCCTACTCTTATATCGAATTCCAACTGCCAAGGGATCTTTTACGTGCATGCCAATGTGTACACGGGACCTCGGTTTTTCGATCCATCCGAACGACTAAACAGCTGTCCTTGTCAGGCCCTCCATCCTGCACCACGTCGGAAAATCTGGATGAACTTTCTCGGCCAGCAAATTATTGAAATAAAATTGAACCATGTGTTAGTCCCGAAATAACCTAGTTTGTATCGAGTGGATGTTAAACCCCATTCCCCTCTCTCTCTCTCTCCCTACAGAGTTAATGTTCTTAACTGACTTTGCTTATTCAGGAATAAAAGTAATTTCATCTTTGATATCTTTTCAGAATGGAGTTTTGACAATATTAAAAATCAGTCAGTTATTCAAGATGGACTTATAGAAAATAGTGCAGGAAGTTGATAAGAATAAACTGAACTTGTTAAGCTTAAAATGACGACTGCTAAAAAAGAAGTACAATTTATAAATATTGCGGAGACAGAAGGGGGAGAAAGTTCGACAGATGGAGAAAAAGAAGAAACTGGTAAATCGAATGAGAATGGAGACTTAAAAACACAAGAAATTATTGAAAAAACAGAAGCGGTAAGGTTTTCTTTGTTTCTTGGTTCTGCTTGGTAGTTATGGTTATTATTAATAGTCTTGAAATTTTGATCAAACTTGGTACCAGTATGTGGATTTATATACACAGTAGTAGAACATAAAATTGGACAGAATGCCTCTATTAGTAATTGCAGGAGAACCGAACTACACAGAATACAAAACCAACAAGACAAACTGGCGGACAAGACAAACTATATAGGCATTGCAAGAAATAAACATCAAAAATCAAATCAAGTGAATGGGTCCGGGGGCCTGATGATACAGGCTTCACTCAAAATGGAAAAAGAATAATTATGATTTACAAGAAAGACGTAATACGACCGGTCTTGACAGTGGTTGCCTTCTGTATGGTGATAGTCTGCCAGTTGACGTCAAGATGTCAAAAAAATAAGGGAGATAATCGGAATAGAATCTCTGAAAATGCTAAAAATAAATAAAATAAAGTGTTGTGAGCAAACAGGAGCAAAGCCCAACAACGAGAACTTTCTATTGTATGAGATTTAAGAGTAAAATAGTTTGATTTACAAAAAAATGACTTTGATCGTCATTTCCCTTTTTATTATTTAATTTATTTTACACTTTCTGTTCATTCCTTTTCATTTTCATAGCTTTTTGTAAAATATTCGTTTCATTTCTATTGTTTCAGAAAATTTTACTAGCAGCAACATTAGTTCTAGATGCCAAGCGAGGGAGGAATATCAATTTTAAAACTGAAGAAAAATTTGTCAGGTATCTTTCGTACAAATTATTAGCTTAAAAATGATGTAAAACAAAAAAAAAATACCTGAGTTTAACATCACAGATAATGAATGATATATATTAGGGTCATACCTTAGCCGAAGTCTTACTTGATTCAAATATTGGAGCACTGACCTCTCTATTGAGGATTTTTTAAGCCTTGTTCTCACATTTGGATAGGACAAGAAACAGGTCCACCTTTGTACACATTGGCATGGAATTGGAAGAATATGCAGAACCATAGATATAAAAATTACCATATGTTTAGAATGAAATTGGAAATACATATCTGGTAGATAATTATCAAGGTTCTAGAATATTAACAATTAATGACAAAGCATTAAAATGATTGCAAAAAGCACTATAATTATTGTAGGAATCAGAGGATTTTCATAGAATGTGACGAGTAGTTTGAACGCTAATGTTTATATAATCTTGAAGATTATATGAGATAACGGCCTCAACAGGAATAGCTTCTGATACTATTCATTGCAGATCTCACGTCTGCCATACAAGAACTGAGAAAAACTTTTGATTACTACTTAACACGCATAGAAGTTGTGGGTCTGGAAGGAAAACTGTTGGACTGGCCAAAATTCTTGCACATAAGAGTTCGCTTGACATTTGAATTTTGAAAAGATTTGGCAGAAATGAAAGTATCCTGACTGGATTCTGCTCAAGTGTGTGTGTGACAAGCAGTAAAGATGGATTTTCACATGGTACTCTCGTTTACTCCCACTTTTAAAGATCCCTGTCCACAAACAAATTATTGAAATAAAAGTACACCCTATGTTAGTCCCGAAATGGTTAGTTTTAGTAGATTTTTAGCCCATCGTTCCTTCTCTAATATTATTGTATTTTTTTTTCAGATCATATTTATTTTACCATAGTTGGTATTTACGCTGGGGTCTCTATGCTTTTATAATATTAGATTTATCCCTAGCATTTATAGAAAAACCAGCAGTCTCCTTTGAAGCTCCATATTGGGTAAGAATATTACAATACTAGTCTATACATAATAAATACATGGGAACGTCTTACATTCACAATAACACAGTTTTCAATCTTTTTACCTTTAATTAATATCTGCAGTAGGACTTTAAACCCCCATTTCATTTCATTTTCATTTAATTAATATCTATGTCAAACTTCTTTATTGACAGATTTGAAACCTGTCTATCTATGGAATTTCAATTTGTCAGCCTTGTACTGATAGTGATTTCTTGGATGATTTAATCATGACTTATATAAAGCCAAATTCCAAATTGCATCATTTAAATGAAATATCAGTTGAATCGGTCTGAAGGATGAAACAAAACACTAACTGTTCAAATCATAAATTTTGTTAGAAGTACAATTATATTCAGAGTTAATATGAACTTCAAGTCCTGGTGTGCCATTTTAAACCATATGAATCACTTGAAAACTACATTATCTGTAGTGGAGAAACCTGATGGGCCTAGTTTAAATCTGATTGGTATTTTGATTTTTTTCTGAATTTAATGTTAAATAATCAGTCTGCGTACGTGTGTATTAATAAGCTGTGAGAAATTTGATTTGATATTTTAGTGAAAATGCAAATAGATTGAATTTGTCCTACATGTATGGTTAAACTTATATCATATAATTATTTTACAGGCAACTATTTTGTTAGAGATTGTGTGTTTAGTTTTCTTTGTGTCCCGGTTTTGTCATGCAGCCTATGTGGAGCAGTCGTCAAGTTTCTGGAAGGATACAAAACATCTTATAGTGCTCAGCACAATTATAGTTAGTAGCATAGATCTTATAAATTGAAGAATAAAAATATCTATTTAGAAATATTAACATTTCATATCTTGATAATTCCTTGGCTAATAGAATTCTATTTTCTGCCAATAAACAAATGTAATGAGGTAGAATTAATGCTTAAATTTTATATACAATGAATGATTTCTTTTTTTTTAGTTAACTGTATTAGACATAATATGTTATATAATATGGAATCAAGTAGCACCAGATACCAACCCTGTACGATGGTCAAGACCTTTGCGACCTCTGTTCATTATTAACTTTTCTGATGGCAAGCAGGTTATTATGTTTTTATACATGTATTTTTCTTTGCAATGTTATATGCTATGGGTCCAATTTTAAACATGTCTAACATTAAAATCATTCAAAATTGTACAAAAAAGCTCATTGAGACTCCAGCTGCCTTTCATGTGACCTATGGTTTGCCAATATCTGAACTATATCTCATTCCAAAATCTGTGCCCCACAATCTAGGTTAATTATCTATGGCCCTGATTTTATTTGGTTATTTTTGTATTATAGGTGAGGAGAGCTTTTAGAAATATCAGAAGAACAGTACCAGAAATTATGAATGTTCTGATTTTATTTTTTCTCAGTGTTCTCTTGTTTGCTCTTCTAGCTCTGAAATTATTCTCAAAGCGGTGAGTAATAAAATAACTTTTTTACCTTAGTCTGAATAAAAAAAAAACTGTCAATAAATACCTAATCAAATTCACAAGAATATATATTTTGATATTTTTATAGATATTTATATAATTGAAACTCTGTGACACATTGGTTGAATATTATCCTACCTTTTCACACTCGGTTGTTCTGGTTGCATGATGTAGCTTTATTGATGTAACTTGCTTTTGTTTTGTTTTTTTCATTTTAATTATTTATGTACACAAAATGTCTTATATTTAGTTTTAGATAATATTATTATCTGTGATACTTGTTTTATTTGTGTATTTAAAAATAATAATGTGATAATGTTTAATTTGACTGGTTAAATTCACCATGTGTTTGGTGCCATATAGCCCGGTTGATGCTAACGTGCCATTAAATATTACATTTCATTTAACTGGATTTTTAAATTGAGCTCCTCGATAGTTAAACAGCCTCTCGTCTAGATTGGCCATGGTTTGAATCTTGAGATTTTTTAAGACAAGCTGGGGGTATTATCTGCATGTTGACATGGAAAGTGTCATTCGGAAAGGATGAAAAAGCTGAGTGCTATCAATGTACATATTGGTGTGCATGTACATGTAAAAGAAAAGAAGTGTGGGTTGAAGAGCTACCATCTAGGAAAAATTTCTCCTTAAATTAACACTTATTCTCCCTTATTTTTATTTCGTTTTTCATTTTGAATAAATGTCTGTATCACTACAGGCCTGGGACTGATCTGATATGTATGTTTGATGTTTGTGATATTGTGCCTTGCCCGTAGATTTGTCTTGTATATTTGATTGTGTTTGGTGCAGTCCCCCTGCAATTACTATTAAAAATAGAAATTAAAGTTACACTAGTTAGTTTCAAAAGGATCAAAGTATTTACCACAAATAACGTCATGTCGGTACTGATTTCAAAGGATAGCCTGACTACGACTAAGATATTAGTTTGGTTACATTTAAAGATATTATTCTCTTGCTTGATATTTTATTATAGAAACAGTTTAGAATATCCTAATGGTGATCCTTATTTTAAGAATTATTGGGATTGTATTTGGGATCTTTATGTTTTGGTTACCACAGCAAATAACCCAGATGTCATGTAAGTTTTGTTTTTGAATCATCTATGATATCAACTATTCTACCATCCTTCTATGATCATACCATCCTTCTACCATCTTACCATCCTTCTATGGTCCCTTTACTATGTTCTACCATCCTTCTACCATCTTATCATCCCTTCTACCATCATTTTACCAGCCTTCTACCAAATTTAACATCCTTCTACCGACTTACCATTATTCTACCATCTTACCATCATGCCATCATCTTACCATCATACTACCATTCTACTATCCTTCTTTCATCCTTTTACCATCACTCTACCATATTTACCATCATTTTACCACCTTACCATCATTCTGTCATCTTACGATCTTACTATCATGCTACATTCTTACCATCATTCTACCCTCTTACCATCATGCTGCCATCTTACCATCATTCTACCATCTTACCATCATGCTGCAATCTTACCATCATTCTACAATCATGCTGCCATCATTCTACCATCCTTCTTCCACTCTACCATCCTTCTACCATCTTACAATCCTTCTACAAACCTAACTTTTAATACTAATGAAACTTTGCTCCAGTTAGAGACTTAAGATGGCCAGTTTAAAAACAAGAATTACATTGAATTCATGATTTTTTTTGCACCAAAATATAATATACTGAACGGTCTGATGATTTTGTTATTACCAATCAAACAAATAGTTGACTATATTCTAGCATGATATTTATTTTGTAGGATGCCAGCGTATGATTACAGTAATTGGTTTGCATTGTTTTTTATTGCCTATGTTATTGTCTGTTTGTATATATTTATGAGTATTGTACTGGCTGCTATTTATAACAACTATAAGAAAAATTTAAAGGTAGGAACAATTATATTCGCTAATGGTCATTTGAGGGATTTTGAATCCCTTGGAAACTACAATATTGTGAATGGTAAATCTCTAAAGTAAATATCAGTCCGAAAATGAGTCGTTTCTGTTTAATATTCACAAAGTTACGATGGATTGAAAAATTTGCAACATTGGACATCCTCATTACATGATATAAACACCTATCACAAAGTTGTGATGGATTGAAACTTTTGCAACAATGGACATCCTCCGCTCCTATAAGTTGGGTAAATCTTTATCTTCTGTCAATATTTTAGTTTTGTTTTCTTAATGAGATATTGTCTGAAAAAATGACAATCAATGGCCAGTGGTCAATTTATTTTTCTAGAAGAACTGATACTACTTCTCATTTGAGCAGTTCACATCACCAACAAGGTCACATTTATTCTGTTCTGTCTTTTAGACTAAAAGATTGTCTAATACTTGACCTTTTAAATCATTTCTTTAAGCTCAATAGTTAAACAGGCATTGTGCCAAAGCTAAATCTGCCTATTGCAGGCCTTACTTTATGCCTTAAATGTTATCTAAATTATTAATTAGACATTAATTAATTCTCGATGCCATCAGGTACTCTAGATAGTTAATTTAAAAATGGATAATCAAGACTTTGTTTATTATCATAACAATGGTAGCAGTAACAATCAAGGCCACACTGTTCTTGTAAAGGCTATAACTTGACTCAGAGTGAAGTAATTTGACTGAAATTTTTAACATATTCTCTTTTCATTATCTATTTTTTAACTATTATAATTAGAACTGTCAGCTCTTTATCAAATCTTACATAATGTCCCTTTAAGTTTGCTTGATGTTTCTTTTGTTGTTTGCTGCTTTCAATGTCCTTGTATTGTTTGTCCTGTCATTGAGTTTATTTGTCTTATTAGTTTCGGTTTGTTTATGTGTAGTGCCGTTCTCGTATACTTACTATTTAGGTGGCTTAACTATACATATTGAGTTATTATGAATGATTGGAGTTCATCAAAATATTTTCACATGCTATATTAGAGTTACACTTGGATTTCCCACTGTCAAAAGTGGCCTACCACACTCTTGTCCCAAAATGACCAAACACTCCATAGTCAATATATATTGCTGTATCTATTTGTTGAATTTATTATCACAACTCTTTGTTTTATGTTTCAGAATGAAATTCGAACATCAGTTTATAGCAAAAGACGAAAATTAAATCGTGCCTTTGAGATATTAAAGGATAAAGTTGGTAGTCAATATGTTATTACGCAGGAAACCTGGAATCGATTGATGAAAAAAATTTTACCCACGAAAAGTCAACAACAATTAGATCTGTTGCTACGAATACTTGATAGTGATGGGGAAAATGTCTTAAGTAAGTTACACTGATGTCTCCAGGATACTTATCATACTCTTCTTATATAAGGGACAGGTCGGTGGCCAAATGGTACAATGCATTCGCTTTAGATCATGAGATACAATGTATGTCATTGAACAGGTAGTGTGGTTTTGATCCCACACTTGAATGTGACAAGTAGTAGGGTTGTCTGCCTAACGTTGTGGGTTTTTAACTGGTTCTCTGGTTTCCACCCACTGCTATAGACCCTTAGTTTGTTTTGAGTGGATATTAAACCTCATCTCTCTCTTATATAGATGTTGAAGAATCCTTGCTAATTTGAATATTACTCCTACATTCACATTAGACCTTATGTTAGCCATTTTGCTATTTGAAATGCGTGACTTGGTGATTATAGTACTGACTCATTAACCTGGAGGTCCATGATTTGATCCCAATATTTGCCGTTTCCTCTTGTCAGTGTTGCAGGAAGGAAGGTGCTACGTCATTTGGATAGGACAACAAAATCAATGCCCCGTGTACACGTAAATGATCCTTGGCAATTGGAATTCAGAGAGTAGATGGAAATGCCACTGTACAAGCAAAATTTAACACTGTATGACATATGCCTGTCTTCATTAACCTAGTAATTGGTGCAGAAAAGTAGGATGTTAAACCCATTTCATTTCATTCCTTTAATTCCTTTTAAATGCTGTGACTGCTTGTAGAAGATTTTATGGTTTGCATCAAAGTTTGTTCATTGCTAAAATCATGAAGTACAGATTAAAATGTCTGACTTAATCACATGTGAATCAAATATGATATGTAATCAGTTTTCTAATTTCAGAAAAAACTCAGTTTATAAATTTATCTGATTTGCTACATGTAGAATTATCAGAAGTGACGGATAGACAGACATTCCTCGAGCATAAAATACCATCCATATATAATCATAAAGTTAGTAAAGCTATTAGATGGGTCGTCAGAACAAGGTAAATAATTTCCATCAGTATATAATGTTAGTAAAGCTAATAGAAGGGTCGTCAGAACAAGGTAAATAATTACCATCAGTATATAAAGTTAGTAAAGCTATTAGATGGGTCGTCAGAGCAAGGTAAATAATTTCCATCAGTATATAAAGTTAGTAAAGCTAATAGATGGGTCGTCAGAACATTGTAAATATTTGTCATCAGTTATTAAATGGGTTGTCAGAACATGGTAGATAATCAGTTTATAATCATAAAGTTTGTAAAACTATTAGCTATAGTGACAATCTGAGTAAAACATAGATCCTATTTCGTTGCATTTTTTATAGTTCAAAATTTCGTTTACTTGTCTTTACTACACTAGGATCTGGAAGAGTTGTTATATAACCCGCATTCTGGATGATGTGAGGGATTAGCCAATGAAATGGTCTGTTACAGAAAGTTTTTGGCATGAGGTACATGGAACTGTGGGTAGTCCACTAGAAACATCAATGTTCATTGTTTAATCATATGTCTGATGTCATAATAATAATATAATGAATTTATAAAGCGCCTGCATTCCAGTAAAAATTACTGCTCCGTGGCGCTATTACATTTTGTTAAATAAAAAAAAAATAAAAAATGAATTATACATATAATCACGGAAATTTAAGAAATATGAAGTTATTAAAATGAAAAGAGCAAGCATTGTATAAAACTTAGCTAAAAAGTTCAGTTATTAAAAGTCATCACAATCGGAACATAAAACTTTGTTAACAAGTTCAATTTTTTTTAAAAGTCATCACAGATACTCCATAAAATTTTGCTTAAAAGTTCAATAGGGTCAAAAGCCGCTCCTATGACCTCTGATGCAACCTAACACTACAACTTATCAGATCTCCATGTAGTAGAGGCCATCAAAAGTATAAAAAAAAATGAAACGAAATATAGATCTGTACTTTAATCAGATTGCGATAGTGATTAAATCATTTAAATGTCGTCGACTAATAGCTTTTTTTATTGAAAACTTTCTTTTTTCAGGGGCTTTCGATGGTCATTTGATTTCCTGATTTTTGTCAATGCGTTTTTTATTGCATTTGATTTGGATGATGCAGACATGTTCTTTCTGATCTTTTTCTCTTTGGAAATACTTTTAAAACTTTACACATACGGACCTAAAGGATTCATCGCAAGATTCTGGAATGTGTAAGTCTTAACAGTTTTTATATACTCCCAGATTAAATGCAGTCCTTCATTTATGATACAATTTCTTGTGAACATTCTACAGACTACAGTCTATTGAGTGATGGTCTCGGTCATCCAGATCCTCCTTGTCTTCAACGTACGGAGGATCTGTGACCATTGTCAATATTTGACGAAAAGTTCCATTGCCCTTGCGTAACTGGGAGTTGTTTTTTTTTATGTGGTTGATTATCGAGTATCTTTGACCAAGTCAAGTAAGAGTCGTACCCATTCCCACAATAAATCCCATAATTCTTGCATTAATATAAACAAACATGAATTGTGGTGACGAAGTAGGATTAATGAAAAAAACAACAACATAGATATGGCTCATTAAGAGATAAATTTTACAATAAAAGAAATCAAGAGTGTTCGATATTGAACTGGGAATGCAATCAAATGGATTTTCTGAAATGGCATTCTTAAATTAATTTCATGGGCGCCAATGTTTCCTCTGTGAGACTTTGTTTACTATACTGTCATTACTTACTTGAGAACGACAAGAGGAACTTGTTGAAACGTAGTGTGAAATAAACCCAGTGATTGTTTTCCATATAAATTTGTGTTTTATATCATATTTTCAGTTACTAAATGCCGTATAAGGATTTCATCAGACTAATATTTGTGAATATTTTTCTGAATGATAGAGACTAATTCAGTTTCTTCTGATAATGTCCAGAGTTATTGACCTTTCTTATAAACCAGTCAGATATATATGGAGTGGAGACCATCGAAAGTATAAAAAACAAAATAAAGTTTAGGTCTGTACTGTAATCAAATCGGAAACATGATAATGTTAACTATGATTGTAATTACAGTTTTGATGTATTGGTAATCGGGTCCGCTGTATTGGCATCTATTATAGAGGTTTCTATTGGAACTTGTGAGTACATAATCTATATTCAAAGAAATTGCTAATTTGAATTTTTATATGCTCTCATTTAATATTGTTGTGCATGTATTTTGCCATTATGCCTGTTTGAATGTCATCCATTATTCTTGTTAGTCAATTAGTGGTAATTAAACTTATCGAGAGGGTGTCTGCATGTTTTTCAATTCAGTTTTTGTGAATGAATATTGTTTTAAAAAAGCAATTCAAATTATTTCTTTATTTCATTTTGTAATATAATACTAGAACATTTAGTATGGATACAGTCACTTGGTTGATTTCAACTAGATTTCACAAATTACATGTTGCAGTGTAACAAAGTACATGTAAATAAACCAAGTGATTGTATCCCCTAGTGTTATAATTATATATCAATTGCTAAATGCTTCTCAAAGATTATTTCATTTTGTCTGTGTCTGTATGGGTTCTATTTTTCTACACCACATAAGGTCTAACATATATTCAAAACATTTAGATAGCTGACATCAGAAGTGTTATGTTTGAGTATGAAATATCAAGTTTGGAATGAATCAAATTGAGTAGAAATACATAATAATTAATTACTAAATATTAGATATGTTATGTCTTAAAATATTTATAGCTAGTGAAGAATTCCGTACGTTAGATGTTTTATTGGTTCTACGAGTGATGAGATTAATCAAATTGTTTGGAAGTATACAGAGGTACCTATTATTATATATAATATATAGTTTATCTGTTTATTTTCATTGAGTTTACAATACACATATATACTCTTCAAAAAAAGTAAGGGATATTGAATGCAAATACCTATGCAGGTTGTGATATGATAAATAGTCATGGACACTTGGCATGCTTTGAGAGTATGTTCACAGATGAAGAACTTATCGCCCCAACAGAACCACTGAGCTGCACATGCGATAAGCAATAGCGCCATACACGTGGGAGGGGTTCATTGTAAAATTTGACGCTTCAAGGAAGGGTTGATGAAAACTGCTGCGTGCTGGTTTATCTATCCATGTTTGCTTTCCTATCGGTTCTTGCATAAGATTTACTGTTTAGCTTATCTTTGCTTTAGTGTGTTACATTTAATTTGATCGAGAGAAGTGTTCGTCGACGTCAACGTCAACCGACAACACTGCAAGAATCGGCTGTGGCACTGCAAGAGGAGTGGGTCAGATTGCCCCAAATCGTGATTGAATGGTCGATTAGGAGCATGCCACGACGAATTGCTGAATGTCTGAGGATTGGTGGAGCAATTACTCATTATTAAGACAAAAATCAAAAACGTCCATTTTCACTTTTGACGGTGTATCTCTTTGCGAGTCAAATGGGGCCGTCAGATAAGCCGCAATATGAACTGTTTATGTTCATGTGTAGGCAATTGGCCTGTTATTAACATACACTGGTTACCTCTAATAAAAACAGCAGTTCATTTCCACAGTTTTGTATTGTTTCTGAATATCCCCTACTTTTTTTGAACAGTATATATATATGCATGTACTTCATCTCTGTGTTTTATGTTAGGTGGTTTTGTTCTTATTAAATTAAAGAATTTTTGTAAATTTTTGAAATAATAAAGTCATTGATCTTTTTCATAAAGTTTCCGCAATCAAAATGCAAGGTAGGAAACGTTTTTTGAAGCTAAGATTATGCTTTCATGATTTCAAAATAATTAATCATTCTCCTGGAATAAGTTACAAAATAAGAAAAGAATGTTACAATAATCATCAGAATCAAAATGCTAGATACACAATGTTTTTTAAGCTAATATTATTTTTCTAGATTATCTTCAAACAATTGAAAATTCTCTTGGAATACTTTATTAACAGACATGATAAAAAAAAAATTAAATTATTAAAAATCAAATATATCAAAAGAAGCTCAAAAGACAGGAGAAATATTGCATAATATTTTAAATTTATCGCAAGATTTATTTTGAGATGCAATTTAGATTTTTTTTTAAATTAGTAAAAATCAAATATATCAAAAGAAGCTCAAAAGACAGGAGAAATATTGCATAATATTTTAAATTTATCGCAAGATTTATTTTGAGATGCAATTTAGATTTTTTTTTTTGATTTTTTTTTTTTTTATAAAGCTTGCCTGATTTAAAGCTTAATACTAGAATGCTTTTGTTAGCTTTTTAAATGAGCATTTTAAATTTGCAAGATTTTAACATAGAATTATTGTAGTATTGTGCTTTAATTAACATTAGTTAAGTTATAAAGCGAATATGATATGGTCGTAAAACTACATGTATTGACTTTATTTGGTCGTAAAACTATGTGTATTGACTTTATTGGTCATAAAACTATGTGTATTGACTTTATTTATTTTGAGATTTTATTTATATTAGAAATTCTATCATTATGTTTTTACTAAAAATCAATTCTTTATTTGTTTTTAGATTTAAAGTTATTATTATGACGATTGTGAATATTGGTCCATCTATTTTAACATATGGTGGCGTTATTTTTGTAAGCATGCTTCTGCTTCTGTCTTTCATCCCAGATACTTTTTAGTAAATGAACTCGTAATATCTGCAGCAGAGACTCTTAGATGCATCTTTCTTAGTTCTGTGCAATGAACTAATGCTAAAAATTAACAAAGTTTTTTTTATCTTTTTGAGTTCTGGCTGTAGAGATTTTATACGCCCACATTTTATGTGAACGTATATTGTCGTCACCCCTGTCTGCCCTTCCGTATGTCAGATCACATTTGTTTGTGAACACTCTACAGGTCACAGTTGTAATCCGATTTTGATGAAACTTGAAATATAGGTTTATATCCCAAAGATTTTGGTTCCTTTTGATATTGGCATGGATTATGACCCCTGATTGTATGAAAAAAATCACATTTTTAGCATTTGGACACTCTAAAGGTCACAATTTTTATCCTATTTTGATGAAACTTAAGATATACTTATGTTCATCCTCTCTCTAGAGGTCACAAAGATCTCGGTTCCTTTCGATATTTGCATGTATTGGACCACTGGTTGTACATACAAATCACTTTTTTAGCTTGTGGACACTCTAGAGGTTACAATTTTTATTCTGTTTTGATCTTCTAGAGGTCACAATTTTTATCTCATTTTGACGAAACTTAAAACACATGATTATACCCCAAAGATCTTGGTTCCTTTCGATATTGATGCATGTTGGACCATAACATCCTGGTTATGGCCCCTGATTGTACGGAAAATAATGGGTTTTTTTTAGCTTGTTCTCTATCCATCTCTTGCAAAATGTGGACATATCTTGCATGGCAATCGCCTGTTGACTTTTTTTAAAGAAAGCTTATTAATAAAAAGTGATTGAATTCGTATAAAATATTTAATAATCTTTCCATGAAAAATATTTCAGGTATTTTATTATTTTTATGCTATTATTGGAATGGAAGTGTTCGGTAACAAGATTCACTTCTATGGATACAATGGTACAGACCTAGATCCGTTAAAGAAACATTGCGGCAATCCAAAGTTAGAGAATTCGGACTTCTACAACAGCCATTACTGTAACAACAACTTTAATAATATTTTAAAGGCTTTTGTTGTTTTGTTTGAGTTAACTGTTGTTAATCAGTGGCATGATATCCTTTTATTATACATACACATTAATTGTTGCAACACATTGTCTATCCACTATTTCGCTCTGTCATATATTGTACAGGAGGTGAGATTTATTTCAGATTCGCAGAGAATGTTCAAAAGATCAAAAGGAAGAACCATTATCGCTTACATATTGTTGAGTTATCCCCTAGTTTATGTTCAAATTTATCAAATCATAATTGGGGTTGATTCTTTAAGATATACTCCTTGTATGGGATCCATCTTTTAAATGGTCTTAATTGTTCAATTCTGGGAAATGACTCATTACTGGTTAAGTATGATACTTACTAAATGTATTATGAATATAGAATTATGAAAAAGAAACAAATTGTAAAAGAATTTTTTCTAATCAAACCAGAGTCATTGCGATCAGGATTTTTGGTTAATAAATATTGATAGAAGTAGAAAATACAAGATTAGAACTACTGGTGTTTTCTCACATTAGAAAAGATTTCTGTTTCTGTTTTATATTTTCCTTAACTTCGTTGTACTGTTGTCATCAGGATTTGTTATTGTGACTCATAAAGCAGCTCGATTTTATTTCTTCTGTTTTCACCTAACCTGTGTTGTTATTGTTCTTAAGTAAGTAACAAAATGTCTGCTCCTTAGTTATGGTATTTAATATTGGTTATTTCACGCGTATTTGAGTTGTGATCCACCTTTTTGTACTCCTATGTTTAACCTGGACATAATATGACTGTCGTCACTCACGTCTCTCGCCCTGTCTAACTTTCCTTGTGAGCACTCTACTTACTACAGGTTCTTATTGGATTTTTTCAAACTTGCAGGGATTGTTCATTTGGTTGTAAGAAAGAAGCCTATCAGAATATTTTGATGACGACATCCATGAGTAATTCCATGGTATATTTGGTAGTAATACCCAGTGTAGTTTCAAATTCATAACATATTGTGAACATACTGGACAAAGTTCTATTCATATAATCCTTATAAGACATATAAAGTAGATTTTACAAATCAAAGACACTTATAGGGGTATACTACTTCTGAATTTATTAACATGCTATGTTTCGATACACATGCAGATCGTTATCAAGCATGTTATCAATAAGTAGCATGTTAATAAGTTTAGAAGTAGTATACCCATATAAGTGTCTTTAATTCTATTCATATCTCGACTTTTAAAACTTGTTGACACAATATAGAACAGATTTATCTATGTAACGGCTAGAGACCATGCTTGCTTAACTTTACATCCCCGCATTGGCCGTATTGGATGTTCAGGCGTACTGGACTTCACACATAATCAAAAGTCATAACAAACAACAATTTTAATTCTACATGAAGCACGTAAAAAACTTTATGATGGCATACAACTTGATAACAATTTGAAATGCAGCCATGCTCTTCATATATCTGCCGGTTTTAGTGAAATTACGGATTGACTACTTAACAAATTACTTGATTTACATTATTACAGATGGTGAACGAAATGTGAACAGAATTACGGAATGTGAACGGAATTGAAATTATGAAAAATCAAACATGATAACACTTTAAGACTTGGTGGTATTGTTCATTTGGACTTGAGGAAAACCCTATCAGAATTGATGATTTCAATGGCAAATTTAAAGATTGTGAAATTTGTCATTGTGACATATATAGTAGTAAAAACCCTATTGTGAAAATGTTTTGAGGAGCATTTTCATGTTCTGTCTTTGTTTTATTTCAGTATTTTTACTGCATTTATTCTAGAGGCGTTTATATTAGAATATTCTCTACAGAAACAACCTCGTCTAGAATCAGTAGTAGAAGCTAAAATAAAAGAACTTGGATTGGGTATTGGACTGTAAGTTTTTGTTAATAATGCTTAAGTTTTAGTTTATTTGTTTTAATAAACAAATAACAGTGGCACCTTGAATACAATAGCCAGGGTCAGCATACACTTCCTAGGTTACCTTTCCTGATATCATTTGCTTTTGGAATGGGGTCAGTCGAGTGGACTAACATGTTAGATCATAAGGTCTGTCATTTAGTCAAGTGGCCTGGTTCCAATCTCAAACTTTCTTGTGACAAGATTATGGTCGCCTGTCTAATCTTGTGAGTTTTGTCTGTATCTTCCAGTTTGCTCCTACTGAAGATCCATAAGTTCAAGTGTATTATTGAAATAGACTGAACCATAGTACCGGTACCAAAATGACTTAAATTGCTCTATGGATTGCTTTTACTCAAGTTTGCTTCAAGGATAAAATTAAAATTCAGTGAAATTGTGAATAAATGATATTATTACAGAAAACCAGTAACCCCAGTAAAACCAAAGAATGATACAATAGAATTAGTTGAAAATGAAGAAGAGCCAGCCGGTAGCTCTAATGAACCTGAAGATGATTCTGACACAGAGAGTATACCTGACCTGTCTCAGGAACAAGGTCTACGATTTCATCTTAAAAAACGAAGTAAGTGGAAGCAAAAAAAAAGAAATTTTAGTATGTTATCTCTGCATATATATTCAGACCATTTTAAATACCTTTATTATCTTTCTAAATTTGATGTTGTTTATTCTATAAAAAGAAAAAAAATCCTATTATTTTTCAACAATTTTTGATAGTAACTTCCAAGGCTATTCCCGACTGTTCCACAATATCTTCTTAGAACATCAGAGACTTTAATTATGATCGGATCTTTCTGAAATTTGTAACAGTTGTCTGGCTTGTATGACTTAGCAGCTTTTGGGCATTATTTCATTGCCTGGCAACCCAAGTTTGAAATTTATATGGTTTGTCATCTCATTGAATGAAGACGCCTATTGATTTTCAGTTATCTCCTCCAGAGTTATGCCCCTTTGTTATGAAATCTTATAAGCTGCATTTGTTTACTAATCATTCTGAAATTTATATTGATGTCAATCCATCCTATTTTCGATTAACATCCAGGAAGAGTTATTCACCTTGTTAGCACCTTAGAGGCTTTTTAATAGTCTGATGTTTTGAAATTGTGGGAGTTATTTATTTAACTCTTTAAATGACTTAACTGCTGACAGACATATGGTTGTTGCATGGCAATCTTTTTTTAAAACTTGGCAAGATTGTTCCTTAGGGTTTTAGGAAGAACCCATTAGATTTTTATAATTTTCCAATCTTATATTTCATACATGTTATTTTTCACGATTTATATAACTATTCTGCAGTTTTCTCCCACTGCTAAAGAAAGTCCCTACGTGCCATCGAATTATTGAAATAAAATTGAACCATGTTAGTTTCATAATAACCTAGTTTGTGTTGAGTGGAAATTAAACCTCATTTCTCTCTCCCTTGTGAATGCAAGCCAGGACAATGTTCATCATCAAATGTGTAAAAGCTTAAAGTTGTAGGCCTTCTGTTTATTTGGGCCTAAAGAGGAACCATAATAGAGAGTTATCCATCCATTTACATACAAATTTGATTCTGGAAAATACTGTAAAAGCTTAAAGTTGTAGGCCTTCTGTTTATTTGGGCCTAAAGAGGAACCATAATAGAGAGTTATCCATCCATTTACATACAAATTTGATTCTGGAAAATACTCTTTGTAAACTGTTGAACTACTTTTCTTCTCTTAGGTCGTAAAAAGGTGGAGGTATTACTACATCAGATGTTTGAAGGAGAAATTGATGCGGAAGATGAGGGACCTGAGAATGAAGACCACGAACCAAGAAAACGTAGACTTACATTGGAAACTGTTTAGTAAGTGATTAACAACAACAGTATTATTATACTGCAAAATAGTTCATGATTATTTGTGTTTTCTCCTGAATCACCAGTTGATGGTCCTTTTTCTATAACTGACTGTAATCTCTTAACTCACGTAATCTAAGGTGTGCAAGCATGACATAGTGATTCCTTTGCTATAGATAAAATACAGTAGCTTCTATTTATAAGGTCGACGTTCAGACAGTTGGGTGACATGCACGTGGCAGGATATGCTTACTCTTTCTAGAAAACCTGATACCACATGTTAGGAGTTATTTGTACATACATGTACAAGGGTTTAAAAAAAAACATGGGTGTCATCTGTGAAGTTTTTGCTCACTGTCTTTTGCATCTCCTTACCCTCCACGATAAAAAAAACCCTAATTTTCATTTGCAGCTACTTTAAGAAAATACAAGGGAAAATTCCACTTTAATTTTATGCTTCATTTTAATGAATTGATACCTTTACTTAATCGTGTTTATGTTAATGCCGTCATTATTTGTAAATTTTAAGCAGTTTAAAAAGAGTCTGATCACAATATTGCAGTTTATATTATAGAATTAAATGTTTTTGTTTCACTGGTGTAAGTTCACCTGTGGAATTCTCTTATTCCCCAAAGGAGTAAATGGAAACATAAAAAGTTTTTATAGTATATTTAAAATAGTTTACATTTCTAGAATACCAGATACCTCTTCACATGTTAATAAGCTTTTATATCAAAGTTGAATAATTTCTGAAATTGTATACATTTTGTTTTGCAATTTTTTTATAAGGTTCGAGGTCAAGGAATATTATTAAGAAATTTTAACATATTAACTTTTTATTTTGTTTTGGATGAAGAAAGTTTATTTTTAAGATGTATGTTTTTTTTCAGGAACGGAACATGTTTAGGAAAAGTGTTGACAAGACGTTAGCCATTGTTAAAGAGACATTATCAAGTTCACCAAGAAAATAAATATAATTAAATTAGAACAATATAATATTCAATAGACTTAAGACTACCTAAATTTCATAAAATCCAACCTAATTTTCATAAAATCCAAGTAGTCACGCTCTTTAAATTATTTTTGCACCAGCATCTTCTTACATGAAAACCACTAAAAAATGTGTCCGACACAAAGTTAAAATGTCTATAACTTCATTCTAATTTGAAAACTATATAGTTAATTCGATCATTATTTATTTACCAGATAGCTCCAAAAAGCTCCATAATTACCTCTTTGAACCACTTACCATTCCAATCCATTCTATGTGTTGATATAAAGACACACATACGCAATTTATGAACTTCAAGTGTTTGTAATTAAAATATATATAATGTCAGTAAATATGTTTATGCTTATTTTGGCAAAGTCTGTGATAGTCTAAAATGTGAATAAAGAATTGATGCATATTATTGTATATATTATAATTAGTACACAAACTACATAGAAATATCATGTATGATAATAATATAAATAAGTAGAACACTTTCTCATACATCTTTTAAGGAAATTAAGATTACCATATGTGGTGTCAATATGCCGAGTTCTTTTTTATGACTTTCAAATATAATTTTATTGTCGTTTAATTGAAATTATCTTACATATTAAATTTTTTGTTGTGTGTAAATGCATAAATGAAATATTGTTTTACCAAAATATGACCTGGTACCGTAGTTAAAGTATTTTGGGAAAGTGATCTTCAGTTTCTGTGTTTGTGTGTGACATGATGAAATAAGTTAATTTCTATGTTTGCCAAATGTTATAATATTAACAGTATAGGTCCCAATACCTGAATAAATGTTATATTTATTTATTTAAATGCTCACCTTGCTTACCTCACCATATGATAGTCAATTATTTGTTTTATACAATTTAATATTGTCTAATCTAGAAATTAGTCATTAACTGTATTAATACTCCTTAGTTGTTATTTATTTTATCACAAACAGCATTTGTAATTAATGGTCACATTATGTAAAATCTTAACATTATCAATACTCGTGTTGTTTTATACAATATAATTGTATACTGTGGATAAAAGATGTATTTGTTGTTTAAATAGCTGAGAAATCTGTTAGCTATCAAGAGTACAGTTGGATATGTCCTACATATTTAAAACTGTTTAATATTTAAAGTTTTCTATATTTCTTCACATTGTGTTCAAGCAAAATTTCCTATCAATAATATTATAAATAATTTATAATAATTATTATATAATTATGTTAATACAAACACAATATACGATATATAGATAGAAAGTGACAAAAAAAATCAAATTTCATAAAAATGATATTATTATAAGTCAGTTTTTCGTAGCATTCCAGTATATTCTAAAATGAAACTAAAGTCTTTCTTTGATAACTTTATAATCGATAATATTATAAATAATTTATAATAATTATTATATATAATTATGTTAATAACAATTCAAAATAGGGTATATAGAAGAAGCCAAACAATTTAATGACAGATATTATTCAATGTACAAATGGGTAACTAGAAAGTGACAAAAACATCAAATTTCATTATCTAATTTACCTTTGGGCTAAAAGTGATATTATTATTGATTAGTTTTTCGTATATTTTTACATAACATATATAAAAACTCTTGTAGCATTCCAGTATATTCTAAAGTCAAACTGAAGTCTTTCTTTGAAAACTTTATAATCATGTGATAAAAGTAATTTTATATATTTTTGTTGGGTATTACAGTTTAACATTCCATGTAACAGACCTACCAGATCACAGGTTATTTTTTGACACAAAATCAGCAATTGGTATATTTCTGAACTTTTTAAATTGATTTCAACTTGTGCCTAATAAAGCTTGAACATTTTCACTTTATATTTTAAATTGTGTATTTATGTCCCAGTTGCTATTATTTATGGGCCAATTCGGTTAGATTTACAGTTAATAAAGAGCACAAGTCAAATTTCAGTTTCCACATATAAAAGCTTAGAGCAGTGGTTCCAGAACAGTGTCCTGGGAGATGTCATTAGATGCACCTTGAAAAATAAATCCCCCCCCCCCCCTTCCAAAAACATTAAAACCATCTAGCACATTTCTCGTTGATAACTTTGCTCCATTTATTGAATAAAAAAAATATACCTGTATTTCTGCTTTACCTTTGTTAATATGTTTAAATTTATATACCAAGTGTGCATTAATATCTTACAGAAGTTCTCTGAGTAAAAAGAAGAGGTTTGGAACCACTGGCTTAGAGATAACAGTATATTTTGTTTACCGGTACATTTTACTTTTTATTACTTATTTTTTTTATGTTCACTTGTAGTGGCAACTTGAAGATGGCATCACATTTTTTTTTTTTAAATTTATATATAAAAAAATAAACTTTTTGTTATAATTATTTTTTCACTTACGTATGTTATTATTAAAATATTATATTTGTGTTGTTCTATATAGTGGCCTTAAAAAAGTATTGTATATGTAATCTCCTCATTTATATACTATTTGTTGTAATTAAACCAATGTTCATCTTTCAAATAAACTATTAGTTTGAAATGGTTTTTATATTATATCTGACTTGAAAGAAAGTAATTTTCTTGGTTCATAGGGGACTGATGTTGTTTCTTCACTGTCTGTGATCCAACATTTAATATAATTGGCCACGTAGTCCATTTTATATGACTGCCAGGTAAGAATGGCCTGTGGTTGTGTGTCTATAAACTGTACAATGAAATAAGATGGGGTTTAACATCCTACGTTTCTGCACCAATTGGACTAATGAAGACAGGCATAATTATACTATGAGTGAAATTTTGCTCAACAGCAGCACTAGGCCCTACTCTTAACTTTGAATTTTTCATATCTAGTCAATGGTATAGTCATTTTTTTTGGTACCATCCGAATAACTGAAGACTTCTTCTTGCCAGGCCTTTTAGTTAGTAGCAAGTGCCATACTCACCAAATCTCCTATAAACTTATAATAACACTTTCAATATGTTCTAAGTAAATTAAAACATTATTTCATTAGCTGTTAATATACAAAATGAAATGAAATGAAATGGGGTTTAACGTCCTACTGTTTTGCTCCTAACTGGGCTAATGAAGACGGGCATACGCCATACAGTGTGCTATGAGGGAAATTTTGCCCGGACAGCGGCACTACGGCCTACTCTTATATCGAATTCCAACTGTCAAGGGATCTTTTACGTGCACGCCAATGTGTACACGGGACCTCGGTTTTTCGTCTCATCCGAATGACTAGACAGCTGTCCTTGTCAGGCCCTCCGTCCTGCATCTGTTAATATACAATAATTTTATTAAAATAGACAGGATATAAATAACTACAAATAAATAAAGACGCATGTACAATATAACAAACAGTGTAGATCTTATCAAATTAATATACTACAATGAAATATTAAAATAATTATCATATATCTACATACATAGTTACTAATTTAGTCAATCACAAATAACATATTGGTAGATCTATTACTTACTGTGCCATGCCACGCACTGGTAGTTTTAATTAGCTCTCAAAAAGATAGATCAGGATATTTGGACTACTGGTAGGCTACCAAGTAGTATAACAATTACATTTATATTCCCGACCAGGATACATTATGGTTTAAATTTAGTATTTAATTTTTGATCTTTTGATCCTGTTTCGTTTTTTTTATAGTTCAATTCCGTTTTACTTGTCTTCACAACACTAAGATCTTCTGGTTAATGCACAGTCTGTCACAGCGAGCTCTTGGCGTGCGGTGCACAGAACTATGGGTAAGCCACTAAAAACGCCAATGCTGATTGATTACTCTATGTCTGATGTCATAGAGTCAAAAGCCGCTCGTATGACCCCTGACGTGACCTTCCACTACAACCGATCAGATCTTCATGTAGTAGAGGCCAATGAAAGTACAAAAAAAAAAGAAATGAAATATAGATCTGTATTTTAATCAGATTGATCAGTTGTAGAAGTCAAAGTCATCCTCGTCTTCTGTTTTATTTTTAGAAGTTTTGTGCATAAAATCACCTTCTGTGTCTGTATCAAGATCAGATCCAATACGTAAACCTGGAAAATATTCAAACAAAACTTTAATGAGGCCAAATCAGTAGGTATAGAAAATTACATTGACAATATCTGATCATAATAAAATGAATGGAAAGTGGTTTAATTGCCAATATTATTTCAATGTTCATGGTGCAAAATGCATATGTCAGCAGTTCAAAATACGTATTTTAGTTTTACAATTTCCATTGCTCCACAATACAATACACTATTCAATAATACAAAATACAGTATAATAGTTATTTTGCACATTACACTTTTCCATAAAAGGGGGCATATTCTGGTCATTGTTTGTCACACTCACACAAAAGCCTCCATTATTAATCCTGCCCTGCAAACATGGACCATCAACTGATAATATTTTATTTTGTAGATCAACATTAAAATCAACTATTTTATACAATATTTGTATAACTAACAATCCAAACTTATCTATATTATTACCTGGTCGTTTATTAGGAATAGGATAAGATCCAGTTGATGGCATTGTAGATCTGAAACAAACAAGAGAGTATGAAATGGAGTTTTGATGTCCATTTAATATAACTAGGTTATTATGGGATTAAAATGTATGGTAAAGTTTGTTTACATTGTTAGGAAATTCCTAACACAGTAAACAAACTTTACCATACATTTTGATAGTGGCAACAAATTTTCAAATTTGGACATTCGACCCGACCCTACTCCTTGTCAGGTACAAGCGCGGAATCGAAACCATGCCACTTGACTCAATGACAGACCTTAAGATCCAAAGGATACATGTTAACCATTCGTCCCCCCCCCCTCCACAACACTATTAGAGCAGGTAGTTTTAAGATAAATAACATTACAAGAGTGAACAAAAATACATGTACTGTACTGGTAAATAGTTAGCAAATGGGAAGAAAAGAAATTAATAATATAAATATAAGGCCGACTCTCAGTTCAAAATGAAAATAAAATGGGGGTTTAACGTCTTACTGTTCTGCTCTGACTGGACTAATGAAGACATGCACATGCCATACAGTGTGCTATGAGGCAAATTTTGCCTGGGCACCGACACTATGGCCTACTCTTATATCGAATTCCAACTGCCTAGGGATCTTTTACATGCAAGCCAATGTATACACAGGACCTGTTTTTTTGTACCATCCGAATGAATAGACAGCTGTTGTTGTCAGGTCCTCCGTCCTGCACCACTGACATGGGGAAGCAACATCGGAAAATCCTGATAAACTTTCTCGGCCAATGCAGGGATCGAACAGGCGACCTCCAGGCTAGCGAACCAGCATCTTATTCACTTAGCCACAATGGCTCCCCACAATTTAAAATGAACATGATTTCTTTGACTGATCAATGCCTAAGCCACATTAAAGGAGCTAAATCGCTAATATTTGGGATCTACAAATTGACACAAATGGGTCGCAACGTATATGATAATGTAATAGGAATGTAAATAAACTGATTTACATTCAATCCTTTCCGTTTTTACTCTAATTTCAAAGCAGTTATGTTCAGCGAAATACGCCAGAAGTCTCAATCCAATGTCAATCTCTAGTGTCTGGTTATTCTAGTCTACACCGATAGTATTTATTGCGCATGTTCTCCAGATAAGAATGGGAGTCACCGTTTGACATGACTTGTGGAACATGTTTAACCTCGTTCTTCGAGTCACTTGCTACAAATTGCGCTGAAACGCATTATGGTACACGATTCGTGTACCAATGGTAAAATGTTTATTTTGTCTTGAATATTAGATATCGGAAGCCCATCTTTTTCCGGTAAGATCACAACACCAATGTTGAATAAAATTGACAAATAATTTGTGTTTTCATTGTCGAAGGTTTTGGATGATATTGAGTTAGAGAGACTTAGCTACTTTAAATACTAAGTTTTGTAAATGCAAATTCAGATGTAGGATATGGTTAGACCGACAGACGGTAGTGAGAATGAGAACCCTTGGTGTTAGGTGAATAAAAAAGTGTGTATAAAATATACAGATTATGAACAGAACATTTGGTTGAACAAGAACAAATAATATAAACAGGGGTATAAAAAACCAGTAAAACAAATGGCTGATTAAAAGTGGGTGATTAAAAATGTAAGGTGGATCCAAACAAATAGGGAAAATACAACAACACATCAAACATTGCATTCTGGGATACCTGTGATCCATTGCCGTGGGGACATAAACAGGTGAAGCTCCATGAGAGAAAGAACTGGCATCAGAAAAATCGTCTGGTTTACCGGAAGTAACTTTATTTTCTATCAGAAAATCTCCATCACTGAATGTTGGTACATGTATCAAGAACAGAGGAAAATGAAACAGAGACAGAAGAAATGATATCACTATAAAAAAAAAGTCACAAAAGCAAACATCTCAAAAGATAAAATGCATTATTAAAAACAAAACTACCATCTTTTCATTAAGGCAGTTTATTTCAGTGTATGACCAATTGTTTTAGATAACAAAGCTATGTATACAGAGTTAAAGAACAATCACACGAGAAGATGGAATACTCACAAAAAGAAGAATAGATGACATTAAATGAAATGTAGCTTAACGTCCTACTGTTCTGAACTGACTGGGCTAATAAAGATGGGCTTACACCATGCAATGCCTTACGGGGGATATAAAATGGCCACAAAATTTTGTAGCGTAATTCAATTACTAATCGTTTACATAGAATACGGCGTTGGGGCATTTCCAATATATTCCGGGTGAAACGTCAATTCGCACAGGCCTATTGTAATTATATTTTTCCTTGTCATTAGAAATATATGTTCAGATAAAAACAGATGACCTAGTTATGCTCCAGACCCAGGGAATGTATCATTAATGTTACCAGCAAAATATCAGACAAATGTTTTTGCACAGTAGATGTTTAGCAGAATGATCACAAAGGTTACAAGAAAGAAAGAAATGGGGTTAAAAATCCACTGGACACAAACTTTGTCATTTTGGGACAAACATTTATTTATTTCAATAATTCGCTTAAAGTTACAATTTCATATTTTCTAAGAAAGTCAAAACATAATTATTTCTATGTCTTTTGCTTAATAGGTTGTCAACTCACTATTAAAATTATACGATCACACTTAAAACTCATTTACACCGGAAATAATAACACAATTACCTCCCTTGTTTTCTATTCTCCACCATGGAGTAGCTAACTTCAAACGTTTGAATTTGTCGATGAAAATGATATTTTTGCCAATTTCTCAACTGGCAATAGTGAATTATAGGATTAATAGGATTATTCTTTAACAAGGTAGGACTGTTTATAGATACCATCTATTTTATGGCTTTATTTTAATAAATTTTAAAAATATAACTTAAAAATATGAAATTGCAACTTTAAGCGTAGGGGTCTTAAGCAGTGGGAGGAAATCAGAGGACACAGAGAAAACCCAGGAGGTTTGATAGGCAGCCATACTCCTTGTCACGTACATAACATGCCACTTGACTCAATGACAGGCCTTGCGATCTGATTCGGATGCGTTAAGCCATTCGCCCAACCCAACATCCGCAAAGGTTACGAGGTTTCCTGTTGACCTTTGTGCCATGTTACAACATTATGAGATACATGTGCACTCACCCTTTTGAACTGCGTGCAGATGGAATGGAATCATGGGAACTTCTCGGAGTGAATATATTTCCTCCATCTTTTTTTCTTCTGGGCGAAAGAACTGATGATTTGGTTGTTCGTGGCGATAATACAGATGCAAATTGTTTCTCAACATCATCGTCTGTGTCTTCTTCTTCCTCTGCATTATTTTGATTGGTCATATTTCTTGTTCCTGATAGCATATTCTTATATGCATCAGTTTCTGGAAAGATGACAAAACAAACAGCAATATAAAGGTGCATCAGGCGCCATCTTTGTCACCTATTTGCCATAACTAGTGCTGATATTAGATAAAAATTATGCATCGATGCATCAAAAGCAAACATTGATACTTCGGTAAATTTGCTCGTCAATGAATATTGCTATTTGAACAAAAATTCCTTTCCTTTCCTAAGAGCTCTTCAGCAAGTTATTCAATGCAAATAAAGGAGAGTGTCAATTTAAAACTTACCATTCAATGGAACGGCTGGTTGATTTCTAGAATTAGTTTGATCAAATAAACTTGTTGACTCGTCATCACTAAATGGTCGGTCTATCAAACTACCAAACTTTAACGGTGGAACTATATTTTAAATAGTAAAGAAAAGAATTAGTTTTATTATTAACTCTATTAATCTAAATACCCATAAAAAGATCCCACAGCTGAAGTTTTGATAAGAAAAAATTGCAGCAGAATCATCAACATTCCTTCAAGATATGTTTTCAGGGTAAATATATACTTCTCAATGTCTATTTTTGACAACCACAGAGAGAGAAAGAAAGATAAATGGGGTTTAACGTCCACTCGACACACACTAGGTGAATTCAGGTCTAACATATGGTTTAATTTTATTTAAATAATTCACTTGCCCATAGGGTCTTTAGCAGTGGGAGGAAACCAGAGGACCCGGAGAAAACCCACGATTTTGGACAGGCGACCCTACTCCTTGTCACGTACAACCAGGGAATTGAAACCACGTCAGTTGACTCAATGACAGACCTAATGACACTGTTGACAACCAGGTCCATAATAATGAACACTGACCCAAGTAAAGAGAGTTTGATTTCACATTAACAATGATTAATAAGTGTATAGGCAGTCATCCATATTTGAAAGCTGTGAATAGTTGAACAATATCAATGATTACATCCTCGATTACAGCAAAAAATGAAAGTTTTAAACAACTGACTATAATTGTTTTGTGAACTACCTGTCTGTGGTTTTAAACCCTGTTTAATTTCTATATCCTTTTATCTAAACCTATAGAATGCTGACCTGTACCCTGATCTTGTGTGTTATCATTATAACTCCTAGGTGTATGTTTAACAGGTGATTGATGATGTGGTGACGCCATAGATGATCCATCTGTTCCATCATCTTTATTAAATTCTTCTAATAAACGAACCAATAACGAAAATGCCTGAAAGTAAAAGTTATTTAACTAAGACCAAATACCTAGTAATAAAATGTGACTATCCCCAGTGAATAAATTGATGACTTTCCACAGAAACCCCAGGTATAACATGTGACTATCCACAGATAATCCCAGGTAATAAAATGTGACTATCCACAGAAATCCTAGGTAAGAACATGTGACTATCCACAGAAATCCCAGGTATAACATGTGACTATCTACAGAACTTCCAGCTAATAAAATGTGACTATCAACAGTAAAATGTGACTATCCACAGAAATCCCAGGTAATAAAATGTGACTATCCACAGAAATCCCAGGTAATAAAATGTGACGTTCCACAGAAATCCCAGGTAATAAAATGTGACTTTCCACTGAAACCCCCTGGTAAGAACATGTTACTATCCACAGAAATCCCAGGTAATAAAATGTGACTACCCACAGATACCTCTAGTAATAAAATGTGATTATTCACCGATACCCCAGGTAATTTTATGTGACTATCCACTGATAGAATATCAAAGCAGTAACAACATTTGAGTTGTGTAAATATCAAATGAACTTCGGTTATCACCTTTTGTTGATGTTGGGATCCATCTGCCACCAGGCATGGAACAAAGACGGCTGCCACTTCTTTTGGCTCCATGACTTTAAACTGCACCAGGAGTGAGAAATGATTGAATAATGAATCCCACAAATCACAGGCATCTGATGGTAATTGCAATCTACAAAATAAAACATTTTTGTTAAATCAATCACTGAACTTATATACTGCCAAATACATTGATGTTTGTATTTGGATATAATAATCTTTTCAAATGTGGTATAAGGAAGTCTATTGGTGCAATGAGCTGTTTGTTTTATACTAGAAGAATAAAGATGGGCATAAGTCATTCAGTGCGCTAGGAGGGAAATTTTGCCCAGACAGCCACAACATAAAATCCTAAGGAACTATCTCGGCCAATAAAAAGATTTTATGCTTAGAAAAATCGCCCAATTTGCTGTAGGTGCAATTGGAAAAAAACAATGAACTTCTGCCAATAGCACATAGATAATTACAAAGTTAACAAGAGTTACTTACCCTATTGTGTCTGCTGTCAATCTAGAGGTATCAGACATCAACATTTCGTCTGTTAGTAAACCAGAATTAACCAAATGTCTAATGACCAGGGTAAGTTGTTCTAGTATAACCATACTAACTAAATTAGCATCAATAGTTGATAAATTCTCACCATTATTCGCTTTACTGAACAAAATAAATACAACAAGATCAATGTTCGTCCAATTGTGGGGTTTTACCTCCGCTTCTACTTTGGGTCACAAACGAGACAAATGAAATGAATGGGGTTTAACATCTTACTTTTCTGCACCAACTAGGATAATAGTCCGGCATGTAGTGTACTTTGAGGAGAATTTCCAACTACTCTTCGTCAAATTCTAACTGCCTGTGTATGTTTTTTTTTGTCCTACCCATACAACTAGATGCCATTCCTTGCCAGGATCTTTGTCATGCACCACTCTCTCGGCTAACACCGGGATCGAACCTGTGACCTCCTGCTTAGAGAGCCATTACGACTCCTATCAAATTTAATGAGTAAAATATACTAACTGTATAATATTTGATCGTAAAGATGAATCTGGTGGTGATGTCTTGTAATAACCCTCGAACGAAAACGCATCTCTAAAATCATCCTGGACATATTTCAATAAATATATAATACCAGTTAATGTCATATCAGCTCTAATAGATTTATTCATACTGAAATATATGTATATAGAATTATTCAATAAACCTAAATAACAACAACAAAGATGGCTACACAAAAATAACTACTGGGTATGCTATTCTATTTCTAAGACATCATACTTTAGTGTCAAAAATATTTCCATTATAAAGCTAAGCTACATGGGCTTTGAAAAGCTTCAATTACAACATACATATTAAAACCCTAGCATGCTAGATTAAATAGAGAGTTTTTGTTGTCCATACACAATCAAAAGTACTTTTAATAAAAATAAATTGATCCAAAAATGATTGATAAAGACCAATTCTAACTTAAATTATGGCCATTTCCACATTAGTTTCTATCGATTTCGTACTGCCATTTTTACCTCTCTAAGATATATATAGTAATAATAACTCTGTCTTATTAGTACAATCCAGTCCATTTTCATAATTGTCTTTTTAATACTCAGATGTGCTTACTTACTTAGAAATAAAAACCAGCATTTATACTAAAATAGTACATATTTTTGACTTGTGAAATATGTGTGAACAATCTGGCTTGTAAGGTTTTGTGGAGGAAACTACCTGTGTTAACCGGTCACATGACTTGCTACACCTCTAGCACTTTACGTCCAGACTCCCTTGTTGTTAGTTCCTTACGTCCAGACTCCCTTGTTGTAAGTACCTCCACTTGGTTACTACTTACAGTATAATTTAAAAATATTACAAATCCCCTTTATTTACAAATATTATCTTATGTTACCTCTTAGCAGAGTGAGAGGCTACTTCTGTTTCTATGGACCCCACAGCTTCTGATGTCCCCTGTAAACCTGGGTTATCTATTCCTAGTTTCTCACTACTCTTTTTAGCTGGAGATTTCTGTCCTTTACTACTTAATGGTAGTTCCAAGTCACTACCGATATCACTGTCATCATCAGGTTCCATTGGTCCTGATAAATGAAATGAAATGAAATAGGGTTTAACATCTTACTGTTCTGTACCGACTGGAATAATAAATACAGGCATACGCCATAGGGCATAGGCGTACGAGCTGGGGGGGCTGGGGGGGGGGGGCGGCCACCCCCCATTTTGGGCACCAAATGCTGGGAAAATTTGGGCACACAATATTGTACTTTGTAAAAGTTGTATAAAAAAATATTGCGTTCTTGAATGTGTCCAATTTAACAGTGAATTTATTATTATTATGTAACATACTAAGAACCTAACTACATTTTTTGGGCACCAACCACCAACGCCCCCCCAGTCAAAAAATTTCCCGTACGCCTATGCCATAGGGGGTGTGCTATGAGAGAAATTTTGCCCAGATAGCTGCACTACGGTCTATTCTTACATCAAATTCCAACTGTCAAGGGTTGTTTTACAAAGTGCGCCAATGTGTACACGACACCTCAGCTTTTTGGCCCATCCAAATGACTATGTTGTCCCTTGCACCACTGACAAGCGGAAAACACGGCTGTAAATCCAGACGAACTTTCTCAGTCAACACAGGGATCGAAGACAGGACCTCCAGATTAGAGAGCCACTGTGGCTCCAACCCCTAGTAAATATTGAAGCTTCAATCTAGAATATATGACGGATATAGAATTTCAGACGATACACAACCAATCTGAAATTTTTGGAATACAATAAGTTTCTGCCTTATCTTACTCTAATGAACAATCTCTCTGTGTTTTAATACATTCCATCCACAACTCTATTCTGTAATGTGTTAACAAGATTTCATAACTCGGAACATAAATGGGAAATTTGTGATAAAAAATTTTCAGAATTTTAATATGCTTCTGTTGTATCATGTTGATATTATGGACAGAAAAAACCTTAAATCTTATTTGGCGACCATTTGTAGGTAAAAGACTACGCAGACCTGTGTCTTTAATAGAGAGTACAACAATAGAACTGTGTAACTATAGTGTTACTTAATTGTCTATGTTTATTTTGAATATTTCATATAGAATTAATCTTTTATCAGTCTCACCTGATTTCTGGCCTGTTGGACTTTGTATTTTTTGTATTGTAACATTCTGGACAGGTTGGATATCAACTTCCTCGACTCTTGATAATTTTTTTACGCCACTTCCAGTTTCTGTAAATGTAGGTGAAACTCTCGCTGGACTTGACTCTTGAGGTACTTGAGGTACATCTGCTTGTTTATATGGTGATGAATGTTGGGATGTCCAATGTTTTGATTGTGTTGATTCTTGGTTTGGATTTTGTTGACTGTAATGGTGAGGTGTGGATTGGTTTGATGGTGCTACTTGTGGAGAAACAAAAGTAAACAAAATTTAATTATTACAGCAATGCTCCACTACTGTAATCCTATTCTCATAATTTTGCCCTCATGTTACGGTAATCAGTAAACATTCAATATAGTGATTCCTTCATTCTTATCTAGTCTTGCATCAAATATCAAATACAGACTAAAAAAGACTTAAAGGGGCAGTTTCACTGAACGAAATCGCTTCATAATGTGTTTCCAATCCAATTAATGGTTCTAGGTATAAATGAAATGGAATGGGGTTTAACGTCCTACTGTTTTGCTCCTAAACTGGGCTAATGTAGACGGGCATACGCCATACAGTGTGCTATGAGGGAAATTTTGCCCGGGGCAGCGGCGCTACAGCCTACTCTTATATCGAATTCCAACTGCCAATGGATCTTTTACGTGCACAGGACCTTGGTTTTTCGTCCCATCCAAACGACTAGACAGCTGTCCTTGTCATGCCCTCCGTCCTGCATCACTGACAAGGATAAACCATGCCGGAAAATCTGGATGAACTTTCTCGGCCAATGCAGGGATCAAACACCCGACCTCCAGGCTAGAGAGCCAGCATCTTACCCACTTAGCCATGTGACCCCCTGCTTCTAGGTATATCTCTGTGTAATGACTATGTATGATGACCAAGGTAAGGTGAAGGTCACTGAACCTACTGTACTATGGAATCCCAATTTATGTGATATCCTAATTTTCTTGTGATATTAACAAGTGAAACATGATTTACCGGGTACTAACACTGACTCCAAATCATGTAATTATTGATTGACGATACAACTAATTTATGGTGTTCAAGCATAACACCATTAATACAACTGGCAGAAGGTCGGTTATTATGAATCTCTATATAAGATATATAATTCTTTTGTTTAACGGTAATAGGAGCGATAGTATGGACTTGAGGAATTAAATGAAATGGGGTTTAACGTCCTACTGTTCTATGGACTTGGGTCTAAGAAATATTTCTAATGTTATTTAATAATACACTGCTCTATTAAAAGCAGGAATAATAAATGTCGACACTGCTCTATAAAATCAGAATAAAATCTGTATTTTAATTATCAATTTTTCATATCTTACCTCCAGACTGCGGTGTTTTATTCTCTGTCTGCTATAAAGAAAAACATATGATTATCCAGACAAGACATATAGTGGGTTATTAAGCAACTTATAAAATAAAGAATTTAATAACTTTATAATTCATAATAATTGAGTTGAGTCTGACCGACACTAGTGACCTGTTGTATTTTGTATGAGTAACTTAACTTGTTAATTAAGTACAACACAGTCACAGAGCTTGCATTCACTAATCAAGTGCAGCCACTTCCTGTCATGTGTTACTGCTATGATGTCACAATAAAGTTGTCTTCACACATAATATGAATGAAATTTTGGTCTTTTTCTTCATCCATTGGAAGCGCTAACAATGTTTGCCATCCATGCAAAAGTATAACATGACCAATCAAGTAAACAGGGATAAACACATAAAAATATACAGGAAGAAGTTTCTATCACATGTCAACATGGCTGAATGATGCCTATCATTACTTATATAATATAGACAATTACGGCTGGTCCCCAAGAACCATTCACTTGAATTTATATTTTTTGTTTATTCTTGTGTGTAGTGTGTTCCCTCTGCACTTACTATTTAATAATAATATCGTCATTTATACTGAAGAACAGTTTCTAAAGGTGCTACTGGTTGTTATAATCACGGATTATTTACAGATGAGTATTTTGAAACAAGTATATTTTGAGTTGAGATATAAAACAGCCCATTGTTGGCATGGTTGTTTTATTGACTGGTAGTTTATAAAGTTGTATTCTACTTCATGTCCATTCTTTGGATCCCTAACTACAGATCTTTGGACCCGGCTAACTACAGATCCTTGGACTATTTGGACCCCTAACTACAGATCTTTGGACCCCTAATTACAGATCTTTAGACCCCTAATTACAGATCTTTGGACTCCTAACTACAGATCTTTGGACTACTACCTACAGATCTTTGGACTACTACCTCAGATCTTGGACTCCTACCTACAGATCTTTGGACTCCTAACTACAGATCTTTGGACTCCTAACTACAGATCTTTGCGTAAATAATCTGATAACCAAAAAACCACTATAGGACAAATTAACTCTAAATATCAACATAAACCTATACATATATCTTATCAAAAATATGATCAGCAAGCGGTTGCCATGCAACTTAAAAGATACAACCACATCTCGCAAGAGATGGACAGAGAACAATGGTTAAATTTTATTTCAATAATTTGCATGCGCGTAGGGGTCTTTAGCAGTGGGAGGAAACCGGAGGACCCGGAGAAAACCCACGAGGTTGGACAGGCGACCCTACTCCTTGCCACATACAACTGGGGAATCGAAACCCCGCCACTTGACTCAATGACAGACCGTATGAAACAGCGCGCGCGTGCTAACCATTCGGCCATCCAACCCCCCAATATCAAAAGGAACCGAGATCTTTGGGATATAGACATACATATTAGGTTTCATCAAAATCGGATAAAAATTTTGAGTGTCCACAAGCTAATGACAACCATTTCTTGTACAATCAGGGGCCATAACCAATGAAGTTACGATCCAATACATGCCAATATCGAATGAAACCAAGATCTTTGGGATATAAAACTATATTTCAAGTTTCATCAAAATTGGATAAAAATTATGACCTGTCAATTGTCCACAAACGGATGTTCGGACATAAAGGGGCGAAGACAATATAAGTCCACATGAAAATGTGGGCATATAAAAATACTGCCCTCCAATAGAAATACAGGAGTTTTATTTCCCGATCCTTCATGCTAAAAATATACATACTTGTGGCTGTGTTGTCTGTTGATTGGTAAGTTCAAGTGTAGGACAAGCAAGTTGACGCCAATTAGGATATTTTCTCTCAATAGTTTCTTCATACTGTTTCTATTAAAAGAATTTTCATTAATCACAAAGGCACAATATTTGCTAAATTAAGTAGGTACCAAACTAATTGAACTGGTGGTACCTCCATTTATTATGACAAATAATTTGTGACTGGCAAAATGGCGGGCACCAGAGGAATCACAAATTAAAGCCTGAAAATTTGCCTGACATAGCCTGTGACAAATAGAATATTTTCAGACTTGAGTAGACCTAGGCTTATTTTTACGAATTTAATAGTGCAATACTGCTACACATAGATATAGCTTACCTTTAAAAATTGTAGTTTTTCAGTACGGGCTCCCATAGATGAGAGATGTGAATCAATTCGCTCAAATTCTCGTAATAACTGAGCATTTCTTTCTTTGCTTCTCTTTTCATCGTCACACAGTTTTTTCCAGTAATTATTTAAACGAACAGCTTTTAACTTAGCTCTGGAAAAAACAAGAATTTAAGCATCTGATTGTACAGTGAATTTGTTCATCCAATGATACGAGCTGAGCTGTCTTGCCTTCAATATAAACATTTACATACTAAGGCATAATATAGCAACGATACTAAAAAGAATTATTGCGATTTCTCATGATATTGGGAAAATAAATTATCTGGATATCATGGATTATCGCTGGGAGTAAATTATCGTGATAATTCGAATTATCGTGTTTCAAAAATTCATTATCGTGATTAATTACTGATGTAAAATCAACATAACTTGTGGTGTATAAATGGATTAATTTGGTATTTAGCAATGTGTACGAGTTGTATTCTGTATTGATGAAGTGAGAGGTATATGCTGGGGTAAAGGGTTGACATGTTTCAGTATACGCTTGATAAAGACGAGAGTATCATCGTCGAAACGTTGCATGTTAATAAACCAGTAATTGTTATACCATAAATATATATGTTAGTGTGTTAAATACCTTAGATCAGACATTTTTTTCAAAGAATATTATAATTATCTGCATCATTATCCCAATAGCGAAGTATATTTTTAAGTGTTTTAACACATTAATACTATAAATTTAATTGTATTGTGGTGTCTCAAGGTTAAAATTCTATGAATGCTAAGTTTGTGGCATAAAGTTCTTCAGATGGTCAATTTTACTGTCAAGCAATCAAGACTGATATGACTGAAACAAAAGCCATGTCTTGATGAACATCCAGGTGAGGGACACGTATTGTGTTAGAAAATGTTGGACAGATTCTGTAATCACCCAAATATTTGTAGCTATAGCAACAGGTTCATGTAGGCTACTTTTTAGTGACCAGTTCTGTTTACAAGTGTTTTCCTAATAATAAATAGGAAAGATATGGAATTTACTTACACTCTCTGATCAGATTTAAAATATGTCTTGATTTGATTCTCTAATCCGTGTCTCTCCTCTTCACTGTAAAATATATTTTTAAACATATAGGATTTATGGAACGGCATATGTAATGCAAAATCAAATATAGCCAACTGATGGATCGTAATATCAGAAAAACAAGCCAACTGTGAAGCTGATGTGCCATGCTTCAAACCCCAAAATAAATTGATGACACTCATTAATAATTACTTGCATATTTATTGTGTTGAAAAAAAATTTATAATCAAACTGGTTCTCTCTCTGCTTTAACCTCAGCAGAAATGGTCATGGTCTAAGTACAGTATTGATGTAAGGAAGGTACAGGCCTACAAAAAGTTTCACCATACTCTAGCCTAGCCTATCATTTAATCAAAGTTATATCATGTTCCAAAGCATCAGCAAAAATAATTATCAAGTGGCTTAATCTCTGTGTGGGGATCACGTGGCTAAGTGGGTAAGACGCTGGCTCGCTAGCCTGGAGGTCGGGTGTTCGATCCCTGCATTGGCTGAGAAAGTTCATCCAGATTTTCCGGCATGGTTCCCCCTTGTCAGTGATGCAGGGCGGAGGGCCTGACAAGGACGGCTGTCTAGTCCTTTGGATGAGACGAAAAACCGAGGTCCCAGGTATACATTGGAATGCACGTAAAAAATCCCTTGGCAGTTGGAATTCGATATAAGAGTAGGCGATAGTGCCTCTGCCTGGGCAAAATTTCCCTCATAGCACACTGTATGGCATATGCCCGTCTTCATTAGCCCAGTATATAGGAGCAGAACAGTAGGACCGTTAAACCCCATTTCATTTCATTTAATCTCTGTGTAACCTTAGGAGTAAATGATCATCATCGAACTCAGTCAAGACATTCACCTTACGAACATCTACACCAAGTCTCAACATTCTAGCTCAATTGGAATGAATGCCATTTAACTCGTCCACATGCAAACTCATCCACACAGAAAGTTTAGTATGCACAAATATAAAAATATCTTTGAGTGACTCGTCCACATGGCATTGTTTATGTTAGGGATACGAAAAGTATTCATAGTAATTACAATTAAGTGTACTGAGTGATACTTTATCATCGTATTTACTTGGTTTTCATAGTGTTTGATATGAGTAGGAATATAATTTTCATGACATGAATTGGCAGACTTATCAATACATCCATATTTGTTTTCATTTTGAGTGAAGTTTGAAGGACCGGGATTGTACAGCGCAGTGGATGCTTACGAATGGCCCCGGATACATCTGTCTCTTGTCACGGACACACAGCCTTCGCACACACAACATGAACACATTTGGAATAGTAATTATTTGCAGATTTCAAATAGAACTTACGAAATAAATCAGTAACAATTACTGAGGGTAATGAATGTCCAATTTTACGATCGAATACCGGGTATTCCAAATTTTACAATCAATATATACTCAAATTTCATATGAGACCGTTCAGTAATTAAACTTGCAGTAAGTTAAATTTAGCGAATCGTCAAGGAATGGCATGTTTAATCCCTGATTTATATTCAGATTTCATATCGAGCCAAAATGCTGTCTAAACATAAATGGATGGCGTGTCTAAATCATAACGGCAATCAACAAACAATACGCAGCTACTGCATTACAATTCTGAACTTTTAGAAATATATACCCCAGACAGAACCCTACCTTCATCTGATAAATTACTTTTAAAGCAAAATATTGTAAACCTTTATAGTTACGGGGCACATTCTTTTAGTTATCAAACACCTATTTTATGGAATTACCCATTAATATTCGAATGTCATCATCCCTAGTTAATCTTAAAAGAAACAGACTAATTAAAACATTCTTATTTTTAACAGCTTATAACAAATTTTAACAAATATTATTTTGTCTGTTGTCTTTCTTGTATCATATTGTCATGTATTTTTAGAAATAATTGTTTATTTAATTTAATGCATTTTTAACATTTTTGATGTAATTTACTTTTTGAATGTATGTTTTGGTACACTGTAAAGTGCCCTTGAACGCATCTGTGAAAGGGACGCTATATTAATTTTGTAGTAATAATAATCAACAACCAATGAGTCATCTACATGTGCACAACTAACCAATACCTTGTGGGCGACTTAACTGTGGAGACGAGTTAGGCCGAACTGGCACCGATTAGAATAGGGCCTAGTTTTAATTTAAGATTTAGAATTTAGAAAGGTAGCTCTATACCGCCGTAGTATTAGTAGTAACGGTATAGAAGTTTTCTCCTGAAAGGTTCAAGAGGGTGTCAACGAATTCAATTCAAGGACAAGAAGAGTGACCAGAGTTTGGGTTCGGTATATCATAAGGTCCATGGGTATATCAATATTTGGTATGAGATAAAGGGGTTTGGCGTGGGTTCATAATTAGCCACCCTAAACACCCCCTGCAAATTTCAATCAAGTCTCTACACGACCACGGACTGACGCTGACGGAGAGTAGACCTGGCCAACAACAAAAAAGGTGTTACGGAAGTGCAGTAGTGCCAGAGTTTGAAAGATATTGTCTTTATTATTAGCTATTCCTTACTGTCACCACAGGCAAGGTATATGTTGAAGACTGACTTTTAAAATCAAATGTCTTTTACCTCCTTTTCATTGAATCTCGGAGTTCATTCTGCTTTTGATAAAATTCCACACTTGTGGAAGCCATCTTGTTTATTGAGGTTGCTACGGAGTTATCTCCCACCCGGCTTACTTTTCTAGTCTGATCTGTTTTCATCTGATCTATTAATAATAGCATTAAAATAATATAATTTAAGTTTTCTTGTTTAATATTACGTTTTTCTACATATTAAAGTGAATCCTTGTCAATCGATACACTAAATAATGAGCTTTAAAAATAATTAATAAGAATTATCTCCCCTTAGCCGTAGAGCACTAGAGGGCACCTGCTTCTTTCTGAATAAACAAACACAGAAATGTCATTTTTTATCTGATTTTTATCTTGAATAGTGTCATCATTAACTGACCGTACAATATGCCTTGAGAAAACTACCCTAATGTCAGACATTGTTGTTCTGAAATTTTAGTCATTTGAAGTGTCTGTGGTGAGTAGCCTGTTATTTACATAAAATACGACCACGTTACATTATCATCAGATTTGTGCTTTGAAACGATTAGGATATTGCAGGCCTCACTCATACTGTCTCAATTGCTGCAGTGCTAATGGGCACCGGGAATTGTGATTGTTAGCGTTTAGTATTAGTTTGTTAAACGTCGGCCTAAAATCAATAGGCTACAGACTGGATATTTTCCCTGACAACTATTGAGTTTTAGATGGATGGTTTTACATGTTTGTTTTCAATTTCATCATAAAACCCAAAATATTGGTAGGCCTACCTGCAGAGACAGACTTTAATTAAGTAGATCTACTAGAAATGCCCTTATTTTTCAATATTGGTCTTTATTAAGCCCAATTTTATACATTTATATGTAGAGTGGTATAAACTAATATCATGCAATGTCATGCATATTGTTTATGTCTACTCAAAATATATAACTCAAATAGCCTTTGATTATATGTTGGCTTTGAAGTGTTTAATATTCCACATTTGCAATACTATAATAGGGCTTCAGTTTTCACCCATTTTTGGAAGAAAGAATTTAACATGACCCATACATGTAGCTTACACCTTCATCCATAAAAAAAAACAATATGAATTTCACTTCAGATGTAGCCTACTAGTAAATAATCCTTAACCCCACGGATGCTAGTTGTTTCTTCCATTTATGCCGAACATGTCCTAAGCGAGTTGGCAAACGTCTGACTGGGAATATGCCTTATCGGAGATCAATAGATATTGTAAATCATATTCAGAATTCCAAAATATATTGACTGTACTGGGTGTATAACTATTACTTATCTTGATCTGATAATAGGCAGGATAGATTAGCAATTAACTGATGAACCCTTCTTAGTGTTAAACACCTATAGTAATTATTAATTACTCAATCTGGCTTGATTGACTTCATTAATCTACATGGTGGATTTATTTAAGGAAACATCTGTGTAATGAGATAGAGAAAAAGAATGTTTCATACTTCTCATATCCGTGTCCCACAACACCGACGACCCACCACCCTGAGGACATTTGTAACTTCATCATTTTCCAGTCCCCATGACAAGGCACCAAGTCCTAGAGGACCATTGTTTATTGTAGTGGCTGGAGTCTTGTTGTTGGTGGGAAGTTTTCTAACATGGTTTGGTAAGTTAGTTATTTAGTGTTACAATTATTACGACTATTGTAATTTGACTACTGGTATTTAACATGCTTGTGAATCTGTAATTCTGGTCCATGTAAGATATAAAATTAGGCTTAACAATAACATCCATCACTTCTGCTCAGACTGGGCTAATGAAGACTGGCATATTGTACGCCATACAGAGTGCTATGATATGAGGGAAATATTGCTCGAACAGTGGCTCTATGGACTACTCTTATTCAAACTGCCAAGGGTTCTTTTACATTTAAAGGAGCTAAGTCACTAATATTTGGGACTTAGAAATTGACACAAATGGGTCGCAACGCATACAATAATGTAACATGAATGTATATAAATTGATTTACATTCAAACGTTTCTGTTTTTACTGTAATTTTTAAATCAGTTAGGTTGGGCGAAATACGTCTGGTTATTCCAGTCTACATCGATATTATTTATTGGGATTGCTCTCCAGATAAGAATATAGCGTCACCGTTTGACATGACTTGTGGAATATGCCTAGCCTCGTTTTTTGAGTCCCTTATTACAAATAGCACTGAAACGCATTATGGTACACGATTCGTGTACCAATTGTAAAATGTTTATTTTGTTTTAAATATTGGATATCAGAAGGCCATCTTTTCCCGGTAAGATCACAACACCAATGTTGATTTAAACCGACAAATAAATCGTGGTTTCAATGTCGAAGATTTTGGATGACATTGAGTTAGAGACTAGCTACTTTAAGTTTGAATTAAGGCACGAAAAATTTGATATTTTCTGAAAAAGGCAAATATGAATCAGTGGCTTCAATTAATTATATGCAAAAGGGTTAAATTTTGTGATAGTCATTTTATGTCAGTCTTACTAAGACGACATCTTGTGTCATTTTATGTAGTAAACATTTCTTGATGAAATACCAAAAACCAGGAAAAACTTACGGATTCTAAAAGAGAATTGGAAATTCAGATGGTAATAATGATAAGAGTTTCAACTTCTTCTGAATTACTAAGGATATGTTTCATTAAGAACTCTATAGTAAAATGCTTGTGGTTTTTAGTTTTGTTTACTGGCAATGTATTTTTTTTTTCTTCAGGATTTAACGATGTGTTTGGTGGTAAGATAGTGATTGGACCGTTATTGATTATATTGGCTCTAATACTGATGCTGATCTGTACACGACAGTTTTTTCTGGCTAGAAAACATAACCGTAATAGACTTCAGGTAATCTATAGGTGTAGAACTAGAAACAAGCAATTGCCAGGCAAGATACACCCACATTTTGCAAGAGATGGACTAAGAACAAGCCAAAAAAGTGATTTTTCGTACAATCAATGGAATAGTCCAGGATGTTATAGTCCAACATGTGTCATAATCTGATTAAAAAACAGATCTATATTTCGTTTCGTTTTTTTTATACTTCTGATTGCCTACACTACATGAAGATCTGACCGGCTGTACTGGAAGGTCGTGCCAGGGACGAAATAGGATCTGTGTTTTAATCAGATTGGTGTCAATATCAAAAGGATAAACATTGTGACCTAGAAGGTCCACTGGTATTACATGCTTCTTCTACCATTTGTATAAAGGGGAGTGGCCATTATATCAGGTCAGACTGAGTCTGATTTTCACCAAATTCAAACTCAACCGTAATTATAGATCAACAGTGATATATTTGAACAGTTTTTAAAATCAAATCAAAATTTTAAGTTTCGTCAAAATCGTGACCCCTAAAAATATGTTTTTTGTACGGTCAGGGGTCATAATCCATGAAGTTGTGGTCTGATACAAACTGATAAAAACTTTATTTTAAGTCAAAATCGGATAAAATTTGTGACCTGTAGAGTGTCCACAATCAAAATGTGAACGGACGAACAGGGGCACGATAATATACATCAACATCATAATTGACTTCCAGTCATTTTGTATAGAGTTCTTTTTATCACCCAATAATACATTCTACTGTAGATATCGCTTGTGTGATAAATTTCATAATCTACTCCTTAGGAGATATCGCTTTACATGAATTTGATTGGTCAGTTAAAAGGAACTACTTATTTTTATTTTCAAAGAACAGTTCATTTTGTATTAAAAGTAACTTCTTTTTGTATTAAAAGTAACTTCTTTTTTTATTAAAAATGAACTATTTTTATTTAATTGATCATGATGGAAACACTGGGTCAATATAAAGGACTTTGCAATGGTTGAATTGCTGTCAAAAAATGATGTATCACTACGCTGTAATGTATCAGGTTCAGTAAAAGTAAAATCTATAGCAAAGAATTATATTTATTTATTCGTGCATGTAAGACGGGATTGGGTGATAAATAAAATCTCCTACTCGTCTTTTTTGATATCCTCGTAGGAGATTCTCTATATCCCTGAAGAAGTTGGTATTTTTTCTGATGAAACGTTGGATAAAACAATGTTTTTTTTGTTATTTTGTATTATTTAATTATTGTATATAAACTTATCTGAAAATCAAATGCATCATTTTGACTTAGTCAAAATTGATCCCATTTGTTTCCTGTTTCTATTGATTGGAAGTTTCTCACATGAAAATATGGGCATATAAAAATTAATTATCTGATTCGGGAACTTCCTGAACACGTCACATTCACTATTATTAGTAATTCTCTTTGACCAGTAACAGTGGAGGTACTGTAGCAGAGGGCATTTATAACTACACCACTAAATCCTTCACAAGACTTGAGAATGTAAAATAGAAATGTTTGAAAATTGGCGCATGCAACAATTCACCTAAAATTGTATTTGACCAAATTTTCAGCTCTGCTCCAGTAGGCTACACTGAAACAGTAATCAGACAAGCAGAAGACCTGTGCAAACAAAATTTTGATCTGGTACTATTGATAACATAACTTATAAATAGCCCATTACATTATATATACATACATGTATATATAAGTATCAGGTATTTGACAAAATAACGATCTTTTAACATTGGGGATTTTGAAGAATTCTAAATGTTAATGTTTAATTAAATAGTTCACTTGACATTCAATTATTGATTTATTGTTTAATTAATATTGTTGTAGCTTGGACCAATAGGACAAGGCACATTACGAGCCGTGGTAGTTGATCATAATGATGGACTGGGAGCTGTTACGGTAATCATGGATCCACTGGATGTAGATAGCAGCCAATCGAATAGGTTAGTTTTTACATATTTCATGTGACATTGACTTGTGCTGACTGTTTTTTGTTTACACTAATTAAGAGGGAACCTTGAAAATTTTATGATGATCTGGAGATGAAAACCTCAAAAAGAAATTCCTGAAGTGTTTTAAATGGGGCAAATTTATGACTTGAGAATAATTAAATTACGGTATCTAGAGGTTAAAGTTACTATCTGATAGACTTTAAATTTATACACAGTGTTTAAGGTCATGAGAATCCTATTGATTGTCAACAATTTCCGATAATTACTGCCATATTTATGGCCCTTGATAACTTGAGAACTCTTGTGCACATGCTAGAGTTCCAATAATTACTGCCAGAGTTATGGTCCTTGATTACTTGAGAAATCTTGTGCACATGCTAGAAGCTAATGTTAATATAAATTTATACACAATGTTTAAGGTCATGAGACAATCCCAAAAAAATTCTAATGATTTCTAGTAATTACTGGATGGGTTATTCTTTTTAATCTTATTTTAGTGTGTTGTAATTGTTTTCATTACTGACCCCAAAAAATATGCAACAACCCTTGTTGACTGCCGGGACGACTTAGCTGCTGTGGGCATATGTTTTGTTGCCTGGCAACCTATCTTTTTGGTAGAATTTATTTAGTAGGTTTCCCCTACTGATCTGATAACCACTGATCTAGAAAGATCATGTAGAGTGAGAATGTACTGTGGTACTGTCCAATTTTATACTATCTATACAAGAAATTTGGATATCGTTAACAATTATGAGAATGTACTGTAGTAAATTATAATGTACAATGTTATAATACACAAGAAACTTAGATATCGTTAACAATTATTTTAAGGTAAGTTACTTATTTCATTTCTTTTCTATTAAACAGGTGTTCGGTAATGGAGAATTATGCACCACCGACATATAGTGAAATAGCAGAGGGAAATAGCTCAACCTATCGTCCATACTCTCCACAAAATCAGGATGAGCCTCCTCCACCATATATAGACGCAATCTTATCCAATGGAAATAACTTTACTCTTCATCTTCCGAAATATGAAGCTATCAGTGGTAGACGAAGTCCTGTCCCGAAGTACGAAGATATTTTCTTGACATCTAATCTGCCTGGTTATGTACCATCTTGTCATTCTCCTGTTTGTCTGTCTCACAACCACATTTCTCCATCCCCGCATCAAATATCCTGTCATGTCTGTGTCTCTTGTAGTCCTAGTCAACCAGCTTGTGTTAATTCAAGCTGTAGTCCTAGTCAACCAGCTTGTGTTAATTCAAGCTCCCCTAATACGACACCACACATGACCCATTCATGTAGCATGTCACACACTTGTTGTTCTGTAAACCAAAATCAGTTGCCTAGCCACCAAGGCCTCCAATCATTAGCCTGTCATCTCCATAGCAATGCTAGCCAAGGTCAAGGTCAAGACCAAAGTGAAAGTCATTATTCAAATGCTAGTCAGTGTCATATTCAGCAATCCCCATGTTGTGTAAATCACTGTTGTAGCTGTTCTCATACGCCCCCTTCCTGCTCACCTTGTTCTCCTCATCAGACAGTTCATCGTGCATGTGTGAGTAACCATTTCACCTTCCCATGTGCACACAGTATTTACCCTTGCTCTAACCACACCTCTAATGTGACCAGTCAAAATGAAGATACCAATCTAATTAATCAGGACCAAAGTCAGAACCAAACAGAAAATACAAGTACACCAATCACCATATCTGTTACTGATATAAGTAGCACACCGCAGCAAGGGTGTGCTGTTAACAATTTGATAGACAATTCAGAAGAGATAGTTGGAAATGATGATAATATTGACCAATCAAGAGTTAACGATGCTGTGAGTAACCCCCCAATTAGAATATACTGTACACCTACCCAAGATACAGAACATACCTTTTAAGTTTTAGAGACAACAGGAAATGTCTCATAGAATAGACATTAAAATGAAATTGTAATACATGTTTTACAGTGGTAATAATTGTATTATTTTAGACTGTGTTTATATTATTATTATGAATTAGTCGTTCGTGGTGTTTGATCTCATTCCTTTCAGTAGTCTGCAAGTATTCTTACCATCATGGAATATTCCAGAGCTCAGGAGATAAGAGTGTACCAGGAATATTCCACAATGTATATTCCATCTGGTAGATTAAAGGGATAACAAGCCAGGAAAAAAGCCAAATATTATATTTGCTTGTCTTAAATATAAATAATTTTGTTTGCCCACTTACTCTTGTTGTCTCTTTAACTCTAGATAGCATGGATTTAATCAGTGTCGAATATGGATGAATATGGGCTCTAGGCTATTTTGCCTATGAGGCCTATCCCAATACCCCACCCTCACAACTATATGAAGATGAAAGTGTGTTTTGAACATAAGTGGTGTAAGATAGACTTATGACAGTGTCAAAAATATTATACGCTTTGGCCAAAGTTCCCATTTGATATTGGGTTATTCGTTTGGCTAACTAAAAAAAAATACCTGGGTTTACAGTTACTTGGCCACAAAAAATAGGACCAGTCGGAAAATCGTTTTGTTTTTGTGGGTTTCGAAGGTTGAGAATGGATATAATTAAACATACATTATGCAAGCGCTAAATCTGCCTATTGCATGTTTTTCTTTAGGCCTGAAATGTTATCTAAATTATTAATAAGACATTAATTAACTTATCCAGACCATAATCAACTCTCGGTGGCATTGCTAGCCTGCGATGTTTATTGGATTAGGTTCCTATTTGCTTTTTGACTTCCATTCATAATTTAATCATGAAATGAATAATCAAGACTATGTTTTTTATCGTACCGACTTTAGTAATGATGATCGAGGCTAGGCGAAAAATTCGTTCAATTGCTAAAATCTCGGTTCAGAGTGGATCAATTTGACTGAAATTTTCAGCAAATTCGCTTTACAGTATCTTGTTTTTAACTATTATAGTGAGAACTGCCAGCTCTTTATCTAATCTCCCATATTGTATCTTTAAGTGAACTAATAAATTAATTTTTTAATCAACTACATAGATACTTGCAGTCTACAGCCTTTGTTATGTAAGTTTTAATAGCTACTGTAAAGTGTTTATTATTTATTTCCTAGCTTTTCAAGATTCATTAGACAGATGAACTGTAAAATAATGCCAATTTAGACTGTTATAATACTGAAAGTTCAGTCTCTGCAGAAAACCGACCCATGAAATATTTATAATTCCTGGGAAATGAGAAAAAAATATTTCAGGGTCAGCAATTTGGACCAAAAATGAAATGAAATGGAGTTTAACGTCCTACTGTTCTGCTCCTAACCTGGGCTAATGAAGACGGGCATACGCCATACAGTGTGCTATGAGGGAAATTTTGCCCGGACAGCGGCACTACGGCCTACTCTTATATCGAATTCCAACTGCCAATGTGTACACGGGACCTCGGTTTTTTGTCCCATCCGAACGACTAGACAGCTTCCCTTGTCAGCCCCTCCGTCCTGCATCACTGACAAGGGAGAACCACGCCGGAAAATATGGATGAACTTTCTCGGCCAATGCAGGGATCGAACACCCGACCTCCATGCTAGCGAGCTAGCGTCTTACCCACTTAGCCACGGGACTAAAAAGGTAACTGTAAAGACAGATAATTTTTTTTTTTTTTGACCTTATGTATTGTGTAAAAGAATAGGATACAGTAATATGTAAATTATGCTTTTATATTATAATTTATAAAAACAATTTATTTATAAATGTTAGAATTAAAAATCTATATGAGTGATTAATTTATGATTGAAAGACTTGTTTTATATGTATTATAACTATTTATGCAGTGTTTTACAATGGTTTACTACTAAAGTTTTGCCATCTGTTATTTATAGATCTGACTGTTTGTGAACCAGCTTCATTTGTACTAAATGTTTTGTGATATGGATGTTGGTGCACATTTTTATGTGTATATTTATGAATATTGTTTATTGAATATTGTTTTATGAATTTTTACCTAGATTGCATTTCCATGGTGCTTTAGTAATATACTAAAATATTTAAAGAGAGTTGGCCTACCCTTCACATAAACATTTTAGTTAAGACTGAAAAGGTTGGATTTCAAGTAGACGAACTGACGTATCGTTTCTCTCCATTAGGTTACATGGAAGTTAATTGTAAGTGCAGGAGGACCGCACTACATGCAAAGAAAAACGACAAGACAAACCTGAGGACAAGACAAACTACATAGTCATTGCAAGATATAAACAACAAATATTTCTTGGGGGGCCAGCAAATTTGAAAAGTAGACCTAAAAAACACTACAATGTTTTAATTACTGGGGCGGTAAATTGTTATGAAACTTAAGAATTTTGATAGAGTTTCCACTTAAAAAGAAGATTCTCCTACAAAGCATATAAAAATATAATTTGATATAATGTGAGAAACACTGCCTTGCCTTATTTGCATATTCAGACTAATAGTGCTAATGCTAATTTACTTAGTTAACGGAGATGACCAGTTGTTGGAATTTTTTTATATTATATTCATAATGCAGAACTTGTTTCTAAAATGCTGAACATCCATTAAAACACAAGTGCGGGACATCATATGTCATGATTTGTGAATAAAACCACTCGCTTGTGTTATAATGTCTAATCTTTGTACTCTTATGGCTTTGCTTTGTTTACAGTGGAGAAGAAGAAAGTTACCTTTATAAATGTCGCAACCAACTGGTTAATTTGTTGAGCTTGATTGAAATGAATTTCATATAAAGAATTGCAACGGCTGAACTTATCCTTTAATTAAAAATGATTAACTTGAGACATCCCGCAGTCCGTTTATTTTCCTGTTTGATATTTAAGATATTGTTTTTATTAGCTAATTTTTATTATCAGATTATTACTATAGAGATGTTGTGTTTTCATACAAATTTGTGATGTTATTGTTGTATGAAAGATATTGTTATCTATTGTGCATTTCTTTTAATTTATTTATTAGACAGCTGCTGTGGGTTTTCACTTTGACAGTCACAATGTCCCAAATTATTGTTCCAGATAATTAAATAACTGCAAGGTGATTTATCCATAAAAATGTGTTTGAATATTGCTTGTCCAAAATCCTATATCCCCCTCTGCAAATTATAAATGTTTTACATGATGTACGTATTATTTCTAAAATCAACTAATATTACAGAAATGGAAATAGCAACTGTTATGTAAAACAGCAGAAGATATGGAAAGTTAAGCACAACAAAATATATGGTGGGTGGGAGTCAGGAATTACAGATGGCCACCAACGATTATAAAAGATGTATGATGCTGTCTGATTACACTCCAAAATGATCAACCATATGCTGGAAAACTTTTCCAGGATATTGAGCAGCGGGGGGGGGGGGGGGGGGGGGGTCCAAGGTGGAGACAAAGTCATGTTTGGCATTAGGTCGGGGGGAACTACCTGCCAATTTTATTATAAGATAGGTTCCCAGAAAAGTATTTATCAGGTGGTTATTTCCAATAAAAGTATGGCAATTTTGGTATATATGGAAAGTATCCAATCTTACTAGAAAAATACTGGATTCCCCGAAAAACACTCATGGAGCGCATACAGGACGAAAATGTAAGGGTTTCCCTAATCGACAGCCCGACGTTTAGGATTGTCTGCACGCGTGACGTCAAAGGTTGCACGCGGAGATTGAGTGTTTGATGTAGGCCTATGTTGATAAACTTTATGAAGAGTTAGACGTACAACACTTTCTGAGATAAAAATCACGGAAAAAGAAGCGGGCAGTGGATAATCCGAGAATTTAATTAGACTTCGATATTTTTAATAAATATTCTGCGATTAAAGACAACATCGTCTTGTGTATGCAATGAATTCTCCTCCGAGGGAGAGAGAGAGCCGTAAGTCACGTGACACAAACATGACCTCTTTTGATTGATTTTTTTATAGCCAGGGTATTCCCTGTCAATTGCAATGTTTTGAGTCGGATTTGTAGCAAAATTATGATAAAATAATTAGTTTGAATATTTTTTAGTCCAAATGTATCATCAAATCACCCAGTTTGTACCCGAGCTTTTCACATAACTATTTTAGAGACAGTTTTAACTAAAACCCTCTTCTAACTTAAAATCATGGCATTAACAAATATTGATTAGGGCTACCTTGTTAGGTCTATTGCGACATACATGTATACTGATTATCATATGATACAAAGTATAAATTATAGGCTACTATTTTCAAAAAAAAAAAAAAAATTTGTACTCACTTCAAATCTAATGTCATGGGAAGAAGGGCACTCTTATCTATAAAAAAAATATCTTTGTGTACAATGGTTTACCCACAGGCACTTGAAGGGATTGAAATAAAATATGTAGTAAGAAATTTTATTTTAATCCCTTCAAGTGCCTGTGGGTTTACCAGCTGTTTCAGGGCAAAGTATGCCCATATTTTGCAATGCAAGAAATGGATAGAGAACAAGCTAAAATAAAACCTCGGCTTTTCGTACTATCAGGGGCCATAATCCAGGAAGTTATGGTCTTATGTGCGAATATCCAAAGGAACTGAGATCTTTGGGATATAAACATATATTATTTTAATTCAATAAAATGGGACAAAAATTGTGACCTCAAGTAGGTCCACAACCTTAATATTACATACTTTTACACTATTTGCGTGCAAGGAGCGGCCATTTTGTCGGGCAGTTTCGGTCCGATTTTACGAAATTCGAACTCGATCATATCAGAGTACAATGATATATATAAACGATTTTTTTAAATCGGATAAAAACTGTGATCTCTAGAGGGTTCACAACCGAGATCTTTGGGATATTAACCGTTAAAAAGTCCTAACTTCTTTAAAGATTACATTACAATTGTGTTGATATCAAGTTCTCTTATCACAGTTTTAAAGTAATGCGAAGTTAAAAGTGACTGCAAAGCGAACTCTAATTGATACTTCATGTAGTAATCTTTTTAATTGAAATGTTAATGCTTAATCTACCTAATAGCCTAGTTGGTTATATCTCTTTCAGTTGTATTATTAATGTTTTGTTTACATTATTTTATGTCTGAAAGTGTGTGTGTGTGTGTGTGGGGGGGGGGTAACGATATCGGACTGAGACTAGTAATTACCCCCCCCCCCACTATTTTATGATGAATGTAGTAGTGCGAGTTATAGATAGACAATTTTTCCCTTAATTTTTTTCTCCCCTCTGCCTGCATTTTTTGGTTGACCTTTTGGTCTAGAATTGAAGCAAATGGGTCAAGTTTGCAATTTAATAGCAGTTTGGGGTAATACTGATTACAGCGGAGGGATAGGGGGTGTAAAGTGTCTTTCTGCAGAGCAATCATTGTGTCGGAAGTGAGATTTTAACCCCAGTAAACATCAAAATCCCCGTAGCAAAAACAATCTAAACGGTCAACCCCCTACAAAATTATGATGAGAAGATTGCCAAATGCGGTCCCAATTGCAGGTGCCTGTAAAGATTGGGACCAGCGAAATGTTGAGCAAAACGATACCGCCTGTGATGTTACAGCCATTTAACATTGAAGTCGATGGGGAAAATAATTGCTAGACAGTCCTAACCATTGACGTCATATACAGATAGACTGCCGATCCGATACGCCAGGATCGCGTGGTACAGACGCTGTGACTTCGTTCAGGGTTCAAACCAATATGCCTGCCATCTGTACACCGGGATTTGACTTTTGGAATAATAGAAAATCAACACTACCTCTGCAAAACTGACAAACTATGTCCGAAATAAATATTTGAAAATGCGCAATTATTTGTTTTATCAATACGATTAGTTGTCCCCCGCCTTTCGAAGAAAGCAGGGGACTATTAAAATGGGTTCGTCCGTTTGTCTGTCCGACACAATAACTCTCCTAATTGAGCTAGAATGTTAAATCTTGGTGTAGGCGTTCTTTAGGTGAATGCTGCCCTTGATGGAGTTCGGTGATGAACATTATCTGCTTGCGGTAAGCAGATGGTTGATGCTTTTGGTTATAATTAAGTGAGAGCTATGAAACTCCGAGTATAGATTCATTATATCATTACCATGACAAAGTTTGATGAGAATTTTCTGCTTAGGATAAGGGGCGATAGGGACATGCACCAAAATAAATAGTTTCTGTCTTTACGGTATAAGGAAGAAATATGCAGTTACAAGATGATCCAGTCAGAATTGCAGCCTGTAGATGATAAATACAAAAATTGGGCATGGCTCTCCCCATACGGGTTGGATTTGGAACAATATAAATAGGTATCACCCTGTTATTGAAATGTTTAATAGGCTGAATTTGAACAAAATCTGTTAATTATAGAAACCTGTAGAGTATTTGCAGACCACACCCCTGGCGGTCAGGACATGTACCAAAATAAATAGTTGCTATCCTTACACGAATAAATAAGCCAGGTTCCAACATGATTCATTCTGAATTCCAGCCTCTAGACAAAAAAACACAAAAATTGGGCGTGGCTCTGTCCCTGGACCAATATAAATAGGTACAACCCTACAATGGATCATTCCGAATTGGATCCAAATCTGTTAATAATTGCTGCCTATATATCATTTACAGACAAAATATTAACAAAAAGTGGGTGCGGCAACGCCCAAAGGTGGGGGGAGGGGGAATCATGCACCAAAATCAATAGTTAGAGTATAAGGAATAAGTATACCAAGTTCCAAGATAATCCATTCAGAATTGTGATCTTCGGGCGCTAAACACACAAACTAAGCGTGGGTTTGCCCCTGGGGGTCGATAGTTGCCACCCTCAGACTATAAGGAATACATATGCCAAGTTCCAAGTTGCGGCCTGTATACGATAAACACAAAAATTGGGCGGGGCTCTGCCCCTGGAGGTTGGGACATGCACCAAAATCAATAGTTGCCGTCCTTAGGCTATAAGGAGTATGCCAAGTTCCAAGACAACCCATTAAGAATTGTGGCCTGTAGGCAATTCACAGACACATAAAGAAAGCATCAGTGTGGCTCTGTCCCTTGAGGTCAAGCATTCACCAAATCTGTTAAGAATTGCGGCCTGTAGGCGAAACACAGACACACACGAAAAATTGGGCGTGGCCCTGTTCCAGAGGGTCGGGCAAAATTTCCCTCATAGCACACTGTATGGCGTATGTCCGTCTTCATTAGCCCAGGTTAGGAGCAGAACAGTAGGACGTTAAACCCCATTTCATTTCATAAGGAAAAATTATACAAAGTGTCGAGATGATACGTTAAGAAATGCGGCCTGCAGACGACAAACAAATACAGGATATGGGCGTGGCTCTGTCCCTGGGGGTCGGGCATGCACCAAAAACAATAGGGATCATCCTTAGGGTATAAGGAATAAGTATGTAAAGTTCCAAGATGATCAGCTAAGAATTGCGGCCTGTAGGCGAACCACACACACACACAGGGGAGACGGCAATGTACGTCCACATTATGAATGCGAACGTATAAAAAATGTTCAAAAATAAATAAAGAAGTTATTTTTATGTATCTGATTCTTATTTGTTGATATTTTTTTTATGATGAATATTGTTCTAACAAGAGAGAGAGAGAGAGTGAGAAAATTGGGGCTTAACGTCAACTCGACACAACTAGGTCATTTCGGGACTAACATATGGTTCAATTTTAGTTCAATAATTCACTTGCTCGTAGGGGCCTTTAGCAGTAGGGTTAATTGGTAACATGGATTATTTCACAAAGTTTTTGGTCGTGGGCCTATACATTCGAATAAGAACACCTTAATCTGTCAAATTCGTCAAGAAAACTAGAGAAAAAAAAAAATTTAACATCCATACATCAACGCTCATTCATTAACTTACGGGTGTTACCATGGACTCTATAATACGGTTGATGGTGTAAATAACGCAACGACCATCTTTGAACTATCCCGACCGTGCTTTATCGCATGGTACAGCTGATCACGACCACAGGTTTAACTAAATGTCATTTGCATGCAGATAGTTC